AAAATTCAAGCTGTGAAAAGCGAAATCTGTGGATACAGAATGTAAGGAAACAGGAGTGAAAGTAACCTGCTTCAGACATAATTAAATAAACTCCGTATTGGGAACATGTTCTTGTGACCATTGATTGAGAGATTAACATTTCCCTTTCCTTTTTTGTCTTATTACAGATATGAATATATGGTTTGAATAAAGCACAATTATCAAACTTCTATCTGAAATTATGATTTTATTTCTGTAGGTTGAATAAACTATATTGTTGCCTATTTGGGCAAACTGAAAAAATATTATTGTAAAAGAAGCTTAAAATATTTTGGGCAGTGGTGAATGTGAAGCAAAGAGGGTGGATCTCCTTGTAATTCATATTTCCATATAATTAGATGCCAGACAATACATTAAAATACACAGTTAAAATTAAAACAGCAATTAAATCAATTATAAACATTCAATTTAAAACAAACCGCCAGTTTCAAATTATAGTCCAGGTCAATCCATTACGGTCACTTAAAACATTCTCTTCCCAGTTGCTACATCTACTGCTCAAATGCTTGATCCCACAGCCAGGTTTTAAGGTTTTTTATGAGTCTACACTGTCATATAATCCAGTTCAAAGCAGATAATCTGGATTTTATATGGCAGTGTGTAAGGGGCCTTAGGCCCCATCCAGGCCCGTAGCCAGGATTTTGTTTTGGGGGGGGGGGGCTGAGTCTGAGTGAAAGAGGGTCTAGCCTAGCAAACCTTTTGTATCATTACCCCAATACCGTCATGCATATGGGAGATATTGAGTATGGTTATCAGATCATGATATGAATAAACATAACAGTTTAAATAATGCACCAGTAAGGCCTTTTCACGAACCACCATGAGAATTTCGGGGGGGGGGATTTGAAATGATTGAAGGCTGTAAATACAGTCTTGTGGATTATTGATGTCCATGATGAGGGAGGGGGGGCATGGGGGCGGGGGGAGGGGGTGGGAGGGGAGGATGATATTTATGAGATAGTTTGGAAAACTCCGATCTAATACATGCAAAGGCAATGCTTGTTAATGCTGAAAAATGAGAGCACATTGTTGAGATCTTTTTCTCATATTGTGGTGCTTTTGCAGAAAGGCCCGGAAATATTGGACTCAAATGAATATGATAATGAATGAAAATAAATAATGTTAGATTTACATTGAGACCAGAATTTTATTTAGCCCCCTGAGCCCCACCCCCCCCCCCCCCCCCGGCTACATGCCTGGCCCCATCTACACTGCCATAAAATGCAGGTTGAACTGCATTATATGGTCAGTGTAGGCTTGTATAATGCAGATTGAACTGGATTATATGAGTCTACACTGCCCTATAATCCACATCAACCTGCATTATAATGCCAGGGCAGATTGTCCTGGAATAACTGCACTGAAGACAAATCTGATTCCCCTGTGTTCCCCCATTTTATTTATCTATTTATGACATTTATATGCCGCCCTTCTCACCCCAAAGTGGACTCAGAGCGGCTTACGAGATATACATACAATATATTATATTATTAGCATAGTACAATATCAGTATTGTCGAAGGCTTTCATGGCCAGAATCACTGGGTTGTTGTAGGTTTTTTTGTAGGTAGTGAGGTCTGTTGGAACTAGGAAAATGGATTTATACAGCTGTGGAATGACCAGGGTGGGACAAAGAACTCTTGTCTGTTGGAGCTATGTGTGAATGTTTCAACTGACCACCAATCATCCGGGCGTCCCCTGGACAACGTCCTTGCAGATGGCCAATTCTCTCACACCAGAAGCAACTTGTAGTTTCTCAAATCACTCCTGACACGACAAAAAAAAACTGACCACCTTGATTAACATTTGATGGTCTGGCAGTTGTTTGGTGTGGCTTGTTGGTGCCTGGGGCAATATTTTGTTGAGAGGTGATTAGATGTCCCTGATTGTTTCCTCTGTTGTTTTGCTATTGTAATTTTAGAGTTTTTTTAATACTGGTAGCCAGATTTTGTTCATTTTCATGGTTTCCTCCTTTCTGTTGAAATTGTCCACATAGTTGTGGATTTCAATGGCTTCTCTGTGTAGTCTGACATGGTGGTTGTTACAGTGGTCCAGCATTTCTGTGTTCTCAAATAAAATTCTGTGTCCAGGTTGGTTCATCAGGTGCTCTGCTATGGCTGATATTATTTGAGAACACAGAAATGCTGGACCACTTGCAGAGGCGGCCCTAGGTAATTTTCAATGGTAAGCAAACAGTATTTTGGGTTTATATAGCTGACATATATATATATATATATATATATATATATATACACACACACACACACACACACACACACACACACACACACACACAAATATATACCACTGATATATATTTTCTGTTCATCGTGGGAGTTCTGTAGGTGAACTATACATCCCAGTAACTACAACTCGCATATGTCAAGGTCTATTTTCCCCCAAGAGAGTGTCAAGAGCGCCCCTGGGCAAAATCAACTATACCTCAAATCCTTACTTTGCGTAATGGGTTGAGCTGCCCCTGACCACTTGAAACATTCACACCTAGCTCCAACAGACAAGAGTCCTTTGTCCCACCCTGGTCATTCCACAGCAATATAAACCCATTTTCCTAGTTCCAACAGACCTCACTACCTCTGAGGATGCTTGCCATAGATGCAGGCGAAACGTCAGGAGAGAATGCCTGTAGAACATGACCATATAGCCCCAAAAAACCTACAACAACCCAATATCAGTATTAAATATTATTATATTGTACTATACCATTATAGAGTAATATTAATAGTAATATTACATGTAATATAATATATATTTATAATATCATATTATTAGTAGTATTATATTATATTCAACTAGATGAGATATATACTATACTAGCTGTCCTCTGCCACGTGTTGCTGTGGCCCAGTCTGTTGATCTGGAAAATAAAGTAATGAGAAAATGTTGGTTTCTGATATATGTAATTTCTTTACGCTTGTGGGTAAACAGTATTTCTTGCTGTTTCTTTGTCAGTGTTGATGTGGAGAGTATCTGGTTTGACTACTCTGGAACATGCAACGTATAATTGTCCTTTAGGGGTCCCTTTCAAATCTATGACACTATATCTCTCTGTGTGTGAATCATATCTATCTAAATCTATGGCTGCATGGCTCTTTGTCAGGAGGGCTTTGATTACGTTTTCTTGCCCTGGTGAAGGGAGTTGGACTGGATGGCCTTGAATATTTTCTGTTGGTTATGGGGTTCTGTGTGGAAGTTTGGCCCAATTCTGTCATTGGTGGGGTTCAGAATGCTCTTTGATTGTAGGTGAACTGTGAATCCCAGTACTACAATTCCCAAATGTCAAGGTCTATTTCCCCCAAACTCCACCAGTGTTCATATTTGGGTGTACTGAGTGCTTGTGCCAAGTTTGGTCCAGATCCATCATTGTTTGAGTCCACAGTGCTCTCTGGATGTAGGTGAACTACAACTCCCAAACTCAAGGTCAATGCCCACCAAACCCTTCCAGTATATTCTGTGGGTCAAGGGAGTTCTGTGTGCCAGGTTTGGTTCAATTCCATCATTGATGGAGTTCAGAATGCTCTTTGATTGTAGGTGAACTGTAAATCCCAGCAACTACAACTCCCAAATGACAAAATCATAATTTTTTGAGTGATAGTCACTCCTTGTGTTGTGAGACGTTTTGTTGCCAAATTTGGTGTGATTTCATTCATTGGTTCTTTTGTTTTTAAGGTACTCATTATGCACAGAGCATTTATATATATATTGTTGTTGCTGTTCATTCGTTCAGTCGTCTCCGACTCTTCATGACCTCAAGGACCAGCCCACGCCAGAGCTCCCTGTCGGCCGTCACCACCCCCAGCTCCTTCAAGGTCAGTCCAGTCACTTCAAAGATACCATCCATCCATCTTGCCCTTGGTTGGCCCCTCTTCCTTTTTCCTTCCATTTTCCCCAGCATCATTGTCTTTTCTGAGCTTTCCTTTCTTCTCATGATGTGGCCAAAGTACTTCAACTTTGTCTCTAGTATCCTTCCCTCCAATGAGCAGTTGGGCTTTATTTCCTGGAGTATGGACTGGTTGGATCTTCTCGCAGTCCAAGGCACTCTCAGAACTTTCCTTCCAACACCACAGCTCAAAAGCATCGATTTTCCTTCGCTCAGCCTTCCCTAAGGTCCAGCTCTCACATCCGTAGGTTACTACAGGGAATACCATGGCTTTGACTAGGCGGATCTTTGTTGCCAGTCTGATGTCTCTACTCTTTACTATTTTATCGAGACTGGACATTGCTCTCCTCCCAAGATTATAATATATAGATTATATTATATTTTTGAAGAAAACCAGACATTTGAAGGAAAACTGAAGTGTATGTAATATTTCTTTTTATTTTGGTTTGATATACAAAATCTCAGACCCCTTCTACACAGCTGAATAAAATCCCACATTATCTGCTTTGAACTGGAATATATGGCAGTGTGGATTCAGACAACCCAGTTCAAAGCAGATATTGTGGGATTTTCTGCCTTGATATTCTGGGTTATAGGGCTGTGTGGCTCTATTCTAAGCAGGACTAGACCAGAATCCAACCCATTATGTATGAAATCACAGCACCCTCAATCCTGAAAGGCTTTTAAAGTGCTGTATTGGTAAATATTAGCAAGGTCAGATAATGTTTGAGCAAAACTGCTTATATATAGCTGAACCATGCTGCCATCTTGTGTCCTGGGCCTGTAATTAATTTATGCAGGAAGGAAAATCCAATCTCTTGTCTAAATGAGATAAAAAGACACATAAATAATTAGACCACACAAATCTAACAAATGTTTGTGTGGTTAGGCTCTAAATTCTAATATAAACCCTTTGATTATACCAAGCATGGGGCCTACTTGGGCCCTCCAGGTGTTTTGGACTTCAACTCCCACAATTGGAATTGTGGGAGTTGAAGTCCAAAACACCTGGAGGGCCCAAGTAGGCCCCACGCCTCCAAGTACTAAACTTTCTTCTTCCCCTCCTTGGCGTTCGGCGCGTCGTGATTGGCTGCAGAGAAACCATGCGGGGCTCTCATTGGCTGAGGCGCACATGCGGGGCTCGCGGGCTCCTGAAAAGAGTGGGAAGCGGCGAGCGGGAGTTGGCTTAGTCTTCGCTGAGCTGCGAGGAGAGAGGAAGCGGAGTCATGGCGTCGCTCTCGGATTTCCTCGAAAGCAAGCGAGGCCGAGGCCCGCGGAGAAGCCCTTTCGTGGGCCGCCATCCCCGGGAAGGGAAGGGGCGAGGAGCAAGCGCTCCCTCAGGTGAGGCCATCTTGGGTATGCGCATACACAACTCACTTGCTTTTACTTTTATGGGGGGTTCCCCCCCCCTTGTAAAACTACAATTCCCAGCGTTTGGATACAACTTGCGAGTACTGCAGCTCAAAGTAGTGCCTGTCTGCGTCTGTTCGACCACCCAGAGGCATGTTGAATAACTCGAAGCCAGCCATGGTCGGAGTGAGCTTCCGACCATTGTGTGTAGCTTGCTGTTGACCTTTGCAGCCCGAAGTTGCAGGAAATTTAGGGAGCCCCCAGTGGCGCAGTGGGGTAAAGCACTGAGCAGCTGAGCTTGTTAATTGAAAGGTCGCAGGTGAGCTTCTGCTGTCAGCCCTAGCTTCTGCCAACCTAGCAGTTCGAAAACATGCAAATGTGAGTAGATCAATAGGTACCACTCCGGCGGGAAGGTAACGGCGCTCCATGCAGTCATGCCGGCCACATGACCTTGGAGGTGTATACGGGCAACGCTGGCTCTTCGGCTTAGAAATGGAGATGAGCACCACACCCCAGAGTCAGACATGACTGGACTTAAATGTCAGGGGACTACCTTTACCTACCTATGTGGGGAAGCTAATTTAACTAATTTACGACACTATAAAATCTCCAGCAAATAAATAATAATAATAATAATAATAATAAACTTTATTTATACCCCGCCACCATCTCCCCGATGGGGACTCGGATCGGCTTACATGGGGCCAGGCCCGAACAACAATTGCAATAAAGAAAACCAAAACACTACCGAAAACGCGAACAATAAAACAATAACATCATAATTACATAAAGTATATGAATATATAGGGTTGTTGTAGGTTTTCCGGGCTATATGGCCATGTTCTAGAGGTATTTTCTCCTGACATTTCGCCTGCATCTATGGCAAGCATCGTCAGAAGTAGTGGCAAGCATCCTCACTACCTCTGAGGATGCTTGCCATAGATGCAGGCAAAACGTCAGGAGAAAATGCCTCTAGAACATGGCCATATAGCCCGGAAAACCTACAACAACCCAGTGATTCCGGCCATGAAAGCCTTCGACAATACATATGAATATATAACAATATAAGAATTACAATAGACACAGGCACAGAGACAATGGGCGGGCTACATGTAATGATTAAAAGACAAACTGATTAAAACAACAGAAAGGAGGAAACCATGAAAATGAACAAAATCTGGCAATCAGTATTTAAAAAAACTCTAAAATTAGAACAGCACAACAACAGAGAGGAAACCAACAAGGGCATCTAATCACCTATCAACAAAAGATTGCTCAAGGCACTGCCAGGCCATCAAATGCTAATCAAGGTGGTCAGTAGAAACATTCACACCTAGCTCCAACAGACAAGAGTCCTTTGTCTCACCCTGGTCATTCCACAGATACATAAACCCATTTTCCTAGTTCCAACAGACCTCACTACCTCTGAAGATGCTTGCCATAGATGCATGTGAAACGTCAGGAGATAATGCCTCTAGAACATGGTCATATAGCCCGAAAAAACCTACAACAACCCACAGATTAAAACTAATTAAAAACTCAGACAAGATAAAAGAGACAAGCAGATAAGATGCGGAATGAGGAATTACTCCATCAGTGTCACAAATGGACGGTGAAGTGACAGCATCCCTAGAATACCCTCATGAAAAGCTAGAAGTTAATATAATAATAATAATAAAACTTTATACTCTGCCACCATCTCCCCAAGGGACTCGGAGCGGCTTACATGAGGCCAAGCCCAACAACACATCAATAAAAAATATTTGGGAATAAGCAAAATAAACAAAACAATTAATATAACTCGCACATAGACAATAACACACAAGTATTTAAAAACCTATGGCCGGGCCAGATGTAGTAGTTAAAACTTTAAAAATAAATGCTGGACATGAACAAAGGATGTATCTAATAGGAGGGTTTTAAATGAAAAGTAGAGAGCAGCCCAACGGGTAATTAAAGTGCTTCTCAGGATATTTTGCAGGGAATTGTTTCCTTCATTCAGGGAAGGCACACTGGAACAGCCACGTTTTCAGGCTCCTCCTAAAGACTGCCAATATGGGGGCATGTCTGATATCCTTGGGGAGTGAGTTCCAGAATTGGGGGGGCCACCATAGAGGAGGCCCTCTCCCTCGTCCTCATCCCCACCAATCGTACCTGCGGAGGAGGTGGGAGCGAGAGCAGGGCCTCTCCAGATGATCGAAGAGAGCACGTGGGTTTGTATACAGAAATGCGGTCACGCAGGTAGGCGGGTCCCAAACCATTCAGGGCTTTGTAGGTCAGAACCTGCACCTTGAATTGAGATTGGAAAATGAACGGCAGCCAATGGAGCTTCTTAAACAGGGGGGTTGACCCGCTCCCTGTAAGTCGTCCCACTTTACTAGAGATTTAAGTCTGCACACTGCACCTATCTCCAAAAAACCTATCCATTTCACCTGTCATGTCCAGCATTTTTAAAAATTTTATCCATTACATTTGGCCTGGCCTCAGTTTTTAAATGCGTCATGGTGTTATTGTTTAATGTTTATTGCTACTGTTTTAATGTTATTGTTTTGCTTTATGAGTTTATTTATTGTTGTATTTGTTATACTGTTGTTTTATTGATGTGTTGGCCTTGGCCTCTTGTAAGCCGCACCGAGACCTTCGGGAGATGTTAGCGGGGTATAAATAAAGTTAATAATAATAATAATAATAATAATTGGTAACCTGGCTGCCGCCCATTGGACCAATTGAAATTTCTGAGCCGTCTTCAAGGGCAGCCCCACGTAGAGTGCATTACAGTAATCCAATCTGGAGGTGACTAAGGCCTTTGTGTGTCTGTCTATATATGTTGTATGTCTGTGGCATTGAATGTTTGCCATATATATGTACATTGTAATCCGCCCTGAGTCCCCTGCGGGGTGAGAAGGGCGGAATATAAATACTGAAAATAAATTAAATAAATAAATAAGGAGAAATGGCCTGGTGGGGACAAATAATGCTTTCTCTTTCAGATATTCTGTGAGGCAGAGTTCCGTATGAGGGCGGCCCTCCGTGAGATAAACAAAGAGTAGGCACTGGCATCGGTCAGTTAGGGCCCTGCAAATGTTTTGGACTTCAACTCCCACAATTCCTGACAGCCTCAGACCCTTTCCTTTTCCCTCTGAGATGCTAGGAAAGAACCCGAGGCTGTCAGGAATTGTGGGAGTTAAAGTCCAAAACACCTGCAGGGCCCAAGTTGGCCCTTGCCTGGAGATCCACCCAAAGGTCAAAGATCATATTTATTTGTATCCTGCTCTTGGAATTCAGAGAGAATAATACAACTAAAACAACACAAACAGGATTTAAAACAGGATGGAATTGTTTCTAACATCGAAACAATTCAAAAATCCAGTTACAAGAATAAAATAAAAGGGGTCAGTAGGGGACCCCTTCCCCCAGCACCAACTGCCGCTCTGGCCCAGAGTGAAGAGAGAGGGGGCCAGGGGACAGTTTCACCTTGTCTCCTGTGCTATGTTAATAATATAATGTAATATAATATATTGTATATACATGTAATATTTGCAATATAATACTGTAATGCAATATAATACTAACAATAATAATATGGTATTATATTTACAGTATATTCTGGCGTATAAGACTACTTTTTAACCCAAGAAAATCTTCTCAAAAGTCAGGGGTCGTCTTATACGCGGCTGTAGTCTTATGCATGGGAGTCGTCTTAACTCTATATTTTAACTGGAAAAGTTGGGGGTCGTCTTATATGCCGGAATATACGGTATATTACATGTAATATTACTAATAATACAATATAATGGTATAATACAATATAGTAATAATTAATACTGATATTGTACTATGCTAATAATATAATATATTGTATGTATATATATCTTGTAAGCCGCTCTGAGTCCCCTTCGGCATATAAATGTCGTAAATAAATAAAATGCATTGGGTTGCTGTGAGATTTCCGGGCTGTATAGTCATGTTCCAGAAGCATTCTCTTCTGACATTTCGCCCCCATCTATGGCAGGCATACTCAGAAGTTGTGAGGTCTGTTGGAAACTAGGCAAGTTAGACTTACATATCTGTGGATTATCCAGAGTGGGAGAAATAACTCTTGTCTGTTTGAGGCAAGGGTGACAAGTGTCTCAAACAGACACCTGGACTTTCTCCCACCTGGACATTCCACTCAGCTTTACCAAAATTCCAGGTTTTCTAATGTGTGTTACTTTGTTTTAGATAACAAAAGCCGTAGTATGCTAACTTCTATTTGTTGATGTGTTTTCTTTTCAGACTCAGACCTTAAGAATTCAGGGAGACTCTATGATGACTACACTTCGAAAGTAATTGAATTAATTTTTCTTGGGTTATAGGGGTTGTTGATGAAATAAAATTCACCATGTTTTTCTACTCTTGTTTTCTGTAGGTGACTTTAGATTGTGAAGAAAAGACTCCTCTGAGGAGTTTTGAAAAACCGAGAAGGTAAATCTGTATTTATTTTGATGACTGGGAAAGAGGCATATTAGGGTGAAACTTGTTCATGGCAATAGATCTTTGCAGTGCTAGGTTATAGGCATATCTCAGTACTAGGCTATAGATTCTCAGTATCCAATTGCAGGTATATGTCTGAAGTAAACAATCCTGAGCTAGAAAAGAAGGATTCGTTCTAGTTAGTCTGACTGTAGCTGTGTGACCTTATGTATTAGGCATGTGTGATCCAAAAAAAGATTGGTTCTAAACTGTGTTCAAAAGCAGGGTGCACTTGCACTTCATTTTTACAGTCATTTCCATTTTTTGTTTCAAAAATAGTCAGAACTTTACGGAACTTCCGAATGTTTGTAAGAGATTTGTGGGTTTTTATGGTAAAGTCGTTATTAATTATTTGACACAATCTCATATATAATCAGAAGATATACGTTCAGAAATAATAAAATATGTTTGCAATGAATAATGAAATATGTGCAATGGGGGGAAAACACCACTAGCAGTGGGGAAACCTCTGGGCCTCCTCTCGCCCTCGCTTTTTGAACTATCCTGATCAAATTTTCATCTTACAACCTTTACAAAAACAATTAAAATCCTACACTGTAAAGGAGAGACAGTGGAGGGTCCCGCCCTAGAGTTGGAAAGAAGCTGCTCCTTTAAAGCAACTGCTGAATCAAACAAGCAAAGAGTCACAGGTGGAATAATTTGAAGGAGGGGGGAGTGAAGGAGTGAAGATAAGAGGGAGAGTGGAGGAGGAAAGGGACTTGAGTGGCTGGCATGCTTGAAATAAGGAATTGCTGAGAGAACTTCAAACGGCTGCCTGAGACTTGTTTATTGTAAACAACCAACAGAATGGATGAACATGCATATGATGTTCCCCTGCCTATGGGGGATGCTGGACCTTCTCACATACACACACATGTATATATATATTTAAGAATACCAAGTGCAACAACCCAATTAAATCTGTAACGACCAGTTAAATCAAAATATCGCGTCTGCTAGCAGAAGTCAAAGCATGCCAAGTCAGCTTCAGCTGGAAGCAAAATCCACAGTTTTGTCCTTTCCAAAAATGCCTGTGATGTGGAAGAGGCAAGCAAAAGGTAAATCCTGAAGGTTTTTAAACTTAGTTCCTCTGCCTTTTCTAAACCCAGCTTGTACGTCTGGCAACTCTCGCTCCATGTATTGCTGGAGTCTACCTTACAGGATCTTGAGCATTACCTCACTGGCATGTGAAATAAGTGCCACTGTATGAAAGTTTGAGCATTCTTTAGCATTTCCCTTTTTTTGGTATGGGGATATAAGTTGATTTTTTTCCAGTCTGATAGCCATTCTTATGTTTTCCATATTTGCTGGCATATGGCATGCATCACCTTAACAGCATCATCTTTTGAGATTTTAAAACAGTTCAGCTGGGATCCTGTTGTCTCCTGGTGTCTTGTTATTAGCAATGCTTCTTAAGTCCCATTCAACCTCACTCCTCAGGATGTCTGGTTCTAATTCACTCACCAAAATGTCAGAGCTATACTCAATATTATTATTTTTCCAATATAGATCTTCTGTATAGTCTCGCCACCTTCTCTTGTTCTCTTCAGCTTCTGTTAGGTCTCTGCCATCTTTGTTTTTTTATCATGCCCATGTAGCCTGAAATTTACCTCCGATGTTTCTAATTTTCTGGAAGAGGTCTCTTGCCCTTCCTATTCTGTTGTCTTATTCCACTTCCATGCATTGCTTGTTTAAAAGTAGTTCTTTATCTCTTCTGGCTAACCTCTGGAATTGTGCATTTAATCCGCTATAATATGTATGAGCTTTGTTATATTTTTCTTTTGTGCTTAGAATGGAGTTGTTTCAGAAATACATAAGAAGAAAAACATATTGGTCCTGCTTTTTAAAAGTGCAGCTAATTAAGGTTGTTTTTTTTAAAAAAAACCTATTCTTAAACATGGTTTATTTTTTCTAAAATACTATAATTTGGTATTTATAGGTTGAAAAATGTGAAAAAACAAGCCTTTAAAGAACAAACCAGGGATTCTAACAGGAGTCCAGTTGACCATAAGATTTTGGACACATCTATAATAGATATGGTAAGTTTAAAAAAAATCTTATCTTTCCGGTTACTAGTACTCTAAAAAACGCTGACCTTCATTAAGTTTGAACACTGATTGAAAGTCGGGGTACCTTTGGTTGGGGTACCTGTGATCTTCCAGACGTTGTTGAGTTACGGTTCACATTGGTTGGCTAGTATGGTCAAGGAAGATGGGAATCAAAATAATTTTCGGATGGCCGCAGATTTCCTGTGACAATGAAAACAGTGATCCTGCATTTCAAAATAAGTATGTAATGAAGGATCCTGATAATATTTGAATGAAATTCTGATTGTACTGAAGTGTAATAATTAGCAATGCATTTCTGGCATACTTACCCCAGACATTAATCTATAAAACCTTGACGTTTTAGTAAAAAGAATCAACCCCCAAAAACTTGTGTCAAAAAAGGCAAGAGCTTATTTTAAGATGTGAGATGCCTTGACTTCACTGGAGAAAGGTGGCATAGAAATCTCCTAAATAAATAAATTAGTATATCCAGAAGAAGCTAAAAGAAGCACTGGCATCTGCTACACTCCGCTGTGGAAATGCTTCTGACCTTTTTGAATGTCTGGCCAGGGAAATGGCAGTGCCCAGGGGCAGTGTGGCCCCCTGAGGTGGCAGAATGGTGCCCAACTTCTCCACAGAAGACATCAAAATCTTTTGTGTTGCGCCTCAAAACCTCTTGATAGGTTGATTCATATATGAGTGTGTACTGTACTTGCAAATAGACTCCTGGTTTGTTTTCTCAGTCATTTATTTAATTGCTGTATCTTAATAACACGAGCTTTGAGCCAAACAGCTTATAATTTGAACCAGATACTTAGTCTTATGCAAGACACTATTCCGTCTCATCCACAGAGAAAAATAGTAAACAATCTTATGTAAGGATTATAGGATTAAGAATTGCTTCAGACATTCTACAAGTGCTAAGTATTAATGGCACAAATACAGATGTGATGAATGTTTAAGGATCTTTTAAACATTTAATGTTTAAATGTTACGTTTCTATGATCTACTCGATAATTATATGTTATTGTTTATGTCAGGTTTCATATGCATGTGAGGCATTACATTTTGCCATAAATATGTTGGAAACCGCTTTGAGTTCCCTCTGGGGTGAGAAAAGCGGTATACAAGTGAAGTAAATAAGTAAATAAATTGTTTTGTTTAGTTGCTTGGATTGCCCAGATAACTACAAAGAAAAGAACAAAAAATATTGTTTGGCATTCAACAGCCAAATGAAATAAAGTATAACATATTTGAAGAATTGCACAAAACACTGAAAATGGAATGACCAAGTATCACTGCAAAAGCTTTTTTTGAGGTTGTGGATGTAATTTAGAGTTACATTTCAAATGAATGTGACTAAATTATTAATTTTTTTTTCAAAACATCTTTCTGTATGGAATAAATTTACCTCTTTTGTAACTATGCTTTTTGCCATTTAAGTCTGTCACTTATAATCTAACAACTCCCCCAGATCTGTCACCGCTGAAATTCTTCTTTAGGTTCACCATAATTGGAAACAAAAGTACAAATATAATTCTACCATTACAGAGCAAACTAATGTTCTAGGATTGTTAATGCTCGCTCTAATCATAAATTATTGTGCTGTTACTTCTTGCTCAAAAACTCAGTCTTTCAGAAAATTGTCAGTTGGTTTTTCCTCTGAGATTCCACATTAGCTTGACAGCACAGGCTAACTCAGCAACTTTTAACAATCCATTCTTTCATCATCATTGCGTCCTTCCGCTTCCATTTCTGAGCAGATATTATTTTTACTGCTGGTGTCAATGTGAAGAAGCTGCCCATGTTTGTATTTAATCCTTTGTCTGTAACACCCAGCAAAATATATCTGGTAACTTTATAAAATCTGGCTTTAGAATATTTTGAAATATATTATCATAAAGCAATAGGTTTTAACTTTTTTACAACTCTACCACATGCGAAAGAAATAACCTTCTCTTGACATCTATGACCTTGATTTTTAGGTATTTATGCATCATAGAATCATAGAGTTGAAGAGACCAAATGGGTTATCCAGTTCAAACCTCTGCCATGCAGGAAAAGCACAATCAAAGCATCTCCCGATAGATGGCCATCCAACCCGTGCTTAAACCTCACACACACACGCCTCCCCAGAGAAGGAGACTCTTGTCCATGTTTTCTTTTAAATTATTATCCAGTGTAAACTTTGAATGGTTGGGCCACGTTGTCCCCAAACATCCATTTGAAAATTATGCCCAAAATTGTTGTTCATTCATTCAGTCATCTCCGACTCTTCACGACCTCATAGACCAGCCCACGCCAGAGCTCCCTGTCGGCCGTCACCACCCCCAGCTCCTTCAAGGTCAGTCCAGTCACTTCAAGGATGCCATCCATCCATCTTGCCCTTGGTCGGCCCCTCTTCCTTTTGCCTTCCACCTTCCCCAGCATAATTGTCTTCTCTAGGCTTTGCTGTCTCCTCATGATATGGCCAAAGTACTTCAACTTTGTCTCTAGTATCCTTCCCTCCAATGAGCAGCCAGGCTTTATTTCCTGGAGGATGGACTGGTTGGATCTTCTCACAGTCCAAGGCACTCTCAGAACTTTCCTCCAACACCACAGTTCAAAAGCATGCCCAAAATGTTGAGCCCATTTTATCATATACTTAGCTATTGATCCAACTTCTGTCTTAATTTCAGAATGTATTCATAGACTTTTAAAATAACAGTCATGTTTACACAATTCTAAGTAAAATACATTTTCTCTATCATCTCTGGCTAGTCATCTCTCTTATCTTGATTAATCTTTCATTAAGTTGTAAATTTAAAAAAGCCAATTACAACTCTGTTTCTAATTGAGAAAGTACTTTTTTCTTCTAGAACATAGGATTTTTAGAAAACAATCTATTTTGCATTTACTGAATAAAAAATAAGTGCAAATAGATAAGCTTCTTAAGGATACCAAAATACTGACTTGGTTAAAATGATGAATAAATCATTTTGTGGGTATCTTGCTACACTAAGTTATCATTATGCTTTAGCATATCTCAATCTCATCCTAAGAAACGTGGAGGACCTGATCAATGTAGTCAAGGTGGTCGGATCCTTAGGGGCAAGTGACCATGTGCTCCTGCAGTTTGTGATACGAAGGACGGTCAAAACTAAGACAAGTCAGACCCGCATTCTGGACTTTAGGAGAGCTGACTTCTGAAAAATGAAGGAAATATTTGTTAGCAGTCAGACTCTCCAGTCTGGGCACAGCAAGCGTGTGGTTTCAAAATAAACAAACATAGGCAGCATTCTTCTAAGTTAGCTTTACTTAAAGCGTCTATACACACAGAGACTACATCATGGAACTAAAAGATGGCGACGGACACACAGTACAGCAAGAAGACACAGCATACAAGAGATCCGCCCTTCTGTCTTATCTATGTTCTTGGCTGGTACACTCCTTAATTTCTCTCAGGGCAAAGGAATTTCGTGTTATCACAGTTTCACTGTCTGGCCTGTAACTTTGCAACAATAACATATGTGAACTGAACAGGAAATGAGCATAACTGAATCCATCTGTAAGAAGCAAACTAATACATTATAATACTAATGCAAACACATTGAAAAACATACATACATATGAAGTAACTATAACTACTCTGACAATATTGAGCGGCATTCCATGGATACCGATGCTAAAAGACAAGGGAGTTACAGATGGATGGGAGTTTTTCAAGAGTGAAATACTCAAAGCGCAATTGCAAATAGCACCAACAAAGAGAAATATAAGATAAGTGTAAAGAAGCCAGAAAGGATGTCGAAATAACTTCTAACTGGCCTAAGCCTCAAAAGGAAGAACAAGAAGGCGATGAAGCCTCTGAGGAGAAGATGGGGAAATGCTGACAGGATAGGGAAAAGGCAGAATTACTTAATGCCTTCTTTGCCTCAATCTTCTCACAAAAAGAAAACCATCCTCAATCTCAGCAACAGGGAGTAGACAAAGGATTAAGGGAAATCCAATCCCAAATAGGGAAACAAGTCACCCAGGAAGTCATTCACTCAAAATAAATTAAAGTCCCCAGGGCTGGATCAACTGCATCCAAGAGTATTGAAGGAACTAGCGGAAGTCATTTCGGAACCATTGGCAATCATCTTTTAGAGTTTTTGGAGAAGGGGATAAGTCCCAGCAGATTGGAGGAGGGCCAATGTGGTCCCAATCTTCAAGAAGGGAAAAAAGGATGACCCAAACAATTACTGTCTGGTCAGTTTCACATCGATACCAGGCAAGATCCTGGAAAAGATCGTTAAGAAAGTGGTCTGCAAACACTTAGAAATGAATGCGGTCATCTCTAACAGTCAACAAAAGCAAGTCATGCCAGACTAATCTGATCTCTTTTTTTGGATAGAGTTACAAGCTGGGTAGATGCAGGAAATGCCATGGATGTAATCATATCTGGATTTCAGTAAGGCCTTCAACAAGGTCCCCCATGACTTTCTGGTAAACAAACTAGTCAAATGTGGGCTAGGCAAAACTATGGTCAGGCGGATCTATAATTGGTTAAGTAAACGAACCCAGATGGGCTCACCAATGCTTCCTCTTCATCCTGGAAAGAAGTGACGAGTGGAGTGCTATAATCAGGGATCCATCCTGGGCCCGGTCCTGTTTGATATCTTTATGACTTAGATGAAGGGTTAGAAGACATGAACATCAAGTATGCAGACAACACCAAATTGGGAGGAATAGCCAATACTTAAGAAGACAGGAGCAGAATTCAAAAAGATCTTAACAGATTAGGGATGGGCCAAAACTAACAAATTGAAGTTCGAGACAAATGCAAGATACCCCACTTAGGCAGAAGAAAGGAAATGCAAAGATACAGAATGGGGGGACTTCTGGCTCGACAGCAGTATGTGTGAAAAAGATCTTGGAGTCCTCGTGGACAACAAGTTAAACATTTGCCAACAATGTCATGTGGCAGCTTAAAAAGCCAATGGGATTTTGGCCTGCATCAATAGGAGCATAGTGTCTAGATCTGTGGTTCCCAACCTGTGGGTTGAAAATCTGGTCCGTGAACCTCCTTTCTCTTTTTTTAAATTTTATTTCTGCTCCTTTCTACAAAACTGACCAGCCACACCCCTTTTAGTACTAATGTTGGAGAGTGGTTCCTGGTCAAAGTGGGCCCTGGTCAAAAAAAGGTTGGGAACCACTGGTCTAGATCCAGGGAAGCCATGCTATCCCTCTATTATGCCTTGGTCAAACCTCACATGGAATACCCGGTCCAGTTCAGGGCACTGCAATTTAAGAGAGATGTTGACAAGCTGGAATGTGTCCAAAGGAGGGCAACTAAAATGATCAAGGGTCTGAAAAACAAGCCCAATGAGGAGCAGCTTTTATAGAGCTGGGCATGTTTAGCCCGCAGAAGAGAAGGCTCGGAGGAGACATGATAGCCAGGTATAAATATGTGAGGGGAAGTTATAGGTGGGAGGGAGCAAGCTTGTTTTCTGCTGCCCTGGAGACTAAAACATAGAACAATGGCTTCAAACTACAGGAAAGGAGATTCCATCTGAACATTAGGAAGAACTTCCTAATTATGAGGGCTGTTCAGCAGTGGGACTCTGGTAGAAGCTCCTCCTTTGAGATTTTAACCATCCATTATAAATGAAGGAAATAAATAAATCTGTCAGGGGTGCTTTGAATGAGATTTTCCTGCTTCTTGGCAGGGGGTTGGACTGGATGGCCCACGAGTTCTCTTCCAAATCTGTGATTCTATGAATATTTCATTTCCATTCTCTTTTGTCACATATTCCAACTTTTGTCATCTACCATTAAAAGCAAATATACATACAAGTTTTGAAGGCCTACACTTTTGATCAAATGTATTTAAATATAACACTGAAGTGTTTTGTTTTTATGAACATAGAGTTCTTCTAACTTTCATATTTCTTGTATTAGGACAGCAAAATTAATAAACGCATAGAAAATGCTTTGGAAGAAGCTGAAAACAACATTGAGCATTTAAATACTATGGAGGAGGTAAGCTGCAAGATCATTTGGTTGCTTGTAATATTTTACATAGTTCCAGGACTTGCAATGGATACCAAAATTTGTGGATGCTCAAGTCTCCTTATATGTAATAGCATAGTTAAATGGTGTTGAGAAGGAATCTTTGTATGTTAACGTAACTGAATCAGTGATATGCCAGACAAATAAGGTTAAAAGTTTACTGTTAAAAAACAGAGTTAGAATACCTAGTAGATTTGCCACCATGTAATAGATAAAGGAGTGGGAAATAGTAATTTCTTGCTATTTTCATTATGGTAATTTAATAATATCTGTAACTCTTAATTCTTTCACCCAAAGAAATATGCATAACTGTATAGCTATGTTCACCCCCTTTTAAAAAAAAAATATGTAAAAGGTTCTTCAACAGTTGATTATGGAAGCAAAGTGGGAAGAAGTCAGGACTGCAGAAGTTATAAATGCCCAGTTTGCACGCTTGGCTGCATCTCTACATTCAAGGTAACATGACTGAAATTAATATTTTGTGAAGCATTTTTCTGAAAATTATAACTGTAAAATACAGGGCTTTGTGTGGCTTATTTGGTTCACAAGACGTTGGTAATTGTAACAGTATCACAATGCTTGGTTTTATGATATCTGCAGAAGCAATCCTAGATGAGCTTATTGAACCTATGAGTTGCAGGTGGAGTGTTCCTACTTTATGGATTTCTGACTGACCAGTGCCAGGAGATTTCTTTTTCCTCTTTTTCCATAGCATTTGTATTCTTTGCTGCTTTCTCTAACTATTTGAACAGTAATATATATAATGCAGTTAGAATGTTATAGAAACCAACCCTCCAATATCCCTTTTATTTATTTATTATTTATTTACCATATTTGTATATTGCTCTTCTCAGCCCAAAGGCGACTCAGGGCGGTTCACAGTTGGCAACATTTGATGCCTCAACAAGTAAAACAATTGTAAAATATTGTTAAAACATTAGCATAAATGATAAACGTATAAAAACAGTGCAAAGCCATAAAAACATTATCGTGAACCTTCTTGTTAAACTTGTTATTCAATTGCATACTCAGCCACAAGTGATAGTCTATGATTATATTTATTTATTTATTTATTGTGTCAGAAGCAAATTGAGAATACAGTTACAATGTGTCAAAAACTACAAAGTTAAAAACTTGGAATTATGATAAATTTCCTCTGACCAGAAGCTGGCCTCTTGTAGTGCCTCTGGTGTTGCTGTAAGAAGGTCCTCCATTGTGCATGTGGCAGGGCTCAGGCTGCATTTTAGTAGGTGGTCTGTGGTTTGTTCTTTTCCACACTTGCATTTTGTGGTCTATGATGATGATACCAAAGCATTCAAATTCAACATCCAATACTATAGTAACCCTCAGAGCTACAGTAATAAACAATACTGGGCAGCAAACATTTTTACACCTCAAATATTAGTCCTGTTTCTGGGTATATTTAACCTGCTGATTCCAGAAATGGCACCAATTTCCCCTATATCGTCCGTAACTCAAGTTTTTGATAGTATTTCTTGTTCCTTTTTTCCATTTTCCTTGTAACTTTTATAAATTGTTTCAGAGTAAATGCAGTGTTTATAGGTAGCACATCCTTTGCTCTTGAAGAATCTGAATGTTTTTTTCAGAAATTTTCTTCATGGTGAATTTAGAACAGACATTTATCCATATTTTAATTAATGGTTTGTAAAGTAAATCACAGGCTGTGAATAGGTGCCTTTAATTTGTGGTAATGCATTTGAGTGGAAGAAATGCAATGTATCCTGTTTTAGAGTGACACTATTTTTGAGGACTAAAATATCACTGTTTACAGGATTATTAAGTGATAATATGATCACAACTCCTGAATTTAGCTTTATAAGCAAAAGTCATAAAACAGTAAGTTTTTAAAAAGGAGAAGGAAAGAGGAAAATACAATTGATTATTTGGTCTGTGTTCTGAACTGTGCCATCAACCTTTTCAGAAGTCTAATTTTCTTTGCTTTTAATTAGGAAAAGAAAACTAGAGGCAGAGCTGGTAATGAACACCAGTTTCTATGTAACAGATGTTCACGGTGTCCAGGTTTCAATTGCACAGAAAAAAAGCATTTTGGATGGTGCCATAAAAATAGCAACGCAGTTGAAATCAACCAATAATGTAAAATCTTGCCATAGTTTAAATCAGGTAACTTTTGTTCTAAATATTTCTTTCCAGACGTTTAAAATCTCACTAGTATAGTCAAAATCACATGGAATTGTATCTGCTGCATATTTTAAAAGAATCAGTGTTACGATTTTCTGAGCTCTTGAGCCAGAATTGAAGGATCTGGCAGAAGATTAAAAAAATCAATGTTCTAATATGCAGATGAGCTATATTTTCATATAGCTGTCTCAAAAGCTACTTTTTTTTCTACTTTGGCAAGTAGGGAAAAAAAGAATTCTCTCCATGTCTTTTTTCCTTACTACATGTCAAAACTGCTATTTAAAAGATTTTTCTACTTTGGTTTTCTCAGGGTGTTTTCTGCCACAATAGAAAGGTCACATCCTATGATGTATAAGATTTTGGGGAGATTTCTCTGAAGATGTTTGAAGCAATATACAAATTTTTGAAAATTCAATGCAAATCCAAATAATAGCAATAACATTACTGCAACCCCGTCAGTAACACTGTAGTGTCATTATTGCAAGCAAAGTAGCACATTTTTATTAATGTTTTCCAACTAGTGGTTGATAAACAAGGATGCCACTTCCAGAAGTAAGGAGTTTCAAAGTCTTCAATGTAGCCATTAATATATTAGAGACCCACAAACAGAGCAATTGCAATATTATTAAAATGTTCTGAGCAAAGTCATCACAACATCTGAGGATGCCTGCCATAGATGCAGGCAAAACGTCAGGAGGGAATCCTTCTGGAATATGGCCATACAGCCTGAAAAACTTACAACAACCCAGTGATTCAGGCCATGAAAGCCTTCAACAATACATTGTACTTCGTATGGTATGCCCAACTGTTTTGTTCTTTATCTGTATTGTGTTTTCAGAACATGTTTTCTAATTTTTTCCCCTTTCCAATTAAATGCATGGTACCTGAAAATAAATAATTGCTTCTTTATGCTATATATGTAATATGGATTAGGCAGAAAAATACATCTAGTTTCCCTTAAATGGTAATCTATCAGCATTCAATATTAGGTTGTTTCCCCACTGGTAGTTGCTATGTTATACCACAGTTTACATAAAGACTTTTATTTATTCTAGGTTCTCTGCAAATTGAACATGACAATTGAGGATGAGATCTTAAAACTAGATAATCTGAAAAAAAGAGCACTTCCATGGTAAGTTACAAGAGTGCTGCCTACTGTGGAATAGTTAGTGTTTGTAAATTCACTAATTATAATTATTATTTGCCTTTCGTTCTTAAAAAGAAGAGGTCGGGTGTAACTATTATGCTTGAACTGGGCCCACAGAAATAACACTCAATTTACTATCTTACATTCTGTTGATAACAGTGAATTTATGATCCAACCTCTCTAGGGAGAAAGGTTAGCTAAACATATTAGGACTACTGAATGCTGCATACCATGAATCGACACAATACACCTATCAGGCCAATGAGTGACCATCAGTCATAAAAACACTGAAAAAAACAACAGAAGAGACTTAAAAGGCAAAGAAAAGCAAAAAAATGCTACAGCACATGCGCAAAAACAACTCCCACGGCGAACAAAACACAATAGCACATCCACTCTCTCTTTCAGACTACAGCTCCCAGCATCCCCTAGACCAGGCCCTTTAGGAGAGGAGGATGATCCAAATGCACTGCTTCCAAGCTGCAAGCTTTCTTCTTGGATTTCTTTGAGAGCATCCCAATCCCTTGATATTTCCTATTCCTGGACTGCAACTCCCAGCAATCCTCCAGACAGATAGATAGATTAGATAGAGATAGGTAGGTAGATTGATCAGGGGGATTGCTGGGAGTTGCAGTCCGAGAATAGGTAGAGAAGGAAGAAAAGGGGAGGGGAAGGAAGGAAGAAAAGGAAGTAAGGAGAGAATGAAAGAAAAGGAAGGAAGGAATAAGAGAGGGAAGAAAGGAGAGAGAGAAAGAAGGAAAAAAGATTGGCCACAGCAACGCGTGGCAAGTACAGCTATTGAAGTTATAATCCTATAACCCTCTCCTTTTAGCCCCTTTTATGTATAACTTAAAAAACCATAATAAAAATTTATTTATAAAAACAGAATGATGAATGCAGTGTAGTTCTTTTCATTTAACTGTGTGTGAGATCTAAAATTCTGCTTCATTGGTGAAATGGAATGAACTCTCTCAGAAAAGACAAATTAATGGGAACAAAATGGGTCAAGTGAATATATTGCATGAATTTATTTGGTTTATTCTGGTTATCTAATCCTAATTCTTGCAAAGTTCACACATCGTTTAAAAATCAGAGCAATATTACAGTCTAAGAAAATCTTCTCGGACAATAGATTCCTTGATTTTTTCCATTCTTTTTACCGGCATAAATGAGTTCTCAGATTGCATTAAGATACAATACAGTGACGAGTTGCCATTATAAAATAGACATTTTATTAAGAATTATATTGAGAAACATTGCCTGAAATGCATTGTTGCCTAGAGGCTTAAAATTGTGTCATAGGGAATCTCTTATCTTTTCAGTTTCTTTGGAGTACAGTGTTCCTTGAACTCTATCCATAGAATTTCAATAGTGTGTTCTATATTTAATAAAGTATCCCCCTCCTACTCCCTCTCAAGTGTGGAATTAATACAGGCTTTATATTTCCAATACAGTTTTTACATGGATTGTGATGAGCTCACCTGTGTGTTTGAAAACATGGGGAAACTCTCCTCTAGTATTTTTAATACGTAAGTATTTTATTGTATGTGACATATAGCATAGAGTGTACTTAATACATTTTCTCAGCACTTGCCACTTTGGTATTTTAAATACTGTGGGTATTTTTTTTCTGCCGTGTTTTGAAATGATTAAGAAAATGTCTAAAATTAACATAAAAATCAAAGGCATGATAATGACTATTCTAGAGCCTTTTTGGTGGCAATCCTCACTTTCTGTACACTATATATGAGCACTCTATTAATGATTTATAAGCATTCCTCTTAAAAAACAAAGGCCATTTTTCAATTTATTTAGTGTACTAATGATTCTTACTTCTGGCAACTTGTCAACTCAGGCCTGGTCTTGGAAGTAACCCTCTTAAACCAAGCGGTACGGAAGAGGAATTCAGAAACAGTGCTGTAACGCAAGTAAATGCAAAATGTAAACCACTTTCTGATGATGAGTCTATGGTCCTTTTCCTGCAAAACCCTGATGTGTATCCTGAAGGAAGTTGCACCTCATTCCAAGAGAGAGCTCCATCATCCATTCAGAAATGCACTGGTGCTTTGCCACAAGTTGCATCTTCCCCAGATGTCATAATTGAAGAAATAATTGAAGATGATCAAGAAAGTAAGTAACACTCCTTCGGCAGCTGTTTGACTGATCTCTCTTATCCTAAAACTTTAATCATTCCCAAATATTTAATATTAGGGGTTTTTTTTAATGGAAGCAATGTTTTCTTATTACAGATATTATATAGAAGGAGTTCTACCCATTGACTTATGCTTAAGTTGCACGTAAAATAATGTTCTAATATTCTAGAATATCTGTTGTCAGAGGTTTCTGCTCTCAGAGCACTCTTGAAAAGACAAGAAATTACCGAGGACCACTTGTCACAAAGTATAGAATGCGGGGAAAGAGGTAGGGTAGCAGGCACAGGTGGAATTTGCCATAATCATCTAGCAATTACTGATAACATTTTCGGTTCATATATTCCTGCTTGAAATACTATTTTCCCAATAAATACATTATTTTTATGCTAACATTCTAGCTTTTTTAAAAAATTGTTTTTGAAGGCTATTTTTATTAGTATTGTTGACAGCTTAATTACCCATATAAACAACATCTCATGAAGAGGGTCATTTTGCAATACACCAGTGGTTCCCAACCTGTGGTTTGTGGACCACCAGTGGTCTGCAAGAACTAAAATATGGTCCACAGCCTCACCATTACTACACACGAGGCAACCAAAGCAACTGGTCTCGTAAAACACTCTTTTGGTGCCAAGGCAACAAGGATGTTGGAAGTTTCTGTAACAGAAACTAGAGCTGATGTGGTCTATCCAATGCAATTTTCTGAATCAGCTCCCCGAATAACCAAACCGAATCTAAAGTTGACTAATCTAAAGTTGATTTGTAACTCTTTTGGTACTAATGTTGGAGAGTGGTCCCTGGCCAAAAAAAGGTTCGGAACCACTGTAATACATAAATGTGCAGCACATTCTAGAAATTGTCATGTGGCATAAGAAACCATTAGTTAAATGATGTAACTCCTTTCTAAACTGGATGCAGAGTAAGTCTATCTGTAATTCTATATATAGAATCATAGAGTTGGAAAGGGTCCCCATGGTTCAAACCCTTTGCTCAGTGCTGAACCTTCAGCTATAAGATTTTTAGAATCATAAAGTTTCAGCAGAAACACAGCCGGTCCGTTCCCTGTATCTTGTTATTGGATATTGGTATCCTAGCATTGAAACAGATTTATTTATTTTATTTTATTTTATGTTAAATCATCTTTACTGATGAAAATTGGATAGAAAGAGGGAAGTTGGGGGAAGAAAAGAAACGAAAAGAAAAAGGAGGGGGGTGAGGAGTGGTGGGATATTTACATTTCTTCCTCACTCTTGAGCGTAGGCCAGCGTTGTTGGGGTTCTTCTTTACTATTTCTTCCCCAGGTTGCTTCTCTTCTTCCTAAGATTGAATTGTTCCTTGATCTTCCATTCGTAGCATAATCTTCATCTTCTCCTGTTTCAGGAAGTTGGTTAGTTGTGACCAGTCCGTCTCTTTTCTAGTTCTATTTTGCTCGTGGGCTAGTTGTTGAGATAGTGAGTCCATTTTCATAATATCTATCATTTTTATTAGCCATTCTTGCCTTGATGGGGTTTCTTCTGTTTTCCAGTGCCTTGCGAGTATTATTCTTGCAGCAATTGTTAGATATATATATAAGAAGGATGTCTTTTTTTTTTCCAATTTTTTTATCCATAATACCTAACAGGAGGAGTTCTGGGTTGAAGTCTATTTGCTCTTGAATTATTTTTTGAATTTCAACATGGATTTGTTTGTTTGTTTGTTTACAATATTACTATTCTGCCTTTCTCAAGCCCGAAGGCGACTCAAGGCGGCTATACAACACAGGCAGCTATTTGATGTCATAACCATACACAGTATAAAATATAAACATTTAAAACCATTAATAAAATCAAACAATAAAAACAATTTCAAAACATGTAAAACCTTTGCCTTCACTATTCATCTCATTGTCCAAAGAACATTGTCTGAGCCATTCCAATTCAGTTCCATATATATATATATATATATATATATATATCCGAGATTGTCTATAGCACTGCATTTCCAAAGGCTTGTTCAAAAAGCCAGGTTTTTACTTTCCTCCAGAAGGGAGGGGGCTAATGTAATATCCCTGGAGGGGGGAGTTCCACAGCTGAGGGGCCACCACTAAGAAGGCCCTGTCCCTTGTCCCCACCAACCGCACCTGCAAAGAAGGTGGGACCAAGAGCAGGGCCTCCCCAGTCGATCTTAAGCTCCTAGAAGGTTCATAAGGAGAGATACGTTCAAACAGGTAAGCTGGGCCAGAACCATTTAGGCCTTTATAGGCTGTAGCCAGCACTGTTCCCGGAAACAAACCAGCAGCCAGTGGAGCTGACGCAACAGGGGAGTTGTATGCTTCCCGAGTGCCGCTCCATGAAAAATGTTGGCTAACAGGAAAAGTCAACTTGCGTTTTATGTGAGTGTGGTGGAAGATACAGCATGAGATGGGCTTGTGTCTTTTGGGTTAAACACACCTAACGAGTCTTGAGGGGGAAGTTGCTGGGTTAAGGCTGTTTGTATGGGCTGAGAGGAGGCTTGTTTGCATGCTTATTATTGTATTTTGGTTACTTTGCATCTATTACAGCTGATTGATTTTGTGAGTGGGGAGGAGGCTTCCTTACTTGTGTGTTGATTTGTGTTGTGTTGTGTGTATCCCCAAGTATTTTGCCTGAGCACATGGTATCAGTGAGGTGAGGTGTCCACTGAGAGGAACTGAGTCAGAAACTTGGCTGAGGGAGGAGATAAGGACCAGTAGCTCTCTATATCTGTAGCCTCAGTACCTGGAATTTCAAAAATGGAAGGCCAATGGGAGTTTTGGAGGGCAGCTTTCAGGGAGAAACCTGGAATTCTGTTTCAGTGCCTACTTGAAACTACTGAATACAGGTGATGAGGGATCTGCTGACTCATCAGCAACAGCTGTGGTATTTTTGTGTTCTTGTTGAAGGATATCACACTCATGGGCCATCTCTGAGGAGGTAGATTCCCAAATGCAAGACAAAGATGCATATTCTTCTTTGGTCAGATTTCAGTGGAATACTATGTCTGATTCTAGACACTGCCATGTGAAAAGCCTATTTGAAAGTTGGAACATGTCCACATGAGAGTGACCATTTTGGTAAAAAGTCTAAAAACATATGCTATATGCTGCTTAGAGAATTGGGTTTTTTCTTCTTGGCCTCTGAATCACACAATTGGGGATTCTGCACAGATGCAGAGCACTGTTTGGAATCTTCTAGAATCACTAGGCAGAAAAGGTTTTGACAGTAACCCCACCCACCATCCCAAGACTATATAAGGCCCAATTGCATTTTGAAATCCTTGGCCAATAATAAATAGGGCAATACTTCTTGAACAGAGCAAACCCCATGGGGCATCAATGTTAATTCAGAAATCCTGGTTTTCACATAGTCTTAACTCCTGATATCTCTTCTCATTAAAAAAAATTATTAATTCGGGGGAGCTATATATTTTGTAGTTTTGTGGTGGTGGTTCTAGTGCTTCAACTAATTTGGATGTCTAGAAGTTATAATATATGACGTGAAGAATATTAAATAAAACATTTCCATTATGTTCTGCAGACTGTCCTGAAGATACACATAAGAAAGTGTTTCCCCAAAAACATCTGGTGCCATTTGGACCAAAAGCAGGTATGAAATTCTAAGGTTGTTCTTGAGCAGTAAGTGTCAACAGACTTCTTTATGAAATGACAGATGTCTTTGCTTTCCTCTGAAGCTGAGTGACTTGTATTCTGTCTTTTTCTTTCTCTTGTAAAATTGGGGGGGGGGGGGGATTCTGTAAAGAAATACTCATCTTGCATCTCCTGTGGTTGCCAGTAGAGCACATCCTGCCAAAGAAAACAGATATATCTGTGAGACAGTAATTCAGAAAAAAACATGCATTTCCAAAATATGCATTACTAAAAATCTGTGCTTTGATAAATAACACTTATCATTGTGTATGTGTGCATGTGTATACACACACATATTGGGGAAGGCATGCAAAAAAAGTCTGAAGCTGCTTTCCTCCAAGAAAGTTTAAACCAGGACTTGTACTGAAAAGTGAGGAAACAATGCTCTTAAAAAGTTGATAAACTCAGCAAGAAGGATTCTAAACAGTGCAGAATGATAAGAGGTTTAGGGTACTATTGAAAGTAATATTCTTCTTCGGGGCAAGGTCCAGCATCTTGAGAAGCTCCTTTAAAATTTGGGCTTAAACCCAGATTGGAGTCAGTGTCTCCTGAATTGTTTCTCTCCGGAGTGCCTACACAGGCACTGCACAAACTGGCTGAAAGATGCAAGGGAGTCTGTACTGATCTACTGGATCTCTATAATATACATGCTATTCCAGTTTAATTGGCTCAGTCAAAACGCAGGATTATCTATTCCTAATTGTAGGAGGTGTTGAGCAAGAGAGATCCTAAATCAGGATTCTCCAGAGCTTTGATTATTGTGATATGTGAATCAGATGTGCATGCTTTTAAGTCATCATTTAGCAAAGACAAAATCATACCTGATTTTCACAATTCAAACATACTTTGTGTTGTCTAAAGCAGACTATTTTCCAGTAGCGTGTATAAAGCTTATGTATCACATGACATCACTGTTCTTTGTTTTTATACCCTTGTTCTATTTTAAACAGAGTCTCCAGAATTAGTTGTTGTCAGCTGTGTTCTAAATCCTTGTCACTTCTATGTTCGGAAGGTTTCACAAAAGAAAATTGCAGTTGATTTGGAAAAAAAACTGAGACAGTTCTGTAATAATAATCGTACATCTCCTAATGACATTTTGGAACTTGGTAATAACATTTTTCATATTCTCTGCTGAAGTATTTGGATGATTTTAGAGCTCTTTTTCAGGAGGGGAAATATACAGTTTTTGCCAAGTTTTTTTTGTACTTTAACAAATTAGAAAGCTACTGATAAGATTAAATTAGAAATTGAATGGTTGCAGTTGAATTCTTATTAAAAACTATTTGATCAATTTTTACTCATAGTTTTGTAAAATTTTACGCTGGTATTTTCTAGTTACTTTTATGCTGTTGTCTTTAAGAATGCTTTGTAAACAGAATTCTGCAAGTCTGGGGCCCCTTGAGTCCTGGATATAAATTTAGTTGATGATCCCAACTAAAGTAGACCCAATGGGAACTTGGTTAATCAAAATGTGAGTAAACTTCATTAAATCAATGAGTCTGTTCTTGTTGAAACTGAAAATTCAGTTTTGGCTCTTGAGTCCTCACCCCCTTTTTTCAGAATGATCCCTCAGTTGTTCTTTGGCTACATAGCTAATGAGAATTCTACTCGAAAATTAAACTTGTTTTTAAGTAATGAAGATGGTAGTCGCTTTTACACTGAGAAAAGAAACCAGCCTGGAAGTGTATTAAACCGAAATGGTTTTGCTTTGTGGAGCCTATACAAACACACACACACAAATGTGGGAGTACTTAGGAATCTGTGTGTCCTTGCTCAAGGGTGTTTACTTTCTGGCCAGCCCTGATTCAGTGTTTCTTAACATGCTGTCATATAAATGTTCACAAAAGTACTTATGCGCTATAATGAGTTTGGTGGCCTTTTTTTATAGGCACAAGAATCTTTGTTGAAAGTAAAGAACATGGAATGTGGTGTCGTGCCAAAATAGTTGAACTAATTCCACTACAGAATGCAAATGAGGGAAAACCCTGTCGTCCAAATAAGTGCAGAATTTGTGACATTGCAATGATGAAAGTTTTTCTTACAGACTTTGGACATCTAGAAGTTTTCATTGTTTCAGAGTAAGGATAGATTTATTATTATTATTATTATTATTTTAGTAGCATAGATTTTTGTTGTCTTGATTTCTAGGGACAATTTATAAGACATTCCAATTTCTATTAATTAAAGAAATCTTAAGAAATAAAAAACAGAATAAGAAGGACATAACAGTTTTAGTGTTATTAAATTTCAAGTCACATGACATGCCTAGAGACATAGCTTGTGAACTTCTACAACTTGTAGTCTTCCACTGTATATATATGTTAAAGAGTTTGAATTCCATATGACAGTGTCCTGTACCGCATAGAAACTAGTTCCCATTTTTTTCTCTACATCTAAAAGACATGGGAGGAGAAATTTACCAGCTGTCCAGTTAAACAGAGTAAATTGAAAGACCCTTTAAAAGTAAATTAATTGTACATTTAATGTGGTATGTAATGCTATCTGAGTCTTTCTGGATCTGGTGTCTACCTAGAGCGTTGCTTTTGACAGCGGACATGCTGTTCCTCCTCCGGCGTATACATGAAAAACATCACAAAGTAGTTTTCTTCTAGGAAATGTTTGAGGGAAAGTTGGTAGGGTGTAATTCCCTCCTTTTATTTTTTCAGTCTTGATCAGTGTTTCATTTCAGGTTTTTTTTTTTTAGCAGCTGCATGGCGTCTAAAGCCTACTTTAAACAGTGCACCTCAAAGCAGGGGAGAAATTGTGTCCTCGGGGCATTATACTGGGACAAAAGGGCACAACATGTTTATTTATTCAAAGCGTTGGTTCCCAACCTTTTTTTTGACCACTTTGCCCAGGAACCACCCTCCAACATTAGTACCAAAAGGGTTGCGAATCAGTTTTGGTGAACTTTACATTCAGATTGGTTATTTTGGGTGCTGATTCAGAAAAGTGCATTGGATATACCACATCAACTCTAGTTTCTGATACAGAACATATGCCATCCAGTAGCCACCATCAGCTCGCTTGCAGAAAACCATATTTAATAATCTAGAGCTGATGCCTTCCGACATTCCTGTTGTCCCAGCACTATAACAAGGTTTCACAAGACCAGTCGCTCTGGTTGCTGTGTGGTTTCAAGACAACAGTGTAGGAATGTGAGGCCGTGGACCATATTTTTGTTCTTGTGGATCACTGATGGTCCATGGACCACATGTTGGGAACCACTGATTTAAACTACGTCACATTTTTCCCCTGACCTGGGACCCAAGGTGGTTTACAGCAAAGTTAAGATAAATATAACTAAAACCTGATAAAAAGTTAAGTACAATTAAATTAATTACTTTTAAATCAGTTTGAAATACTATAAAATTGGATATGGAATTGACTGGAATGATAATACGGCTATTCATACCGGGGTTTTTTTTTTTTTTTTTACTGTTTAATGAATGTTTTACTTATTGTTTTAATTGTTATTATATTGCTCTGTTATTTGTAGTGGCATTGTATTGCTGCCAAATGTAAGCCGTCCTGAGTCCCCGTTCGGGGTTGAGAAGGAACAAGATAGAAATACCGGAAATTAAATAAAGAAATATAAATAAATAAAATGATTGATTATAAAAATGGAGCACAACACACTCCATTTAAAGATCTTTCTACATAAGTTGATGAGCAAATAAGTTTAAATAAGTTATTGACATTTTCATATTCACATTTTATCCAAAAAGACTCCCAAAGAGGTAATCCAACAGGCCCTGCCCTCATGCTTAGTTACAAAATATAACTAGTGAACATTTCCCTGATTTGGATATATAGTGGGAAATATGGGTGATTAATCTAGAAAATCTTTAGTAGTCATATAAGGAATAATGATTTGTAATGGGATATCTTGGTTAAATTGGACTGTTAAGTACTTTCTTATATCAAAAATGTTTTTCAGACTTCCTTTAAAAATAATGTTTTATATATTTCTTCTTTTTGCCATCAGAGAACCTAATGAAGTTATTATGGATGAAGAACAAGATACTTTAGAATATATGGTGTCTGAAGATTTATGTATGGTTGTAAGGAAACCTGATTTACGTATAGATGCACAACTTAGTGGTATAAGTAAGCTAGCATTGCAGTGTTCCCTGAAGGACATAGTTCCCCAGGATTCAGTAAGTGAGAAATTTCTTCATTGATTTGCTTTATTTATTTATTTATTTATTTATTTGCTGTATTTGTATACTGCCTTTCTCAGCCAATAGGCGACTCAAGGCGCTTTCCAAAAAATCAGTACATATAAAAACATAATACAGATTAAAACATTAAACAGTATAAAACACCACAAAAGCAATAAAAACAACATCATTAGCGTCTTATTATTATCAAGCATTGTCCAGTTCCATTGTCAAATCGTTCGATTTCCTATATTAGCTACTCTGCATTTGTAAACGCTTGCTCGAACAGCCATGTTTTAACTTGCCTCTGAAACGTTAAGAGGGTGGGAGCAGATCTAATCTCCCTAGGGTGGGTGTTGCATAGCCGAGAGGCCACCACTGAGGAGGCCCTGTCTCTCGTCCCCGCCAAATGTACTTGAGACAAAGGCGGGACCGAGAGCAAGGCCTCCCCAGACGATCTTAGAGTCCTTGATGGCTTGTAAGGGGAGACACGATCAGACAGATAAGTTGGGCCAGAACCGTTTAGGGCTTTATAGGCCAAAGCCAGCACTTTGAATTGGGCCCGGTAGCAAACCGGCAGCCAGTGGAGGGGGTACTTCGAATGCACTTTTCCTGCTTCTTGGCAGGGGGTTGGACTGGATGGCCCATGAGGTCTCTTCCAGCTGATTCTATGATTCTACTAAGATGTTTTAATTCTATGTCTTAATGTTTGTTTATGTCTCATGTTTTCATATGGTTAATGGTTTTTAATTCATAGTGATATGATATTGTTTGGCATTGAATTTTGCCATTATTATGTTGGACACTGCTTTAAGTCCCCCCAGAGATGAGAAAAAGTGCTATAGAAAGGCATAGAAAAAATGGTATAGAAAGGCAGTAAATCTGGCTGGCTGGCTGCAGTTACACTTAAAAGTGTACCTGTTCTGACTTGCAACCAAATTCAACTTAAAAACTAACCTACAGAACCTATCTTGTTCATAACTTGGGATTCCTTGTGCTCATAGAATGGTAGACAGCCCATGACTTGTTCTCTGGAGGCTATTGAACCAAGTTGGTAGGAATTAATTTTAGAAATCTGAAATTTGAGTATATTGAAACTGAATTCATAGAAACAACCCTAATGACATATTTCCATGCAGCTTATGGTTTTTGCTCGTACCTGAATTTAATTTTTCTTTTAAAGTCTAAATGAGTTCAGACTACAAACTCACTTGATTATTTATTTATTTATTTATTTCATTCACTTATACCCCGCCCTTCTCACCCCTGGGGGGACTCAGGGTGGCTTACATAAAGGGCACAATTAGATGCCCAAACACACAACAATTAGTCCAAAAAATATAAAATCAACAATTAAGTTAAACAACAATACATAATAAAAGCATAAATCCTAAAACAATCTCATGTCAGAGTCCAAATATCAGAGTCCTTACATCCGTTCTATTCCGTTTGTCATTGTCTAACGCCAGTCCTTGATTTAATTATCAGAGTGACCAAAAGCTTGGTCCCACATCCAGGTCTTTAGGTTTTTCCTAAATGCTAGGAGGGAGGTCGCCGATCTAATCTCCCCGGGAAGTGCGTTCCACAGGCGGGACTGTCTGTGAAGATCAGTCTGTGAAGAGGCATCTGTTAATCTCTTCAAAAAACTTCTTTTCTTTGTGTGTACTTTTTCCTGTCCTCTTAATTATTTTGGAGAACTATATATATTTCACATTCTTGATAATAGCAGTGCTTGTTTGGGTATCTGGCTAGTTTAGCCAGCTCCAGTCCTTTGAAATGAATTTGGATCCATAATGATTCAGTAAGGACATAAGGACATCCTAACAGTGCAATGAAGTATATACCCAAGAGAGGAAATTAGAAGATGGATTTACAAAAAGTGAATTTTGGGTGTTCTGATTATGCTCACCCTCCTGTATTGTTAATTTGCTACTCACTTGCCAAAGCAATGACTGACTATAAAGAAAATGCGACTATTGTACGTATTGCAGTATTGCCTTGTTGCTTGTGAGATTTTCTGTGCTGTGATTGGGTACTTTATTTAAAAAGTAGTCTTAGAATCTCCTAGATTGCTTAAATTGTTGAAATTCTGAACTAATTTCTTTTGCTTATCCATAACAGAATGAAGGTTGGACAAAAGCAGCAAGAACAGAATTTCTAAAAATGATCAATAACAAATCTGTTTTAATGAAAGTATTCAGAGAACAGGATGGCGTGCTTATTGTAGATCTGATGAAACCTGCGGCGATCAAGATAAATAGTGACATGCCTGTATCCCTCAGAGATGCTCTAGTATTTATGGAGTTAGCAACGTATGTAATTAAAAACCGTTAAAATATTAAAAATTAACAAATGCTGTTACCTTAAACATATTTAAAAGTAAATACTGAGCCCTTCCCCAAATTGGGATGTGGCAGCTTACAAGTTAAAATGAATGCAACCTTACAGTCCATGTGTTGTCTTCATATCTTCATTGTGGTCTCTGCATCACACATATGTGACATTTGCTACAAAAATGAAAAATGAATGCAACCCTATACTCCATGTATTGTTTTCATATCTTCATAGTGGTCTCTGCATCACACATATGTGACATTTGCTGTGTAGAGCGGCTTGTCAGACCCTTCTAGATAGCTTACTTTTGGCAGCAACCCTGCCCCCCTCTTTCCAGGTGCCTATTATCAGTTCTATTTCCCCAGTGTTTTATTGTTCATGACAGTGACAGCATCTTTCAGAGAAACTCTTGACTTAGCTTGCTTTCTTGTTTCAGTTATCTCTCTTATATTTGCTGGAGAGCCTCCTTGTCCAGTCATCACAACATGCTTCCTCTAGTTACATGAGTCCTATAACATTCAAATGTGTAATATCTGCCATTGTTTTGCAAGGCAAGCATTTAGGAATAGAACAGACAGATTTAGGTTTCTCCTCCAGGAAACAGTCCATGCTATCCATCTCTATCATGATTATGACAATGGCCCACACAGATCTTTGTTTAAGGAGAGCCCTGAGATGACCTAATACAATCAGCCCATGCAACCCCTGTCTCTCACTACACTTGTTCATCAATGCACTGGTGCTCCTTTTGGATCCAATCCCTCTTATTGACTTCTGGCAAGTCAGTACTGGATGTTTTTAAGATTGTGAAACTAATAGTACTGTTGGCATGACTCCTATTATCTCAGTTTTACTCTGTCATTCTCAAGGATCCCTGGTATTGCAACTACTATTGTGCAGATGATCATCCTTAAGTTCCTGTGACTCCAGGCACTAGGGTCTCGCAGATCCCACAGTAATAGTTCTTCATGTTACCACAGTACTGCTTACCACCCTTTGGCTTCTTTTGCGTTGTAGCTCACCTACCTTCGAGTGTCACCATGTCACTGCAGCTCCACCACTGAGGGCACCAACTGACTTCTCCAGTTGGAATGTCTCAGGAGATAATAGACCTAGTTGAATTGACATCTTCCCATTGATAGTTTTTCAGATGGGGAATCTACATACTCCTACAGCTCATTTTACCTTGATGAGTTTCCTGACCCATGAGTACTAGAGTCTGATCCCCTGTCATCAACGACTTACATTTATAGACCAGGTTTTGTGAATGGCAAGTGCCCTGGAGCTAGAGATTTGTCAGATTACAAACATTGCTGGTGGCCTGGTCTTTAGAGATCTGCAAAAGCAGATAATGTCAGCTGCACACCTACTTGTTCTCCCTCATCTATTTCATGTTATCATGATCCAGTTCTTCATCGATCCCTCTATCTTTAACAAAATAGTCTGGTACTGGAAAGGTGCCAGTGATGTGGACTGGTTAACAACCTATCCAAAGCCCAATTTGGTAATTGTGCATAAGGCCAGTCCCAGTTCTTACAGAAAATCCATTCTACACCAGCTAGTAAAGAAGGGGAAAATATTTATGGGGTTGGAAGGAAACTTTACTCTTCCTTGTCTTTGATAGTGCTTTTATGGGCACCTACCAGTGCTATCTCATTTTTTGAAAACCTTCCTGGTGAACATAAGCGGGTGGTCACTACTTTTCAGGAAGAGGTCTCATCCTTGGTCATTGGGTCTGGTGGTGAGCTGATTTTGCAGATAAGCTGTTGGCTCATACAGTAGCCATAAGGAGATCTGTAGGATTTCGTTACGCATGCTTATCTCCAGTGGCTTGAGCAGTCGTAGATCTTCCATTTTTAACAATGTCAGACTCTTCCATGCTATACTGACACCAATCTTGAAAACACAGAAATTATGAACAGTAACAAACACGGACTGGAGTCTTTTACACACTGCCCTGTTGGAGGCCTCCTACATCTTTTCACTGCCAGTCAGTCCTTAGTTCTCTTGATCCAAGAGACACTCCATCTTCCCTCAGTCTAATGTGAACCTGAGGAAACAGCAGCATCCCAAGACTCAGCATCCCAAGACTCAACTTTCTCTGGGAAGAAAATCAGCAGATCTTCAAGGATGAAGAGTTTGATGCATCCTGGGAGCAGCATTGACATCTCAAGTGTTAGAGATTTCTATCCCCACTACTTGTCCAGAATACTATTCTGTCTCTACCCAATGCCAATCTCAATACTTCTCACCCATTTCAGGACAGTCTGAACCGTTTTATAGCACTGTCGTCACCACAAACAGTTGGGTTCTCAGCTTCATACACTGACTACACCAGGCATGGTCTACCGGCTGTTAGGAATTGTGGGAGTTGAAGTCCAAAACACCTGGAGGGCCGAAGTTTGCCCATGCCTGGATTACACCATAGAATTTGATTCCTTTTCTCCAGTTGTAAGAGTGTGTTGTACTCCTCTATCATTACCTCTCGAGGAAATTCACACTCTCTTAGCAAAAGGCACCATAGGCCCATTGATGACCATTCCTTTCCCAATATTTCATCATTGGAAAAAAAGGGTGGCAGTCTTCATCCCATCCTGGATTCAAGGACGACAGTATGTCCTTGAATAATGAACTTCACATTTTCAACATTTATTATTTGCCCCTTTATAGTATATTAGATATTTGTGGGTGGAGGGGGGGGGGGTCAAATGCCATCTAAACAAAATTTTATAAAATTTCTCTTTAAGATTATCTGATGATGTAAATTTCTTCCACGTGTAGTCTGTGAAATACTCACTAATGGGTTTCTCTGTGCATGCACAGTGATTTCGGAACATTTTAGCTATAAAAGAGTTTTGGCGGGAGTCCCGCCCACCCTCCCAAGTGAATATAAGGTGGAAGGCGGAGCTTCGCATCAGTTCTTCTTTCCGCACGACAGCAGCATTTTGGACTTCTCTCTTACTTACCTAATTTCTTGTGTTTGGACTCGGACTGCATAACAACCATTCTCCCTTCTCCTTCCCTGAGGACGGAACGGCTACGGACAGGCTACCATGTCGACCTTATCTTTTAAAAAATGTTCGGCTTGTGGAGCCAACCTCCCTAAAGCCGATAGACACACTAAGTGTCTTTGTGCCTTGGAGAGTCCCATAATCGCTCGGCCTGTGAGATCTGTAGAGCCTTTACATCTCGGGCCCAAAAGAGCAGGGACTCCCATTTGAAAGCCCTCCTATACGAGCAAGCACTGGCACCTGATGAGACTCGCCAACCCGCGCTAAGTCTCTCTCAACAACCTCCGCCCTCCCCTCTCTCCAGAGAGCGGCCGGGCTCCTCCTCCATGGAGCTGGAGGAAAACCCTGCGGCTTCGGCTCCTCCCCCTGTGGAAGAACCGCCGCCGAAAAGACCCAGGGTCTCCAAACCACCTTTCCCCATATATCATTTCTACCAAGGAGAACACTCTAAGGCTCATACTCCTCCTCCTCACCCCTGTCCTCTGTTTCACCCCCCCCCTCCCTTGGCTACTGTTTCCAAGCCTCCTCCTGAACCTTCCATTTCTCAACACCAGGGGGCACCACCACCGGATCCCACCACTCCTCAACAAGATCCCCACCCTGATACAGGGACTGTGGATCTTGATTCTTCCAGTGACTCACCACCCACTCCGGCTCCCCAACCTGAGTCAGACCCAGACCCTATATAGGCGGAAGAATTTAAAAACTTATCTGCCTTGCTTATTAGACTCTCCAGGGCACTGAATCTTGCCATTCCGCAACCCACTAAGGCTGTAGAAGACCCATACTTTACTTCATCAGAACAGCAACATCCTATGTCGACTGTGCTGCCCACTTTACCTTACCTTTTACAAATTCTAAAGACAGGGTGTTTCTCCAGCCCTGGTTCCAGCCACGCCAAAGCGAGCTGAGAACCTTTACCGTATTGACCTCACGGCAGCTTCATGGCTTGCCAAACTGCCCAAGGCCAACTCAGTTGTTACAGATGCTCAACCCAAACCGGTTCAAAGGAACCAAACTTCTCCCTCAGACAAAGAAGGAAAGAAACTAGATGCCATGGCAAAAAAGTTTTATTCCTCTGCCTGCTTATTTGATCGAATGGCACATTATGGAGTGTACATGAGTGTATACCAGACATTCATGTGGAACAAAAATCTCTCCTTATCTTGATTTATTGCCGTTGGCTGACCAGGCTATAGCTAAGGCCTTTGCTCAGGAGGCACTCCTTCTCTCTAAGCTCCAAAAAGACCTGTCAAAAAATACAGCTGACACATCCGGCAAACTTATTGCCAGGGCAGTAGCCCTGAGACGTCACGCCTGGCTCAGGGCAGCCACCCTCTCTGTCAGCCCGCACATTGATTGAAGATCTTCCTATGGATGAAACAGGATTGTTTAATCCAGAAACAGACTCCCAACTAAAACACTCATGAAATGAAACAAGTGGTCAATAAGTACGACCAACAACCCTACCAACAACGCCAGCGATGGGGAAACTACTAGCAGTACCCCATTACCACCGGGGCTGCTACTACCCTCATTCCTACCGAGGGAAACAGCGCCCTCACCCTTCTTCTGGAACCACCGGGAAACCCCCTGTTCCCTTTAAGGGTAAGTATCGTGGCTCAAAACCACCAGATAACAAAAACCGGCGGTTTTAGCCCTCCTCCCTCCTCCACAACCAACCCACAACCCCCCTCCCCACCCCCAACATCACATCCACCTCACTCTTATATCTCAATAGACTCCACCCATTTTTACCTGCCTGGCAGTCTATAACCAATGATAACTGGGTCCTCCGCATAATAGAAGAAGGCTATGCCATTGAATTTGACTCTCTTCCTCCACTGGGGAGAGTCTTACCAACCCAGTCCTCCCCCATGCTCTGGGAAGAAATTTTTTCTCTCCTACACAAAGGGGCATTTCACCCATACATCCTGACCTTTCCCACACCTGCTTTCCTTCCCGCCACTTCTTAATAGATAAAAGGGACGGAGGCCAACGCCCCATCTTGGACCTCCGAGGCGTCAACAAATTTATTTTGCCTCGCAAATTTCGCAAGGTCACACTAGCCAACATCCTTCCCTTTATCAAGGGTGGAGCATGGCTCGCTTAGGTGGATCTCAAAGATGCTTATTTTCACATCTCGATTAGATAAAGCCACCGCAGGTACCTCTGCTTTGCATTGGACAACCATATTTTCTCCTTCTCCATTTTACCTTTTGGTCTCTCTTCGGCCCCAAGGGTTTTCACAAAATGCATGGCTGTTGTGGCAACACACCTACGCCAAAACGGCGTGACGGTCTTTCCATACATAGATGATTGGCTTTTTGTGCAGATTCTCATTCCCAGCTCCTCTCAGACATTTCCTACACTTTGTCTCGCTTGCAGGAACTCGGACTTATCATAAACTATGACAAATCTCATATCATACCAACCCAGCGCATCCACTTCATAGGTGCTCTGACAGACTCCATATCCCAATGGGCTTACCTGCCAGAAGACCGTTTTTCCAACATCTGCCAAGCTATCAACAATCTCTATTCATCAGGCTGGTCCTCTGCTTGGGCTATCCAGACCATACTTGGCCATATGGCTTCCACCACAAACGTGACTCCCTTCGCCCGACTCCGCCTCCGTCCACTTCAGTCCTGGTTCCTCAGAGTCTTCAATCCTATTCATGATCCCCAATCCCTGATCCTCTGCCCCCCCCCACTCCGGTCCTCCACTCCCTGCTATGGTGGACAAAGAAATCCAATGTGTGCTCAGGTCTCCCATTCACACACCCCCGACCATCGCTGTCACTAACGACAGAAACGTCTTCTCTCGACTGGGGCGCACACCTCCAAGACCTGACGATCAGTGGCCGCTGGTCTCACTCAGAACTACAACTCCACATCAATGCATTGGAGCTACTGGCAGTGGGGAAAGCCTTTCGGGCCTTCGCTCACCTGGTTTCCAACCGCACAATCCAGATAGTCACAGGCAACACGTTGGTAAAGTTCTACCTCAACAAACAAGGGGGAACTCACTCCCCGACCCTCCTTTCCATATCAACCGAGATTTGGGAGTGGTGCATTCAAAGAAACATATTCCTTGTTGCAATCCACCTTCCCGGCAAAGACAACACCCTAGCAGACTCCCTGAGCAGGACCCCAACCATGGCCCACGAATGGCACCTACACCCCAGAGAGTTCAATCTTCTGGCTCGTCACTGAGGCCGTCTACAAGTGGACATGTTTGCTTCTCCAGACAACACACAATGCCCAGTCTTCTGCGCAAGGCTCCACCCTCGCGCATCCCCAGGCTGTCTAGGAGACGCCTTTCTTTTTCAATGGTCCCAAGGATTCCTTTACATGTTTCCCCCCTTGCCTCTACTCTCCAGAGTAGTAGCGAAGGTCATCACAGACAAAACCAATTGCATCTTAATAGCCCTGTGGTGACCCAGACAACCATGGTTTGCCCCCCTCCTCCACGCATTACGGAGAACCTTTCTTCGCCTGAGGGCCACCCTAGATCTCCTCACCATACAAAAAGGGCTAATCTGCCACCCAGATCTCCCAACCCTCCGCCTCACGGCGTGGAGGATCAAGCCATGAGCTGCCTCTCCGAGGCCACGCGGCTCATAATACAGTCGGCTCAAAAAGCCTCCACTAAGAAATCTTATACTTATAAGTGGTCAAGATTTAAGTCTTTCACTCAGACCCTGGGCTTTGAACCCATGTCAGCCCCGGTGCATATTGTCTTAGACTTCCTCGTTCACCTCTCCTCCTTAGGTTTTTCCCTATCCTCTATTAAGTGCTACCTTGCAGCACTCTCCTGGTATAGGAGAAAATCGGGACTACCGTCCCTATTTCAAGACCCTTTAATACAGTTATTTGTTAAAGGTTATAAAAATGTTCATCCCCCAGTTCCCCCCCTCCCCCAACCTGGAGCCTTGAGCTTGTACTGTCTCAGCTCTCAAAAAAAACCCTTTGAACCCATGTCCTCCTGTGACATCTCCCATCTTTCCTGGAAAACGTTTCTAGTAGCTATCACTTCCGCGAGAAGGGCAAGTGAACTTGCCGCACTGCCGGACTGATGTTATCTTCCTACCCAAAGTTGTTTCCAAGTTTCATATGTCCCAAGATATTACTCTCCCTGCCTTCTTTCCCAAACCTTCCACTCCCCTGGAAATTGCTCTCCACTCTCTGGATGTTAAGAGAGCCCTCTCTTTTTACATATCCAGGACTGCCTCCTATAGAAAATCCCCGAGACTTTTTCTCAAATACAGAAAAGACGCCCTGGGTTCCCAGTGACGTCCTAAAGGCTATCATCATGGATAGTATCCACAATCCGCTTGGCCTACCAGTTGGCAAACAAAGAACCTCCAACTACTATCGATGCTCACTCTACGAGATCCCTTTCAACATCTCAAGCCTTCCTCCATGGTGTCTCTGTTCATGACATCTGCAAAGCAGCAACGTGGACAATGCCTTCCACCTTTGCCTCTCACTACAAGCTCGACATCCTCGCCAAGAGAGATGCGGCCTTCGGCAGAGCGGTTCTCTTCTCATGTGTGGCATGACCCACCTCCAGGTTGGTAGCTTTACAATCACCCATTAGTGCATATTTCACAGACTACACGTGGAAGAAATATGGGTTGCTTATCTGTAAACGTATTTCTTCGAGTGATAGTCTGTGAAATTCGCCCATCCCACCCGTCCTCCCCTCTTATGTCATGCCTCTTTTCCTGGCTGCTGTCTGGCGGCAAGGAACTGATGCGAAGCTCCGCCTTCCATCTTATATTCACTTGGGAGGGTGGGCAGGACTCCCGCCAAAACTCTTTTATAGCTAGAATGTTCCGAAATCACTGCGCATGTGCAGAGAAACCCATTAGTGCGAATTTCACAGACTATCACTCTAAGAAATACGTTTACAAGTAAGCAACCCATATTTTTAATCCTTCTGCCACATTTTTTCAGTGCTATACTGTAGCCAAAATTCTGTGTCCATTAAATCATAGAGTCTTCAATTATTCCATCTTCCATTACTGTTTTCAATTATTTTATTTTTATTTATCATGTCAAGGGCAACCAGACCATTGTATTACATTTCTAACAGAACAAAACAAACAGACAGACAAAACACAAAGTTTGCAAGCTTGGTAGTTGATTAAATGTCCTTGTACATTTACAGACCATAAACATAACAAAGCTAGAAAGGTAGATATTACTCCAACGTTCCTTTAGTGACACTTCACAGGTTGGTGTCATCTTCAATCCTGCCCCCTAAAAGAAGCTCATAACACATCTTTCAGGTGAAATTTCAGTCCTCAGTGGCATCTACATGGATCTCATAAATAAATTGTTACATACCAATTTCCTTTTGGAGGAGAATGCTGGTAATTAAGAGCATGCAAAAGGGTTGTGATGGGATAGCATACACTGTTTTCCTCATTTTTATCATCCCAACAATCCTGTGAAAATATGAGTCTGAGAGTCAGTGATTGGGTCGCTCAATGAGGTTTATGATGGAGTAGGAATATGAACTTGAGCTTTGTCAATTCTAGCTACCACACAGTAAGCACTAAACCATGTTGGAAATGTTATGTGGGAGTGGAAAGGAGGGCACAAAGGCAAAGGAGGTTATACTGTTCCCTGGTGAAGTCACATGTGATGGCTTTGATATATATAATTCTATAAATTAATAAATCGGCTGTGTAACATTTAAAATTCAGCTCTGCAAACCAGACTGTTGACTATCTCATAGAATTCATGGAAATCACTGAGAAGTGAACCAATCTCCTGTGGAACTTACCTCAAATGCTGGGTTTTTTTGGTTATTTGGAAATGTGTTGGAATATGTGTTGAGCTTCAGTACTAAATTGTTAGCACTAATTTGAAAAATTCTTAGAATTTTCTTGAAAAATTTATTCTGAACTCATTTCTCACTAGATTTCGCCCTCAATTTTTTGATCAGTCTGAAAGTACTGTACCACTGCAGTACTGTCTACCTCTGATGCCAGAAGCAAATTCAGCATTTTCAGTTGTTGTGAGTTACATTAATAATCCTGGTGACTTTTACATTCAATTGGTAAGTATACAGATTTTTTTTAATGTCACTATTGTAAGATACTTTTTGAAAAGCTTAAGCTTCTTAAAAAGGGAGATGTATGCCTGGAAGTTTCTGATAATATGGGTCATTACAGAATAGATGGATAAAATATACTTCATGATAATATGTTTTAATCCTGGTTTTAACTGCTAGCAAATAAAGTTATATCCATTATCGATGGTGTCCTTGAAAAAATGTATGACCTATATACAAAGAACTGTAGGCATGTAACATAAACAATGAGTGAAAAACAGAACTTAAGGGGGAAAATGGAATAGAATAGAGAGTTGTTAAGAAGGCACGGTGATTGCAAACCGGAATAGAACACCTCAAGTTTTGTTTAAAATACTATTTAACCTACATGTTAAAGAGGTCTCCTTATATAAGTTCATTTATGCCATGTTGAAGTGACTGGACTGACCTTGAAGGAGCTGTGGGTGGTGACGGCCAACAGGGAGCTCTGGCATGGGCTGGTCCATGAGGTCACGAAGAGTCGGAGATGACTGAACGAATGAACAACAACAATGCCATGTTTCCTTTTAGTAGTCATCTACAATTCTCTTTCCCAAAGCAGCCTTTATCAAATGCTTTTTCATATCTTCTGTTTGCACACTGCAACCTGACCTCAATAGTACTTGCTAGTTACTTGTTTCATGTGCTTTCATCCATATCTTCTCAAATGCCTTTCAATATGAAATGTTAATTTGTTGAAATGCTAATGCTAACTAAATGTTAAACATCCATAGAAATTAATATTGTTTTCATTGTAATAGCTGGAACAGGGTCCAGAATTTGCAGCATTTCTGAGCAAACTTGACGAACAATATAAATGTGAAGATGGAGTTGACTTGGAAATCCTCTGTCCCGTTCAAGGTCAGCCATGTGTAGCAAAATTTGAAGATGGAGTATGGTACAGAGCACAGGTAGTTGGTAAGTAACTGCAGCATTTAGTTAGTCTGGAAGTTTTGTTCTGCTCTTCACAAAAAAATAAAATACATACTGAAGTGATGATACAAGAATAAAAAACAAAAAATTCCTTAAATTACAGTGTAACAAGTGAAAGCAATAAATATTTGGGTAGTATATGTAGTTAGCCTTTTTAAATCTCTATAATTCTATGTCTTTATATACTTTCAGTATGAGTTCTAATGTATTGTGTTCAGATGCAGAAGAGTGGGGGTTTAACTGCATATTCCAACTTGAGCAGACGGGGACATCACCATTGGCTGCAGAACACATCTAGGACAGTGGTTCTCAACCTGTGGATCCCCAGGTGTTTTGGCCTACAACTCCCAGAAATCCCAGCCAGTTTACTAGCTGTTAGGATTTCTGGCAGTTGTATGCCAAAACATCTGGGAACCAAAAGGTTGAGAACCACTGATCTAGGATCCTTAATTGAGGGGAGTTGCAATATCATAAAGCTGGAAGGTTCCACATGGGCCATCCAGTCCAACCCCCTGCCATGCAGGAAAAGCACAATCAGAGGATCCCTGACAGATGGCCATCCAGCCTTTGTTTAAAAGTCTTCAAGGAAGGAGCTTCCACCACACTCCAAGGCAGGGAGTTCCACTGCTAAACCGAGGGCCAGGTCACAATCCCCCAGACTGGTGGGGGTGGGGGGGGGATTATAATTTGAAAAAAAACATGAATGAATTCCTATGCACACTGCACATATCTTATCTGTAGTGCAAAAATACTCAAAAACAATACAATAATTAAAATGGAGAACAATTTTAACAAATATATTTGTTTTTAACAAGTATTTCAATGGGAAGTGTGGGCCTGCTTTTGGCTGATGAGATAGGGATGTTATTGATGATGATGTGTGCTTTCAAGCCGTTTCAGACTTAGGTTGACCCTGAGCAAGGGCCGGGTAAATGACCTTGGAGGGCTGTATCCAGCCCTCGGGCCTTAGTTTGAGGACCCCTGCTCTAGATACTGTATTCCTTTTGATGCAGCCCAAAATCCCATTGGCTTTTTAGCTGCTGCATCACACTGTTAGCTCATGTTCAACTTGTTGTCCACAAAGGCTCAAAGATCTTTTTCAAATAACAACAACAACAACAGCTTCATTTTTGTATCCTGCCACCATCTCCTCGAAGGGAGTCTGGGCAGCTTACATGAGAACAACCCCATGTAAGCCAACACATGGACTGTTATTGAGCCGGATATCACCCATCCTGTATGTTTGTATTTCATTTTTATGCTGAAATGTAGTATCTTACATTTGTCCCTGTTGACTTCATTTTGTTAGTTTTGGTCCAGCTCTCTAATCTGTTAAGGTAGTTTTGAAATGTGATCTTGTCCTTTGGAGTATTAGCTGTCCCTCCTAATTTGGTTTCATCTGCAAACTTGATAAGCATGCCCTCTAAACTTTCATCTAAGTCATTATTAAAGATGTTAAACAGAACCAGACCCAGGCCCAAACCCTGCGGCACTCCCCTGGTTTCTTTTTGCTCATTAGCAACATTATCATGCAGAATGCATTGCGAAAACATGCACGCAAGTAAGATACATGACTATACATCCAATGAAATAAAAACAGTATATCCAGGACATGAGATTGGTTATAAATGTGAATTTCTGCCTAATGAACATTGCATCGCATTGAGGCATGTTAACAAGAACCATGGTACAATGGCTGAACTTCTGACTAATCTCTCCTTTCCCCAAGTCAAGAAATACAAAACTCCAAATACTGCTCCAAAAATCACGAAGCTTGTTAAAAGCGAAAAACCACCAGGATTTTTCGTCATCCAACAAAAACAATTCTAGATGAATAGGATACATTTCCATATTAAATCTCAGTTCTTTCTTATTGCTTTCTAAAGGTTTGTTAGGCCATCAAAAAGTGGAAGTTAAATACGTTGACTTTGGCAATACTGCTAAAATAAATGTGAAAGAAATGCGTAAAATCAAAGATGACTTTTTAGCCCTTCCAGAAAAAGTAAGTTCAAACTACTTATATCAATAGATTTTTTTAAAATAAAATGTATCTGACAAAGGGTTGGTTTCATAGATTGCAAATGCTTATAGATCTACACATGATGTATCCCTACGATGTACATGTTTATAGTTTCTATTTCCATGATATTGTAAATGCAACTCAGAATTTAATATGTGTTGAATATATATTGCAGTTGTATCTCAGGTTTCAATATATAGCAATATACATGAATTATATTTCTTTAGAAGGTCTTCCTCCATGGACAACCTAAGTGAATTGCATTAATGCTACGTGTATAGGACTGGAGAAGTTGCTGTTAATCAGAGTATGGATTGAAACAGACATGATCCTTCTTTAAAATGAGGGGTTGGGGATACTTTGCAATTTTTCAGTTAATTTTTTGTGCAGGCCACTCCCATTACGTGGTTCCCTAAGCTTTTCAACTTGTCCAAAAAGACAAATTAAGCATCAGCACTCCACTTAGCTGCTCTTAAAGTACGATATGACTTCTATTCACTGGAGACACATTCATGAACCTATCATAGAACAGCAAGCCTTATTGGTTAAAATAATAGTTTTGTCATGTTTCGTTATTTTAACGACTCCTCTGCTCCTATCTTCTGCAAATATGAAGGGCTGACTGTATAGTAATTTACTTTATGGTTGCAAAGGTTCTGGAAGTAATTAGCCACTAGTTGTAGTTGCTGCTAAAATGATGCAACCTTCGTGTTCCCCCATGTAAAAATATGGCTTGCAGCAGGCTAAACAGGCTTTGCCTGCTGAGAACTAATGTGATGTGTTCTGTCGTGCTATTTCTATGCAATATCCCAGAGAGACTAATCTGATTTAAGAGAGGGGAAATGGTCAGACTCTGGTGAACAAGAGTAACCAACAAGGCAGAAGCACTTCAGTTTAGATTACTTTGTTCCTCTATATCTGGCCAATCAGACATAGATTTCACAAATCTTGAGTATGTAAACAAAAATTCTCTGGTCCAATAAAAAATGAGGTATTACTTATCCTTTACCTGAAGCCAATTCCAAATGTCACTCTTTACCATCTCTGGCATATTGCCATCCCATTGCATCAGTATGCTTGTAGGCAATTTCCTTAATCGTCAGGTGTTGGTAATCCTTTCATGCTTTAGTTATACACCTTTTGACATATTCTCTCTCATACTGTTTCACTTTTATCTTGTTTTCATAACCATCAGGCTTCAAGGACTTGCATTTTTCAAAATATGAAGCAATTAGTGCTTGGTCTGTAGCAGTATTGTGGGTCTCAGTTACAGGTAGTTCTATAATTGAATTTAGACAGTGTTTATAAATATGACAGTTCTATAATTGAGTTTAGACAGTGTGGGCCTGATAGTTGCTTGATAAGAAACAGTTGGGATCTCTGTGTACAAGCAGTCCGCAAGTTACAAACATCCGACGTACAAACTATTCATAACAATGGAAGTAAGACAACAGGAAATGAGAGAAATCTACTCATTTGGGAGGGAAATTCACTCCTGAAAGTGAATAGTGGGGAAAAAGTGTCTCCACTGAAGCTTTATCACCCATCTTTGTTTCCACAACAAGCACAATATTTCAAAATCCAGTTATCACAGGGATGGAAAGTAAGGTGAAATCTTCTGAACAGGGGCACAGACAGCAAAACAAACACCACAGTTATCAAAATTTTAAAACATGGCTAAAGTTACACTTAAAAAACGTACCTGTTCCAACTTATAAACAAATTCAGCTTAAAAACAAAACTACAAAACCTATCTTGTTCATAACTTGGGAACTACCTGTACATAACTCTTTAAGATTCCCTTGAAGCAAGAGTTCATGCCTTTTATATACATTAGGTAACTCAGCAAGTTTATATTTTATAATTCAGGCAATTAGGTGCAAGTTGGCTCATATTGCACCATTTGAACAAAACGAATGGAGTAGTAAATCAAAGGACAGATTTGAAGAACTGACTGAAGATAAATGTATGCTCTGTTTTGTTACTGGTAAGCATTCTCTTGTCTATATAATTTATTAGATATTGAATAAGCAGATGAGGTCACTTGCTCTGTGACTGAAGAATAAATTTGTTTGCTTTCTATCTTGCCTTTCATTTGAAATTGGGATGCAGAGTGACAAGATGAAAAAATGATCCATTATTGTCCTAATGGGCAAATGGTGCTATCCTTCCTTTCAGACTGGACCTTTACAACTTTCTATATCCACATCACACGACTGTTGTAGTGGCAAGTGAAACAAGCATTCTGTATAAGAACTTGAGCCTTCTCATGGGTTTTATTGCATTTCAGAAAAAATGGAAAAATCCTGTTTTGTTAAATTGGCCTTTAGATAATCTTTCATTGGTCAACATTTCCAGCTCATTTGTTTTCTTAAATATTTAAATGTTTTTATATTTTTATATTTATATGTTTTATTGGTTTTTATTTCTTAAATATATTGTCTTCTGTCTATTTGTATTCATAATGCAGCATTGAATTTTGCCTTGTTTGTAAGCCACTCTGAGTCCCCCTCGGGGTAAGGAGAGTGGGATATAGATATAGTAAGTAAGTAAGTAAATATCTCATCTCATTATAGAGAAATCTCAGGATGATGTACTTTTAGTTGAGCTCTATGACAGCAAGTGTATATCCCCAGAACAGTCGCATAGTGTTAACAGCCTCTTGGTTAAAGAAGACCTGGCTACTTCTATAGCAAGGTAAATATGCTGTTTTGTTTGTTTCTCACAATAGTGGTACCTTAGGGCAGGAGCGACCGCAATGCAGCTTTCGGGGTTGATTTTGTGACCATAAAAGTCCCTTAGTAGATATCGTGTTCCAAAGTTACTGTGGAATTAATGCCTTATGTCTAAATGTACACTTAGGGTAAAAAGCATACAAAATAAAGCAAGACAACATTCTCATAAAACACTTTTCTTAAAAACCTACAATTCTGAAAGCTTGACAGAATATTTGCTTGCTGCTGGAATTATAACAGGGCAAGTAAGTGTATTGTCGAAGGCTTTCATAGCCGGAATCACTGGGTTGTAGGTTTTTCCGGGCTATATGGCCATGTTCTGGAGGCAATTTTTCTCCTGACGTTTCGCCTGCATCTATGGCAAGCATCCTCAGAGGTAGTGAGGTCTGTTGGAAGTAGGAAAAATGGGTTTATATATCTGTGGAATGACCAGGGTGAGACAAAGGACTTTTGTCTGCTGGGGCTAGCTGTGAATGTTTCAGCTGATCACCTTCATTAGCATTCAATGGCTTGGAAGGGCCTGGGGGGAATCTTTTGTTGAGAGTGATTTTATGTGCCTGTTTGTTTCCTCTAGCCTCTCTCTTGGGAGGGATTTCCAGAGTCTAGGCACGACTATTGAAACAGCTCTCTCATGTTTACAGTAACTGTACAGGTGGTGGAAATTGAAATAAATGTCCTGAGTGTGACCAGCAATATGAGTGGGGTCAGGTACTACTTGGGACAAACCCATAGTTGTCACGAAGGCCGTGATATCCTGAGAGAGTGGAAGTAGATAGAAAAGCATTTTAAATGAACCTATTATATTCTTCATAGCAACACCAAAGAGACCACCAAACCTCGTAATGAAGTATGGGATCCTTCTTTTGAAGATATCTTAAAAACAGGAATAGATGTATTAACATGTGAAAATGAAGACTTGTCACAGGTTAAGGATGTGGAATTAGTCTGTGGCAAAGAACTGCAAGCAAGAATTAGTCATGTTATATCCCCAAGCAGGATCTTTGTGAATTTTGTGTCATCAGAACAGATTCTAAAAAGGTGAGAGAACTTGAAACCTTAGTTACTTTCTCAGTGAAAACATGAGAACTATAACACTGAATCATAATTCCTGCCCTAGAATTGTGTAGCTTGCCATAATTTGCGTGGGTAGTTTAACATGTGTTGTTTGGCATGGCAAGAACATAAAGACCTTTTGCGATCCATTCCTCCTCACCCTGAATAATGATTGGTAATGCCATTACTGTCACTGTAGTTTCTCTTCTTACTTTCAGGGGGCAAATTATTTTCTACGAACATCTTACATCCTCTTCCTCCCCCCAATTTTAAGAAATTTTCTTTCTTTTTAAGATAGATTTTCCCCTAAAAAGTGAAACTAAAAAGTAGACAAAAGCTATCAATGTAGTAAGCAGTATAATTAATATTAAAAACTTTTTGGAATGCTAATGATGGAAAATTAATTTGTTGGAGAGATTTGCATTTATATAACTTTTTAGAGGGAATATTGTATGCTCTGGCACAGAGAAATCAAGTAATCCTCCCAAGCTACATGCTTAAAGAGTAGTATAATGGCTCTGATTCTTACAATCATAGGTTTCATATGAGATGTTCTTAAACTAACACAATATTGTCATGTTTCCTGTACACACAAGTTTTGTAATCATGTTTTGTAATCACTTTCTTACATGTGTGTGTGTGTGTGTATGTGTGTGCCTTCAGTTGACTGTCAACTTGCGGTGACCCCATGAATTTCATAGGTTTTCTCAGACAAGGAATGCTCAGAAGTGGTTTTGCCAGGTCTTTCATCTGAAATATAGCCTACAATCTCTGATATTCATTGACAATCTCATCCAAGTACTAACTAGACCAAGGACCAGTGCCATTATACTATTTAGGCCCCCACTATCCTCTTATCCCTTGTTTCTACAAACACAGATTATTTTTCAGAACAGTACTTAAGATAGCTATTTCATGATCTTTCCTGGTTTCCTAAAATGTTAGTTTACAGGAAAGGATGACTGCTACTTACGTTGAGTCTAAGAGTGAAACAATCCAGTGGACACTTGATATGCCTTGTGCTGCTTATGTACAGGAACTGGATCAGTGGCATAGAAGCCGAATTAGCAGGATTGCTTCTGAAACAATCATGGAGGTAAATATATTCAGAAAATTCACTAAACACTCTTGAACAGGCCAGGGTCATTTTGCTCATGGTGAGTGGGAGCTACCCAAGATACCCATTCAGGGATAAACACAAGGAGCAGTTGAGCCATGTATCCTGATAATAGTGAGCAATCTGTCCTCACAGAGTCAAACAGCAGAATCCTCATAGAAAAGGTGGTAGCAGCAGGATTTGGGTGTCCCAAGTTTTTCAGAGGCACACCTCTCCATTGGGGGAGAAATCTTTATGGACATGAACATATCATAACCAGCTCATGAGATATGAGCATGCGTTGTGACCATATTTATGCCATTGGGAGAGTGAACAGAGCTGCCACCTTTTTTTACAGCAATTCTAGAAGTTTCCAAACAGGCACTCATTGCACAAATTGTGTGATTCACAGTTTCCACAAGGAAGAATGAGCCTCTGAAGTGACTATCGCTGCCTGTATATATGGTGGGAATGGGTTAATCTTTGCAGATTATTGTGGAAATGTTTCCAATGAACCTCCTTGTTGTAAGACACTAGCGGTGTTGGCAAAAGGTTGTTTTAGTCCACCAATAATGTTTCCTCTGAAGGCATTAACTGGATTACTTGCTATTTCATTCTTTTCTCTAGAGAGCAAAGATTATAAGACCAGGATCCCCATTCAGTAGCTATGAAATAGATGGGACTTTGAAATGACATTTCCCTAGTCTTAACAGTTGGGGCAGAGGGGGTTATGTATTATAGAAATTAACTTGTTCTCAAATCCAGGTATTGCTGTTTTGCATATGTGCTTTAAAGCCCAACTCAAACATATAGAAATTAGAATGCGTGTGAGCTTCTGTTGACTTATGAGAGCGGCTTTTGAAGAATATAGTCTATATTTCCTACACACAACTGGGTCATATAACTTACCTAAAAACCATTTTCTACCCTCTCCCCATAGCAATTTCTTTAGGGTCTTGAACATATTACACAGACGCCATGTGATCTTGCTATGGGAGTGTGCTGTGTGTGTTTTTGGGAGCAAAGGGAATAATATCTAACTGATCAATGTATCATTCATCTCTGGAAGGCATGTCCTGAATTGAATTCATTGTCCTTTGTAGGTGTTTCTCATTGACCTTGGTATAGTAAAAAATGTTAACATTGAGTATTTAAGAAAACTTAACGATGATCTGAAGAAACCCACACCTTTAGCAGTGGAGTGCTCATTAATTGACATAAGGTAATTTCCCCATTAAATATAGTTCAACACATGACTATAAGAGAACAGACACTTATACTGTCTGTTCTCTACTTACAAAATATCTTTCCAGTGTTCTTTATTTGACTCTTAATGTCATGGCATTTCTCCATTTATTAAAAAGTAGAAACAAACATGGGGTAATTTTTAAAATATCTAGTGTGTGTGTGTGTTATGACACAAAATCCCCTGCAAGAATAATATAAATGTAGCCCCCCATATTTGCAGGTTTCACATTCATGGAATTGGGTTAGTATGTTCTTTTTAGAAATTGACTCAATTGTCTACTTCCACCATAAAGTTGCATTGAAGGATCTAGAGCAGTGGTTCTTAACCTGTAGATCCCCAGATGTTTTAACCTTCTACTCCCAGAAGCCCTAACAGCTGGTAAACTGGGAGTTGTAGGCCAAAACACCTGGGGATCCACAGGTTGAGAACCACTGATCTAGTGGTTCCTAGAGAGAATACCTCCCAAGGCATTTGCTGGTCCTCCTTGTGGGTTTATGACAAACTTCTGGCAGACGTTGATAGGGCTATGCTGGAGGGTCTACAAATTCAAATTCCTAGGGAGGTGTTATCTCAGATCCCCCCCTCCCCTGGTTTTCTGTTTTTGCAAGGGGTACTGCACCCCTAGCCCCAACAAATGTGGAGAGCTGATTGTAAACAGCTGTGTGAAAGCATATTATTTAACTGTGAGAGTATGTACTTCCTCATTATATTTACTTTTTTTAGACCAGCTGGTGGGACGGAGCAGTGGACAGCAACGGCATGTGATGTTCTTGCCCGTTACTTAACAGGAGCTGTGGTGAACCTAATAATACAGGTTTGAAGTTGTAAACATTTAATGTACTAAGCCAAGCTGTTTTTTTGGAAAGAATTAGTAACTTCTCAGTATTGAATCATGGAATATCAGATATTAAAGCATGCTTGGGCCCCTAGAATTCTACTTTGGAATTGAGAACCTAGTGTATAATGTGAGGCATACCAGAATTTGCTTATTTTGAACTGAGACTTGAACAGTCCATTCACCCAGGAAACCCATTGGGTGATCTTGGGCCAGTCATGCTTTCTCCTATGCTGTGTCCCAGGTTTTTTTTAAGAGTCTAAACTGAGAAGGAGGTCTGTTTGTAATGTTTTGAGTTTGGTGGCAGGAGGCAGGGGGAGAAGAAATAGTACTGACACATTTCTTTGCAATTCGGCATAGTGACTTTTGAAGGGTAGAGCCATTCACAAATATATTCAAAGAGAAGCAAATGATAGAATCGTAGAGTTTGAAGAGACCTCGTGGGCCATCCAGTCCAACTGCATTCAAAGCACCCTGACAGATGATGCTGTTTTTTAGATGCTAGCATCAGTACAAATTACTGTTTCAGCTACCAGCACATCATAGGTAGAAAGTTGATGTACAGAATACTGACAAGAAAACTTGTTTGTCCCAGGAGAATAGTTCTTCACCATTACCTGTGAAAATAATCAACAAAAATGGAGGGCTGTGTACTGACATCTCAGAATACATGATTAAGGAAGGCCTGGCACTTAGGGAAAAAAGGTAGGCAGATCTTTAATTTCAGGGATTCACATTTATTTATTGAAGTTACCCTTCTTTCCTAATTCTTGAACATAAAATATAAACTGTATCTGACCCAAGGCAGATTTTGTGCTCCTAAATCAATCTAGGGCTGCAAAAAATTACAATAAAATAAAATAAACCAAAAAGAAAGGCAGAGAGGGTGAACCCAAACAAAATCAACTACAAATTTGATTTTGGTTTTTTAAATATTAAACAGTGTTGGGAGCTCATGCAATTGTTGTGAAAGCTCAATTGCCATTCTCAGACCGGCAATTCATCTTTTTTTTTTTTACTGGTAAAAGTGACATTAGCAATTCTAGAGGGGTGAAGGACACAAAAACAAACAGGGACCATGTGAATTAACTCCCACTCTTTGTATTGATTGAGTATTGATAGGGACATGCCTATCTTCATGATCGCATCTTTCCCTACGAACCCACATGGGGGCTCAGGGAGGCCCTTCTCTAGCTCCCACCACTGTCTCAAGCGCAGTTGGTGGGGATGAGGGAGAGGGCCTTCTCGAAGGTGGCCCCTGGCTCTGGAACTCTCTCCCCAGGGAGATTAGACTGGCACACACCCTGTCCACTTTTCGTAAGGACCTTAAAACGTGGATGTTCCACTGTGTCTATGATTAAACAGTTCACCGGTTAAACAAGCCCTCAATTTGTAATTTTCTATCAGCTCGTGCACTTTACCACTATCCACTGCCCTATAGACCTGGTGTTCAAATGACAAATGATATTACCCTTCCAGCTCTAATTATTATCTGCTCTGTAAGCTGCCTCGAGCCCCTTCGGGAAAATGGCGGCGGAGTATAAAAATAAAGTTATCATTATCATTATTATTATATTGAGAAATGGAAGAATGAATTCTGGAAACATAACTGAGAAACTTGTGCTATTCAAGAAAAAATTACCGTATATACTCGATTATAAGCTGAACCGAATATAAGCCAAGGCACCTAATTTTACCATAAAAAACCGGGAAAACATATAGACTTGAGTATAAGCTGAGGGTGGGAAATGCATCCGCTACTGGTAAATTTCAAAATAAAAAGAGATTACCAATAAAATTGCATTAATTGAGACATCAGTAGCTTAAATGTTTTTGAATATTTACATAAAACTGTAATTTAAGTTAAGACTGCCCAACTCTGATTAAACCACTATTCTAACCTTCAATGTAAATGTGCTTCTGTATCCTTCCAATAATAATAGAATCTAAAATAATAAATGTAATAATAACAATAATAATAGAGTAAAATAATAAATATAACAATAATAAAAAAGTTAAATTATAATTTAGTAATAATAGAGTAAAATAATAAATGTAATAATAACAATAATAATAAAGTTAAATTATAAATGTAATAATAATAGAGGAAAATAACAAATGTAATCATAACAATAATAATAAAATTAAATTATAAAATTAATAATAATAGAGGGAAATAATACATGTAACAATAATAATAATAATAATAATAATAATAATAACAATAATAATAACAACAACAACAACAGAGTAAAATAATAAATGACCTTGACTCGAGTATAAGCTGAGGGGGGTTTTCTCAGCCTAAAAAAGGGCTGAAAAATTATGCTCTAGTATATACAGTAGTTAGGCAACTTCGGGTTAAAAATAAAATTTGTTTGATTGCATTTGATATGATTTCTTCATCTTCTGACTTGCTTTCTATTAAACCTTGGTTAGAGCACTGAAATCTGATGCAAGTACAGCATCTTCTGCTGACCTAAATAAAATGACAGTCCAGCAAGAAAAAAAAGACACAGGTGGCTTCCTTACAGAAACAGACAGTCCTGCAGTTCCTTCTGAACCAGAGGAAAGCATTACTTCTTCAATTCGTAAAAAAGAAGATGTAGAAGAATTTGTGGCTCATCCTGTGATCATTGAGGCCTACAAGCCACCAGCTGTCCCAAGTTTGGACAACTTCAGTGCTATAGTTAGCAGTGTTTCAGACGATGGAACTATTTTTGTGATTCCAAAGTCACAAGGTAAAATATAAACATGGAAATAGAACAGTGATATTTCGTTAAAAGTATGCTATGTACTTCAGTCCAGATTGGGATTCAAGGCAGTTTACAAAATATGATTGCCATGTTGCTAAAAACATGCAAAAGGTCAACATTAAAATAGATTTAAACTATTAACAATATTAACAAAACAAGACTTTAAAACATTGACATTGAGAGAGATAGAAGATGATCTGAGGAAATAAGCAATTTTAGTCGAATTCAGATATTTAGTCAAATATGCTTTGGGTCCAACATATCTTCAAGACCGTATCGCCTTCTATGATCCGGCGGGGGCACTAAGATCTACTGAGGAGGCCCTCTTCTCGGTCCCACCTCCATCTCAAGTGTGGTTGGTGGGGACAAGAGAAGAGGGCCTTTTTGGTGGTGTCTCCCCAAGTGAGTATTAGGCTAGCCCCCACTCTCCAAGCCTTCCATATACAACTGAAGACATGGCTTTTAAGGCAAGCCTTTGACCGTGTCTAGAAATTCAAAGACTTAGATATTTTTCACCATGCACTTTGTGAAACTGATATTTATTGCAGTTTATTTTGTATTCTGTAGCGATTGTTGCATTTTATTGATCTTAATTGGACGGGGGGGGGGGGGGGGGGGGGGGGGGTTGTAATGTTTATGTTGGTTGTTGCTTTGTGTTATTGTCTTTGCACTTTTCATATAGTGCGTGTTTGCACCTTTGAGTGCTTTGTGAGCCACCCTGAGTCCCTCCGGGAGATGGTGGAAGGGTATAAATAAAGTTTATTATTGTTATTATTATTGTTATATTTATTATTATTATTATTATTATTATTATTATTATTATTATTATTATTAGAAACACAAGATTAGTACACAGCAAACAAGATCACTATGCTAGTTGTTGTATTGGATCACATGTGATGTATTGGCGAATAATGCGTGCAGACCCCCATAGGGTGGCCTTTTGCAGCTGACAGATGATAATTTTGTCAGTGCCGATTGTATTTAAGTGCAGGCCAAGGACTTTAGGCACTGCACCCACTGTGCCGATCTCCACTGGGACTACCTTGACTGCCTTGTGCCAGTCTTTGCAGTTCGATCTTTAAATCCTCATATCATGTCAGCTTTTCCAGTTGTTTCTCTTCTATTACTAGTTGTTTGTTTTGTATTATTGTTGTTTTTGTTATTATTTTATGTTTTGGCTCTAAAAGCTTTATATAAATAATAATAATAATAACAACAACAACAACAACAAAACTATATGGAAATGACTATAATGCTTTGAAGTTGGTTAATAAATCTTTAAATTCTCCTTTGTGTTTTCTTTAGAAGAACAGCTAAACAAATTGATGGATGATATTCAGAGTAACTTCAAATCCTTAGGCCTCCTGGAACCCTACAATTGGAAAGTAGGAGAGGCTTGTGTTGTAAGAGCAGCAGATACTTTGTGGTATCGAGGTGAAGTGAGAGAAATTGGTGGTGGAATCATCAGGGTAAGATGACTTTTGGTGAAGGACTATTTCCTCTTTTGCATTTGTGTGCACTGGTGCCTTTTTATCCCTTTTGAACATACTCCTAATTAGAAGTGAGGCATCTTCCTTAACTCCGATTTGTGATATTCATACACATAAATAATTTCTGATCTTCCCCTCCTACATTACATTTCTTCCCAAACACTGGTAAATGAAGCTAAGAAAACATTAGAATGAATTGTTCAAAGAATGCTTTATGTTTGTAAAGTTATTTTAGCACCATAGTTTAGAAACTCTGTAGATGAAGAAAAGGAAATCCACTTGGGCAAAAGTGGAAAAAAATATGTAGCCTACCAATTTTTGCATCTCCTGGGGAATCTATATTAAATATAGACAGAAAGGTGACATTTGGGACTCTTGAAAACCTTGACTGGTCACGATTCTCTGATAAAATAAGATTTTAACAATCCCATTGGGGGTTTTGTGAAACTAGAAATTGACTTCAAAGTTTTTTCATTTTTGTTCTTACGAGATGTTACATTCCATGGAGGGCCCTGGGGATAACAGTCCTCTCAGAGCATGACCATTCCAGCTGCAATGAGGGCATAATACAGCAATTCATAAGGCCTCCTGGGAATATTTTGTTAATCTGTTGTTTTGTAATCCACCTTGGATTTCACTCTGGGAGAAAAGTGGCTTTTTTGGTATTAGATAACAATGGAAGAAGGCAAAGATGCAAGATATTTAAGATGCCCCTGTTCTATATCCTTACAGAATTGAGCATTTTTAACATCTTGCATCCTCTATACCAGGGTCCTCAAACTTTTTAAACAGAGGGCTAGGTCACAGTCCCTTAAACTGTTGGAGGGCTTGTGATTGGAAAAAAAAATAATTTGAAAATAATTTGAAAAAAAAAGAATAAATTCCTATGCACACTGACATATCTTATTTGTAGGACAAAAACACTTAAAAACTACAATAATTAAAATGAAGAACAATTTTAACAAATATAAACTTATTAGTATTTCAATGGAAAGTGTGGGCCTGCTTTTGGCTGATGAGATAGGATTGTTGTTGTTGTTGTTGTTGTTGTTGTTGTGTGCGCTTTCAAGTAGTTTCAGATTTAGGTTGACCTTGAGCGAGGGCCGGGTAAATGACCTTGGAGGGCCGTATCCGGCCCACTGGCCTTAGTTTGAGGACCCCTGCTCTATACTATGCCATTTTGCACTATCCCAGGCCCAGTCCTCTTTATACCCCGATCATTCCTATCTTAGTATTTCTGGTTATTGGCTTTTGATGTGTATTGTTTCAGTCAGTTTTAATGCTGCTGTTTTATACCCTTGTGTTTTATTCAATTGTGTTTTGATTGTTATGCTTTGCTATGTTTTATTTTAATCATATTTTTTGTTTTTAATTGATTGTTTTGCTTTGATGTTTTGTGGACAGTTTGTCCCATGTGTAAGCCACCTTGAGTCCCTTCAGGGAGATGGAGATGGGGTATCAAAATAAAGTTATTATTATTACTATTATCCTTCTTGTACCCTTTCACATCCCTCATATGTTTTGCAATTAAAATTGTATGAAAAATAAACACCCACAATTTTTAGACACACCTCATTTTTAGAGATATTTACAGGTGAAAGAAGTGTGCCTTAGAATTGAGGAAATATACTGTTAAAATCTCAGTAGGAAACAAAGATATGATGATAGAGATGTTCTTGTGTAACAGCTGCTTCCAGAACCCCACAACTATAATGATCAGCAAGTTCTCTTGTGGCCCTGGCATGCTTCTCATAGCGAACAATGTAATTAAACTGTATTTATTGATCGGTGGTTGCTTTCTTTTTATTAGGTACAATATGTGGATTATGGATATATTGAAAGAATTCCTCAGTGTCATCTCTGCCCAACTGTTCTTTATGCTGACATACCTCCATTTTCCATACCATGCCAGCTCTCTAAAGTTGTGCCAGTGAGTAGACAGATGCTGCTTTTTGACAAGTAATAACTACATTCTGAAAAATATGTACAACCAATTTAAGAGAAAAAGAAAAAAGAGAAAGAAAGAAAGAGAATATCCTTTATTAAAGTTTCAGCACTTCTCTTATTGACATAAACATCATGTTTTGTGTAATGTCTTATTATCGCAGGCATATACCCAAAATTGTGAAACATCTTCTCTGCAGGATTCTCCAGATCATGCTTGATGTAATATAGAAATAGGGAGTGGAATTATTTTGTTGGTTTCTGCTGTATAGCAATATCTATTATTTTTATGCACAGTGACCTTTCTTTGTTGTGCAACAGGAGCTAGGTGCATTTCCATAAGCAATTCATGGCAACAGTAGAGCAGTGCATTGGCACTATCTATTCAGTTGCCACTGGGCAGCCATGTGTAGCCATCATAGGTTTGGGAGGTTGAAACTGCTCCTTCAGTCCACGTGGATGCATAGGCTGGGATTGTGCAGCTCAAGAAGACTGGGTAGCTGTCTATCTTCAAAAGTAGAGCTTTACATTTCAACATTATCAAGTAGAGTCTTCTATCTCCAGCTGGGTCAGCCCTGAAGAAACTTTTTTCTGATTAACTGCTGTATCTTTCTCTTGGGTCGTCTAGGTTGGAAGTGTTTGGCAGCAAGATGCAGTTGAACTCCTTCAAGAACTTCTTACGAAAAGACTTGTTGAAATACACGTTACGGTAAGAATAAAGTGTAAATCATTAAAACTTGGAAGATGCTCATTTCACAGTCACTGGATTTATTTCTGGTTTTGTACTAATGCATTTTGTCAGAAGCACGCAGTAAAATCAATATTCAGAACTCTTAAAGAATTAGGTTTTTTGATTCATTGAATTTTGGGGGGAAATTAGATATGAATGTTGGTTGGTTGGTTGGTTATTGTTGTTTTCATGTCAGGAGTGACTTGAGAAACTTCAAGTCACTTCTGGTGTGAGAGAATTGGCTGTCTGCAAGGACGTTGCCCTGGGGACACCCAGATGTTTGATATTTTACCATCCTGTGGAAGGCTTCTCTCATGTCTCCACATGTGGAGCTGGAGCTGACAGAGGGAGTTCAACCTGCTCACACCGGATTCGAACCACTGACCTATCGGTCAGTAGTCCTGCTGGCACAAGGGTTTAACCCACTGCGCCACCAGGGGCTCCTATGAATATAGTCAGGTTTGTTCATACTTGTTAGTTTCAAAATGTACTTGAAGCAGAGGTGTTTTTATTTCCATGTGAAAAGAAATATGGATCATTTGGCCTACAATTCCCATCCAACCTGCCCAGCTAAGCAAATAGTAATTGATTATGGCAAATTACATACCAACTGGAGAGCCATACATACTCCAGTTCTTAAACATTATTATTGAGATTTATCCACAAGTTGGGGAAAGAATAATATTGCAATAATGAAGTTTAAAACTAAACAATCTGCAGGGTTTCTGATAATGGCAGTGAAAAAGAAAAGAATCAGCCATAATAATCTGCTGAGTTCCTGATGGGGGAAGCTGATAAGAGTAAGGCATGAAGTTGCAAGATAAAGCATCCAAAACAGAATGCAGACAAATAATAAGCCCTCCACCCATCCCAACTGCCACCGCCCTGGTCTCAGAGGGGAAAAAGAGGCAGTATCTGCTAGACTTAAATGCCTTCCACATTGCTTTTCCCATTTCCGTTTGTCTCACACCTTTATTAGATAGAAGCCTGAGGCAGGAAACAATTTTGCTGTTCTTTTATTTGCAAAGCAACACGTACCGTGATAGCACTATATAAATAACTGATATGATAACGACAATTCTGATGACAATTAAATGATACAACAACTAAAATATTAGGAGCAAATAAAAATGAGGAAAGACAATTATTGAAATCATAGTCAATATTAGTATGATATGACCAAATCTATATAAATAAAAATGTAATACTCATTTGTGGAATTAACACAACTCAAAAACCACTGGACGATTTTTGACACTATGCCCCAATAAGTGACCATCACTCATAAAACTCCCCCCAAAAAGTGGAAAGGACTTTAAAACCCCAAAAAGTTAAATGACGATACAACACATGCATGAAAAGGACTCCCCTCCTTGGCGCACAGCAGTTCAGCCCCCAGTCCTGTAACCCAAAGACAGCAGCAGTTGGGTGGAGCAATGAGCAGACTTGAGGGTGACGTGAGGGCACAAGGAAAGTTTGTGGGGGGGGGGGGGTAGTCACTCACCTTGAACATAAGCAAACAGGGAAATTTTGCAAGTGGCTTAGACGATGCCTCAAACCCAGGCCACTGTCTAGARGCACYGTGGCGGCTGCCTATTTGGCTGGCCATTTGGCCACATGCCCCACACACTTCCGCTTAACCTCTCGCCTGCCAGACGGGGCCAACAAGACAGTTCCCCAACCTCAAATTTGTCATTTGGAGAAAATACTTCTGGAGCCTTTCATCTAGGAACCCCATAACTTAACTTACCAGCATGTTACATGTGTGAGTCTTCCATCTCTTTGTTAGAGCAATGTTGTACTACTTTGATAAACTAGCGGGAATTGGGTTTCTGTACATCTTGTTTGACACCGATGCATATGCCTATTTTGTGATGGACAGGTTTTGAGGGCCCTGTCTGCCTATTCAGGATTTTGCAGTTAACTTTGTGGTGTAGACTGCATGAAATGAAAATAAGAGCATAAACAAAAGCAACAGTTTTGTTTGTCTTCACAGGAGCAGTCAGACGGCCTGTGTGGAAAAGTGTCCATTAAACTCTATTTTTCTGGAATGTCACTGTCTTCCTTTATGTCATACCATAAGCATTGTGTTAATGAAGATGCTGCTGACAGTATACCAAAACTGGTAATGCTTTCTTTCCATCATTAAGAATTATATAGAACTACAAGGATAAGCAGACCTTGAGTAATGTGCTGGACTTTCAGTTGTTGTTTTAATTATTTTTTATTGTTGTTAATATCAGCATCAACAACAGTAACAATGGAAATGGTCCATACTGTAGGCATGTGGTTAGGTCAGTGGTTGCCAACCTGTGGTCCATGGACCACCAGTGGTCCTCAAGAACTAAAATATGGTCCACGTCCTCACCATTACTACACTGTGCAGTGAGAGCAACTCGTCTTGCAAAGCCCTCTTATAGTGCCAAGGCTGATTAAATATGGTTTTCTGTGGGTGAGCAGATGGCAAATGTTCTGCATCAGAAACTACAGCTGATATGGTCTATCCAATGCGGTTTTCTGAATCGTCACCCCAAAAAATGTTGGAGAGTGGTTCCTGGTCAAAAAAAGATTGGGAATCAACGCCTGGCTCGAGAGCAGTACGTGTGAAAAAGATCTTGGAGTCCTCGTGGACAACAAGTTAAACATGAGCCAACAATGTGATGTGGCGGCAAAAAAAGCCAATGGGATTTTGGCCTGCATCAACAGGAGCATAGTGTCTAGATCTAAGGAAGTAATGCTACCCCTCTATTCTGCTTTGGTTAGAGGAGCCTTCAACAATACATTGAGGAAGAACTTCCTGACTGTGAGAGCCGTTCAGCAGTGGAACTCTCTGCCCCGGAGTGTGGTGGAGGCTCCTTCTTTGGAAGCTTTTAAGCAGAGGCTGGATGGCCATTTGTCAGGGGTGATTTGAATGCAATATTCCTGCTCTTGGCAGGGGGTTGGACTGGATGGCCCATGAGGTCTCTTCCAACTCTTTGATTCTATGATTCTATGATTCTATAATGGTTTAAGCTGAAAGAAGTTAGAAGTTTCTATCTTCTGAGTATATTTAAAATTTGTGTAATACTTGGCAAATCAGAGATGTAAGTGCCCTTCCATCAATGATGTGCTTACAAAAGAGTGTGAAGAGGGAGGGGAAAGATGGGAAGGGACTTGTCCTTTGTTACACTTTCTGCAAAGCCTTAGGTTTTTTAGCTGAAATGAGAGAGATGTGTATAGGCATTCAAATTATACTAGTAGGTGGTATGGTGATTTTATGTTTATATCTCATTTTTATCTTGATTTCTTTGGCCAGATACTTTTAAGGAACTCAATCTAGGTCTTTATAAATATTTTTTAATTCTTAATTTTTAATTCTTTAATTTTTAATTTAATTTAAGTGTATTTTTGATACAATGTAAAACAAAACATTTGTTTACTTGCTCTAGGAAATAACTAATGGTGATGAAGAACAGTTGGAGGAAAATTGTGACATCAGTTATGAGGTAAAGTGAAATATTCAGTTGTTATCGACCCTGTCCCCCCTTTAATTCTTAAACCAATCCCCTTGTTAGGTTTCTTCTTTGTGATTTTTAGAATTTGCCTATATGACTCCCAAGTTGCACTTGCACAAAGCCCTTTGAAACTCAGTTGCAAGTATATCTGTAATCTTTATGTCTAGGAAAGATTCCAATATTTTCAGGCAGTGGTGGAGCCAAGTTAACTCCTGTTGCCACCTTAGCAAGGCAAGTGATCGTGTATCTTACAAAAGTCTCTCTTTTTGGATCTCTGGCTCCTCCTCAGTTCTTTCACCTTGCCTCGCCCAGAAAAAGGCTTTTATATATTTCTATTTCTATTTCTCTTTTTTCTTTTTACAAAACAAAAACACACTTGCTTATTTATCTCTCTCAGTTTGTACCCGACCAAGGTGATGATGGCCCATGAGCATCCATGTTTTCCTGTTTTACAGTCCCATTCCCTCCAAGGAGTGCAACAACAGTAGTGATGATGATGATGGTGATGATATTTTTTATGACCATTCTCACCTCCTCCCAGCTCAGACTCCTTTATCTGAATGCCTTAATAGACATCAAAAGGGGTCTCAGTACCTTCTTTCCAGACAAAATAACAGAAATCAAATAGTCTCTTTTATTCACAGGGACCAAGACTGCAGAGTTAATGAGACTGACATACCTTTCATCCACAACACCTGCAAGCATCTCTTTAGAACCTCAGATTCTGTTTTTTGTTTTCTGCTGTGCCTTTCATTTCTTTTATTTCCTCCTTGGGAGAGATGTAAATGGCCATTAAATGTAAACATTGCCAGCATTTTTTCTTGATGCAAATGCGACAAAGTGGAGCTGCTCACCTGAATACCTTTGCCTGGGCAGGCAAAGGTATTCTGTGTCTCAGAAACAATAACCGAGTGAGACTTTAATTTGGGCATTGATTCCAGTTTGCTTGAGTCCCAACTCTTTGATGATGAGTATTTAGTTTGTGATTGATTTGGTGATTCTTCTGTAATTGGGATTAATAGTTGGATTGTGAACCTTGCACATAGAGTAGTCTCCAAAACACTACTGGAAATTGGTTAATCTAAGTGTATCTTCTCAGTCACCTGAGGGCTGAGAAGGGTGGTATACAGATATAGTAAATAAATAAATAAATAATGTGCTCCTTGGCATTCTTTGGGGATTGCTCATTTTTTTCTCTAGGCACAAGTGTTTATTTTTCTGTTTAAGGAATTAATGCTGTCAGAAATAGATACTCCCCTTCTGCCTCCGTATGTATCACCACTGCTTCCAGTTCTTGGAGAACTCACACCAGTGAAAGTAACACATGTGGTGTCACCTAATGAGGTATTGTGAAATAGGTTCAGCAAATATTACTATCAGATTATTTTGTAATTGCTTCCTGTCACTTAAATGCATCAGATACCTTTTAGTGATTTTTTAAAAAAATGTTCATTTTGTGATCCAGAAAAGTTTACATTTGAAAGCATTGGGATATTTAAGGGTTAAATGAAGTTTCTAGTTGCTTGAGAGTTACTATTAAAATAGACCTAACTAATTCTGTATCCCTTACTATACCATACCATAACAAGCTCCCGGTGGCGCTGTGGGTAAAATCCTTGTGCTGGCAGGACTGCTGACCAAAAGGTTGGCGGTTTGAATCCGGGAAGCGGGGTTACCTCCTGTCTGTCAGCTCTAGCTTCTCATGCGGGGACATAAGAGAAGCCTCCCAGAAGGATGGTAAAACATCTGGGCGTCCCCTGGGCAGCATCCTTGCAGATGGCCAATTCTCTGACACCAGAAGCGATTTGAAGTTTCTCAAGTCGCTCCTGAAACACAAAAAACCCATACCATACCATACCATAAACTCTGTATTGAGTTGATATTAATATTGAAATACAGTAATTCAAAGCAAATTAAGACAAACTTAATGTTTTACTGTATTATACATGTATTTGAATTTTTATATAAAGTATTTTTTCTTGGACTTTTTTTGCAATTTATTTGAGAGTTCTGCTTGTTTGAGTTCCAATTAACTCAGAGCCTACTGTATTTATATAGAGATGTGATTGATATGGTCTTTCCAGGAATTTTTAGGCCTTCCAGTGTGACTTTATGCTCACCTTTCAGATGTTAACTAGGGAGCTATTCTGGAGGACATGTCTTCTCCCAAGTAAAAAAAAACACTAGTTTCTTATTTATATTTTTTCCACTTTTGTGTTGGGTTTTGCTGACTGTATATCTAGGTGGGGAGAAGCTGGGTCTAACAGTAGGGGCTCACCCCGCTCCCCGGATTCGAACCACTGACCAAAAGGTCAGCAAGTTCAGCAGCTCAGCGGTTTAACCCACTGCGCCACTGGGTCTCCACTGTAAAACATGTGAAATTGTTGAATCAGACCGCATTCCACTAGTTAAAGATGGAACTAGACAAATGCTCCACCTGCTTCTCTGTGAATTAATACATTTCATGCATATAACATTTTGATCTGGGAATATTTTTGGGGTCGCAGGTGTACATTTCTGTTGATCGGCCTGACAGTTCCGAGATACAAAATGAAAACGAGGAAACTCTCACGGATGCCTTGCGTCAGTGTAATCAGAACATAGAATCCATTCCTTGTCTATCTGATTTTCGAAAAGGTATTTAATTCTTAGATGTTTATAAATATAAATGAACTGCATTAGACCACCCTGTACACCTTGGTCTCAAGTTCTGTAATAATTTCAGGTACAATGTTCCATAATAATGAGAATCGGTGGGTGATCATCGCCCATTGTCTGGTTCTCTTTTCTTACTGGCTAATCTCATAGGAAGTCAAAGGCTGATACTCAATCTCAAGGCCGGAAAGACAGAATATAAAATTAATCTTTGAGTTCTCTGTTGCATTAAAAATTAATAGGATAACCAATTCCCAAAAATATTTTACATATTTGCAGTCCCACCACGTATGCATGTAGGTTCCAATTTCTTGGCATCTTCGCCAACATTTCTCATTATTGTTCTTATTTATAATGTTTAACCTTCTTGGTGTTAAATACCATTTTCAAATTAGTTTATAATAATTTTCTGGTTATAACAGAAATAGAAAATATTATGAATATAAAAATTAGGAGGAATCCAGTAGAAATATTACTTTTAATTAATAAAGAGGATGGGAAAGATAAGAGGGGAAAAAAATTAATAAATTAATGTTATTAACAGTAGCTAGACTATTAATTGCAAAATATTGGAAAGGGGCAATGAAAATACAGATGAATGAATGGTATAAAGAAGTCTGGGAAATGGCATTGAACGATAAACTAACATCAAATTTAAAAGTAAAGAAGGGATTATGTAAAAAAAAATGACTTTGATAGTATCTGGAGAAAATTTCTAGAAAAATTACTGGAAAAAGAAGATGGGAATTTACCTCCAAATAAAGAACTGATTTTTTTGGTGGGACTTTAGGAAAAGAGATGGCTCTGGAGAAGGGGGAGCACAGGGGTGAATGTAAATAAAAGAGAGGGAAATGTATAGTATATGTCTATATAACTGTATTTTCTCAAATAAAAAATGTTTTTAAAAAAATTAATAGGATAAAATGGAGCATCCTGAAAACTATTCATTTGTTTATATTGCTATTAAAGTGGCAACAATTGCTCTGATACTAAAGTAGTTGTTGTTATATGTTATAAGTTCCATATTGAAAGCATCTAATGATGTCTTTTTGGTTCCATCAAATTATATAAAGTATTTTGAAAGAAAATAGGATGTATCTGGGTGTCTTTTAACATCATGTCTAGAACTTGCACATTCACATTAAGTGAGGTGTGTCAAAAACATTATTACTCTTTGGTTGGTTTTATTTATTTTTTATTTGTCTGTTCCTTATTTTATTTCTAGTCTGGTACCTGGTTCTTGATACGTCACTAGGAAAGGAAAGAAATGCTCATCGATATTGCTAAAAACCAGACGAGTGATTCCACAAAACACAAGTGCTATAAAATAGCCCAAACTGTTGAAATTACTGTAGAGTTGAAATAATGTATTGCTTGATGTTTCCGTTTTATAGGCATGCCTTGCCTTGCCAAGTACCGAGATGGGTCATGGTATCGAGCAGAATTGCTCTCAATTAGCGAGTTCCAGCCTCTTTCAATTCTGGTGAAATTTGTTGACTATGGATCAACAGAAAAATTGCTCACAAGCAGGTAAACTGTACTTCGAACATATACTTTTTCCAGCAGTAGAGTTGAGTGAGTTCTTGTTGATGCTCCAGAAGGCAGGGCCCAACCTGTTGGATGTTTGAATTGCTGTATTGTGCGAGGGAAGTTGTCTCCTGCTCTGTTTCCAAATGCTTCCATAATGCATTGATTACAGAGTTTCTCCTACAATAAAAGGCCTCCAACTCAGAGAAGCCCTAGCCAGCTTGTCCAATGGCCAGGGATTCTGGGAGTTGAAGTCCAAAACACCTGGAGAGCCACAGGTTCGACACCACTACCTTAGACCCGTTCCATACAGCTGAATAAAATCCCACAGTATCTGCTTTGAACTGGAATATATGGCACTGTGGGCTCGGATAACCCAGTTCAAAGCAGATATTGTGGGATTTTCTGCCTTGATATTCTGGGTTATATGGCTGTGTGGAAAGGCCCTGAGAGGACCAATCCACAATCCATTGAGCTACATTTACTTGTGCTAGTCCCAGAGGCAGGACTAGCAAGATCTTTGATTTCCACATCCCAACAGACACAAAGTTATTTAGGTATAGAATGAGTACAAAATGGGGAGGGTAAAAAAAAAAAAGCTCATTCATTCCTACCGACAGGAAATGGCATTTCAATAGAATTTCAACACCCTTTCCACATTCCATGCCATCATGAGTGAGGAAAGCTTTTTAGCGGTGGCTATCCTCACCTTTACTCAGGAGCACTTCATCTAAGGAACAAGCAGGAAACTGGTAACTTCAGGCGGAAGGTTGAGAGATTGATGTGTTCATTGCCGTTTGAACTTGACTGAAGGATTGTGGCCTCCAGCAGAATTGATACAACAGCATAAACTGGCTAGCACTAGTTTTGCTTGTATTGAAAGTTATTGTGTCTGGCAAGACAGGTGGGAGATAAGCAGACAAAACTCCTGATTGGTTCTCTCTGCATTTTGGAGCATCAAGGAGAAGTAACTCACCCCAAAGAACCCTCCCTTGCACTGCTGCACAGGGAGATTCACAGTATGTCCAACTTTGCATTTTTGAAAACTTATTTAAGACTGACAAAACTATCCTGGAAAACCAGCCAGTATCAAGTACAAATTTTATTAATCTCCTGTAATGTTTTATCTGGAACCAAAGCTAAGTTTTTTATGGACTGTCACCTTGACTAACTTGCTAACTTGAATTTTGTTCCAGCTTACGTCAGATGCCTCCGCAGTTGATGCAGTATCCTGTGCAAGCATTTAAAGTCATGCTGGCTGGATTCAAGCCTGCTTCGTGTAGTCTAGAAGCAGAAAGAATTCCTTATTGTCCTGAGTGGAGCATAGCAGCATTGTGGGCTGCAATGGATCTTTTCCAAGGGAAAAAGCTCTGTGCTTCCTCTCTAGTAAGCATCTTCTTTATCTGTCTTCTCATCCCATCCTATCCTTTTAAACTTTCAGCTTTGCCAGAGGTGCCACAGTAAGCCAGAACTTAGTTCTTTCTGGCAGGGGTTGGACATCACAGGCTACACCTTTTTCACCTCAGTCTGTGTTGTGGGTTCAATGTGAGGGATCTCTAACTGCAGAGCTGGGGAAATACTACCTTGGCCAATCCAGGTTTTGCCTGGGCTCACTCCTATTGGCATCGTGTTCATAGAATCATAGAGTTGGAACAGACCTCGTGGGCCACCCTGTCCAACCCCCTGCCAAGAAGCAGGAAAATCACAATAAAAGCACCCCCGACAGATGGCCATCCAGCCTCTGTTTAAAAACCTCCAAAGAAGAAACCTCCACCACACTCCGGGGCAGAGAGTTCCACTGCTGAACAGCTCTCACAATTAGGTCGTTCTTCCTCAAGTTCAGGTGCAATTTGAAGCCATTGTTCCGTGTCCTAGTCTCCAAGGCAGCAGAAAACAACCTTGCTCCCTCCTCCTTATAACTTCCCCTCATATATTTATACATGGCCATCATGTCTCCCCCTCTTCTGTAGGCTAAACATGCCCAGTTCTTTAAGCCACTCCTTATTGATTGAAAACTCTTAATGTGGTCTTCTGATTTGTGTTTTACATGTTAATATTGGACATATCTTGCTTTCAGACACACTCACCGCAGCATACTGTATTTCTTTATGAAGCTGGACACCTGTTTCATATGAAGTTGGTAGAAATGGGATTTGCAGAATTAAGTTAATAACAGGTAAATCTGATGAATTGGAAGTATTGGACACGTGAGCATGTGTGATGTTTAGAGATGTAACTGTAATATAACTTCTATCCAGTATAATAAACATTTTGCAATCCAAGGAAACCTAAAACAGTTCAAAGGCCAGAGGCCTGCTTGGGTGTCTCTTTGGAAAGAGAAAAAGAGTAACTAAAGTCGCTGTAATGATGCAGAGATAAACCAGCTGAGATACCATCCATAAATGGATGGATGGATGGATGGATGGATGGATGGATGGATGGATGGATGGATGGATGGATAGATAGATAGATAGATAGATAGATAGATAGATAGATAGATAGATAGATAGAGCAACATTGCAGTAGGGAGAGTGGGAAGATTATATATTATGGCCCCAGTGGGTGGGGGAGATTTATATTTCCCTGAATGTAAATAGGGAAGGGACCCAATCCAGAGGAGAATCAAAGTATGGAAAGCATAAAATCCCCCTTTCTTCACAGAGGGTTTAGCTACCTTGACTTTACTTCTTAAAAGCTGCTCATGTAATTTAGTTGGCACATGTACTAGACTAGAATTTTCTGGTGAACTTTTGCTTGTCAAATCAGAACAGATTGAAAATTGGCACTGAAAGAATGAGAATGTGGGGGGGGGGGGGTTGGTTGTTATTTTGTCTTCAAGCACTGGTCATTGATCAAGTTTTGAACTACACTATTCCAATCCCTATTTTCACATCGAGGAAGTATTTAATGAAGAGCAGCAAGGCCAAGCATTTTTCAAAATCATACCCTCTGACATGGCATTTATTTCTGCATTGAGAGCTAAGTCTTTTCTCGTGTGGTCTCTGCAACACACACAAATGGGCAGGTACATCTTTGGTAAATTCAAGAGCTAAGCACTCCTTTACCTTCCTCATTATTGTAGTCTTAGGGACTGCCTAAAAAAAGATGATGGGTTGGAAAAAAAGGAATTGGAACAGGCTAAATTAAAGGGAATAGGGAAGGAATAGGAGGGAGAAGCAAGAAGTGGTCAGTGAGTGGGAAACAGCCAGCTTCACTGTACCTTGTTTATTGCATCTTATTTTGTTATTGGTTCTTATTTAGATTGTATGCCTGAGAGCAAATTAATTATTTGTAAGTCACTCCGAATGTCTTTGTGGCTTTATAAATACTCTAAACAAATACTGTACTCTAAATAAATAAAATAATTGTTTTGGTCAAAAGACAGGTTCTAGCTTTCCATGTGCATGATTACTTTTTTAAATACAGAGCAGCACTTAAGCCTGTGGTTATTGTTGTAGTCAGACATTGAACCCAATAATTACAGTCATTGTTTTTCAGGGTATTTCTCAATAATCAACTTGTTTTGTATTTCAGATTTAAGTTTTCGATTAAAACCATGCCTGAATGGGGAGAAGTTTTCTTGCTTTTTGGGGGTTTTTTTTCTACCAACATTGTCTGCCAGAGTGTAGAACTTCTTTTCTGTTTAAAAGTTGAAAAATTGGAATTTAAATATAATTTAAATGTTTAAATAAAAATAGTTGTGATGCATCAGAAAACAGTTGTGTTGTCTTCTGCAATATCTTTTTCACTATATTAAAAAAAAGATCATTTGCAAGCATGTTGCTTTGCCCAAATACAGTTTCATGACGGGAAGTTGTTAACATCTTTTCCTCCAACCTTGTGAAATAAGGGAACTTATTAAGTGCCATTCGATAGGAACGTTTTTCTTTGGCCACTGTTTCCATCACATCCATATCTGGGATTCCCTGCCTAAGTGAAAGAGCCATCTGCTGCGCAAGAGGAGCCAGGCCACATCCATGCCTTTTCCTCCAGTGGGCTATTTTGTTCTCTCACAACAAAGCCTTTATGAGGGCCCCATTTTAATAACTCCACCTGATGCGCCTTTCTATGTTCTCTTTTTCAAATGTCTTTTGGCTCATGGCTGTCATATCAGCTAGAAGGGTTTCCAAACTGGCTGGTAGCTTCTCAAGTTTGACACATAACTTCTCTCTGGATATGAGGGGGTCTTCTTTCAAAAAATGTGCTCATTTTCTCACCTTTCCCGGTCTTTGCACTTCCTTCCCTTGGTCTTCATCCCACTTATGCTCTAGGGAAGGAATCACACTCACCAGATATCTGAAAAACCTTATATTTACATCAAGTGCAGTAGATAATTCCAGATGTTGGAAGCTCAGATTCTTTTCTTTCTATTACACTGGGAAAGAAGGTCTGCCTCTATGATCACTAGATGACGTAAGGCAAAGCTTCTTAAACTCTGGGTCCTGTGCTGTTGCGCCCAAGCTACTTTAAATGTCTCTTTAGCATTAACGTGTCCTAACTTTTTGTCAGCTTAGGGGATGCTGGATTACCTTCCTGTTTGAGCAAGGAACACCACAGAATAATGTTCACGCTATTGCTTTCATGAAATGGTAACGATTTATTAACTGGTCTTGGATCTATCTCCACCCAGGCACTAACTGCCAACCATGGATGATTTCTGAGGAAAATAATAGGTGATAGTTTTCCTTGCTTGCTGTCTCTGATATAGGGACCTCTGGGGCACCCAATGCCCAAGGCATTAATTAGTTATTGGCTAACTAATTATTGGGTTGTTGTAAGTTTTTTCGGGCTATATGGCCATGTTCTAGAGTCTCTCCTGACGTTTCACCTGCATCTATGGCAAGCACCTCACTACCTCTGAGGATGCTTGCCATAGATGCAGGTGAAACGTCAGGAGAGAATGCCTCAGTCTAGAATATGGCCATATAGCCCGAAAAAACCGACAACAACCCAGTGATTCAGGCCATGAAAGCCTTCAACAATACCTTTAACTAATTATTGATTTAGAAATTGACTTGAAATGGCTTCCCTAAGCCTAGATCTCACTAGGACCAACTGCAGACATGTCTTGCTTCCAAGATTCCCTGGCGGTCTATGATCTAAAATGGCTCCCTTTCCTCAGGCAAAGGGGTGGGCAAAAAGGCTGACACAAACCAGGAAGAGTTTTCTTAAACTCCATCCTCATAAAACTAATGTAAAAATTACTACTCTAAAACTGGGTGAGGAAGACTGATGGAATCGGAATCCAGCACGGATCCGACCCTAAATGGGGTTTCTTGTCGTAGTCTACTGTGAATCGCACATATGGTATTCCTGCGCCTGCGCAGGCCCAGTTTCGGAACCTTCTAGAAATCAAAAGAAACAATCTGACCCCTCCTATCCCCTCCCTCCCCCCTCTCGGGTATATAAGACTCCTGGGCGGAGCCCACCACCAGTTCTCTTTTTTCCGCCAGACAGTAGGCACAGTTAGAGAACCTTGTCATATTCTTACTTGTTAACGACTTTGGACTGGACTTTGATCTCTTTAATCTGCACCCCTGACAACGGATCATGGCCACTTCTTCTTTCAAGAAATGCTCTGTGTGCCCAAACGTCCTGCCGGACAACGACGGGCACGATCTTTGCTTGGCCTGCCTGGGCGAGAGCCACCTCTCCCAGGCCTGCACCGTTTGCGCGGCCTTCACGCCGCAAACGCGTAAAAACAGGGAGGCGCGCCTGAAAGCGGCGCTTTATGAGAGGGCCTTGATGCCATCTATGCCCTGTGGGGCGCCTAGGCCCGCCACCGCCGCGGCGACTACCAGCATGGCGACGACGGGGGGCCCCGCTTAAGAAGAAGGCCAAGAAGAAGGGTCAGGATGGCCGCTCCACTGGGAGCCTAGCAAAACCCGCCTCTAAAAAAGCGGGAAGACCAGCGAGTGCCATCTCTTCCCTACCCTTACCTCCTTCCACCGAGGCCGTGCCTTCGCCTCCGTCGGGAGGCCTGCAGCATCGTGGGGATGCCTCCCCCGCTGGTGCGCATGCGCGCTCTTCGGGATCGGCGCAGGGAGCGGGCCCGACGCCGTCGGCGCCGCCCCTCCCTTCACCCATCCAAGCCACGGCGTCACTCCAGAGAGGTGCGGGGCCTGGGACAACGTCCCCGAGTGCGCTCCCGACAGCGCTCCCAGCAAGTTCGACCCCGCCCGTTCGGGTGGGAGGAGCGCCCCGCGGAGAGGCGGGGCCTGGAGCGGCGTCTCCCAGCGCGCCTCCTGCTGTAACCCCACTGAGCTCGACACCGGCCGGTGTCGAGGAAGCCGAGCGGTCTCCAGAGAGCGGAGTTTTCTCGCAGCGCCAGGAGAGCGCTCCGGCGGCGAACAGCCACCAAGAGGGGAGAGGGAGAGATCTGCTTCCCCCGCCTCCGCAGGACTCGGGCACCCCCCTGCTTCAGGGAGCGCCGATACCGAGGGCCTCCCCAGTCGACCGCCGCTCGAGACGCCGCCGCTCTCGCTCCCCTTCGAGACGGAGCAGGAGAGGGGAGAGCCGCCGCAACAGGGCATCGACGAGGGGCAGATCCCGTTCCAGGACGTCCTCCTCGTCATCCTCATCATCATCCTCCTCCTCATCTTCGTGCTCCAGGAGATCCAGAAGGGGCCGCCGCTCTCACAGGTCTCGCTCTGTGGCCTCGGCCTGGGGACCGTATGGGCCCCCGCCATACCCCTACCCAGGGATGTGGCATTTGGGCCCTCCCGGGCCATTCATGTATGCGCAGCACAATGATTCCCGGTCTCTGGGTCATCAGATGAGTGCTATACCGGGAGTTCAGCAGAGGGGCTGTGGCACCTCAACAACTGTATTCCCTCATCCCAATCCAATACCGCCATCAGGGACTGAGAAAGCCCCGGCGTTACCAGATCCATCAGTTTCTGCTGGACGTTCTGATTGTGTTGACCGTTCATGTATTGTTGAATCTTCTTGTGCTGATATGTAAAATGTCTTGGGCCTGAAGGGAACTCAAATGGAAAAGCTCAGACTTCAAGCATGTATTTTTGCAGCCTACAACAGTCCTTTGACATTTGTAAGAGAACAAGGGGTTTAAGACTCAACTAGATTGCAGACACGTCTGCAACATTTTCGACCAACGTTTCCTTGGAGCAAATACAACTAACCACAGATTTTTTTAAAAATGGGAAAACAGTACGTGTCTCATGAGACAACTGGTGGAAGCTGTTCTGCAGTGCTCCCCTGTCAATGCTGAAGATGCTGCTGAGGCTTCACAGTAAATGTTTGGTTCGTTGTGAGGCATATGAACTAGGTATAGTAGTGACAGGCAATCTGCCAAAGCTCAGACATTAGAGGACAACATATCAGTTGTTTCAAAATTTATTAACAACAGTTTTACTCTTATATACAAATAATTTTTACAAGTGAGATTAGGGTAGTGTTTAGGAAAGCTAAAAAGAAAACAGACAAGACAGAACATACATTTATGGGAGAGTGTCCATAATAACATTGCCATCCTTATCTTTAACTCTGACTCGACCTGAAGCATATTGAGTCTCTTGGCGCCCATCCACGTAAACTGTCTTGATGGTCCCATCAGGATATTCACGTCTCTTGAAATGGGCTGTGTGCATTTCTTGCTCCCCGTTATTGAACTCTACTATTCTACTTCCATCCCTAAAAAGACATAAGTAACTTTTAAAAATAAATTTCAGTGTCATTTTTAATCTACAGCTAAATTACACAGCAACATTAAGGCGTAGAGGAAAGGAGAACATACTGCAACTTTTTTTCTTTTCTGTACAACCACCATTCATACGTTTCACTCACACAAGTTTGACTGGCACAGCTACATTAATATTGTAGTTATTGGTCATTTTTACACATATGCTTCAACAGGGCCTAAGAATGTTATTCTGTTAAAGAGATCCAAATCTAATGATTTAATAACAGAATAGCAGGTACAGTGTTCACACGCATACGGATAAGATTTTTTGAGTCACTTTTTGACAAAAACTTTGACTTACACATGAGTATATCTACTCATATACTATGAGTATATATACTCATAAGGGCCCCCTGGTGGTGCAGTGGGTTAAACCGCCAAGCTGCTGAACTTGCTGATCAAAACGTTCAAATCCAGGGAGCGGAGTGAGCTCCCACTGTTAACCCCAGCTTCTGCCAGCCTAGCAGTTTGAAAACATGCAAATGTGAGTAGATCAGTAGGTACTGCTTCTGCAGGAAGGTAATAGCGCTCCATGCCGTCATGTCAGCCACATGACCTTGGAGGTGTCTACAGCCAACGCCAGCTCTTCAGCTTAGAAATGGAGATGAGCACCACTCTCCAGAGTGTGACACGACTAGATTTAATGTCATGCTAAACCTTTACCTTTACTATATATATACAGTACTTGATACCACTCTAGAAACAGTCTCCTCCCCCCAAAGCTATTTTAAATGAGATCTACAAGTTCTTCTACATAACCAGTGGGTTTTATCAAAATAAACTTACTGCTGTATGTGGAGAATGGTGCCGTCAGGAAAAATGTTTACTTCTCGTCCATCCGTGAACACGTTTTTAACGGTTTGATCAGGGAATACAATCTCTTTCCTTCCATCTGGAAAATGCTTCTCTGCAATCATAATCATATTGCATGTCAGGATGTTCATACGCTTTGGTCCTTTTTCATTATAGTTCTTAAATGTACAGTAAGCACTCCATATTTATGGGTTGAAACTTTGTGAATTTGTTTAGTCACAGGCTTGCTGTCACCCTAGACAGGCATGGGCAAACTTTGGCCCTCTACGTGTCTTGGACTTCAACTCCTACAAGTCCTGTTAGGACTTGTGGGAGTTGAAGTCCAAAACACCTGGAGGGCCGAAGTTTGCCCATACCTGAACTATATGCTTTACAGAAGAGGAAAACAGAATTCAATTTACCTATCTGCCCATTGGAGAAGTGGAGAACTTCTAAACCTGTAGGGTATGTAGTATGGGTTGTTTTGGCATTTGCATAATAGTATACCTATTGGGGAAAGTTCATAAAAACGACATTAGTAGATTATCTTGGCTATCTAGGATGACACACACAGATTGCTAGATACATACCACTCTCTGATCTTCCAGGATTTGTTTTATATCCCCGTTAAAAAAGCTCACAGTTGTAATCTTTCCATCATAGCTCACTTCCTTCCGTGTGCCATTAGGGAAGATAATAAGGTGGGAACCATTTTTTAAAAGCTTTTCAACCTAAAAAACAACGGAAAATGAATATGTTTCATAATTAGACTGCAGATGAGAACTGATTGCTTAATGTATTGGAAAATCTGCATTTACACAACTGATACTTTCATGAGGATCAAGCAAGCAAGCTAAGATAAGCAGATGGAGATTTGTTTTGTTTGTTTTTTGTCGAAGGCTTTCATGACTGGAATTACTGGATTGCTGTGAGTTTTCCATGTTCCAGAAGCATTCTCTCCTGACGTTCACCCACATCTAATACAGGCATCCTCAGAGGATGAGGGCTCTGTTGGAAACTGGGCAAGTGAGGTTTATGTCTCTGGAATGTCCAGGGTGGGAAAAGGAACTCCTGTCTGCTTGAGGCAAGTGTGAATCTTGTAATTGGCCACCTCGATTAGTATTTAATAGCCTTGCAGCTTCAAAATCTGGCTGGTTGCTGCCTGGGGAAATTCTTTGTTGGGAGGTGTTACCTGGCCCTGATTGAGTCTTGTCTGGATTTCCCCTGCTTTTTTAGTGTTGCTTTTTATTTACTGTCCTAATATTAGAGTTTTTAAAATCCTGGTAGCCAGATTTTGTTCATTTTCATGGTTGCCTGCTTCTTTTGGCCACTTATTCCATCAGCGCACTTCGGTTGAGACTGAATGTTTACTTTTAAGGTTTTTTATTGTATTTATATTTGAATTGTTCAATTGGAATGTCATGTTTATTACTGTATGTTTAAATTGATATGCCATGTTTATTATTATATGTGTAATGCGGCATTGTATGCTATGGTCTGTAAGCCGCCCTGAGTCCCCCATTGGGGTGAGAAGGGCGGGGTATAAATGTAGTATAATAATAATAATAATAATAATAATAATAATAATAATAATAATGGTTTCCTCCTTTCTGATGGAATTGTCCACATGCTTAAGGATTGCAATGACTTCTCTGTGTAGTCTGACGTAGTTGTTAAAGTGGTACAGCATTTCTGTGTTCTCAAATAATATGCCGTGCAGAATTAGTTTGGTTGTCTCGACAAAAATCCACTGAGGGGGACATCCACTTACATTAAGGTCTCTACATGCAGGTTTTAAACTAAACCCTGCACAGTTAGGCTCACCAGTGGAGATGAGGAAAGACAACCACCTACATTGTCCCCAATTTACAAACATCCAAGTAACATACGACTCCTAGTTAAGAAAAGGGGCGAAACTGCAGGAAGTGAGGAAATGTACCTCTAGGAAGGGAAATTCATTCCTGGAAGAGTTACTATGGGAAAAGGTGTCTTCAATGAAGGTTTCTCACCAACCCACAGCAACCCAAATTTTTCAAAATCCAGTTGTCACAGGAAGAGAAAGTGAGGTGAAATCTGAACAGGGGCACAACTATCCAAAAATTTAAAAAAATAGCTGGAGCTAGATTTTTAAAAGTATCTGTTCTGACTTACATACAAATTTAACCTAATAACAAATCCAAAGAACTTATCTTGTTTGTAGTGCAGGAGTTGCCTGTGATATATTATTCCCAAGTACCATGATTTTGTAAACTTCAGAGAAAAAGTTTATATTACCTTTCCATCCGGATGCGTTGCTTCACTCTGTACTATTCTGTCTTCGCTATCTGTAGTATCAGAAGTGACTACTGATGCTGAGTCAACTATATCACTGGCAGGTAAATTCTGAAATAGGAAGTAAGCCCTCAAAATCCCAATGGATACTAGATGACCATAGCACACCAGGAATCCTGTTCTGCACAAAACCAACTTGTCAATGAAAATATTTTTTAAAAAACCTACAAAACTGTGGTGATTCTCAGATCCACCACATCTGCAATAGTGTTATGTCAATATGTGCAACCTTGTGTTGGATCCAGACTTAAGCATGATTTGAATAGATTTGATGAAATTAGCAAAAGACATGTTAGCATATCACATTGTTTTCAGTGGGTCTGCAAAATTAAGCCTGGATCTAACCCTCAGTGATGCAGAACATACTGGGATGACTTTAGCGGGCAGCCTGGGTGCCTCTTTTGTAGCCCACATGAACAGAACTGAAGTACAAGCAAAACTGATCAGTGGTGCTCAGGTTGCCTCCCGTGAATGTTTGCTACAGTTCACCTTTTACTCAGCATTCCTAATAAGAATTCTGAAGAACACATTGTAAAAATGGCTACCTTAAAAACCATGCTAACTTGTATGCCAATTGACATCTTGCCCTAAACCTGTGGGGTGGAAACAAAGACAGTATGTGTTGGCGAAGGCTTTCGTGGACAGAATCATTGGGTTGCTGTGAGTTTTCTGGGAGGTATGGCCATATTCTAGAAGCATTCTCTCCTGATGTTTCACCCACATCTATGGCAGGCATCGGTTAGAGGGGTCTGTTAGAAACTAGGCAAGTGGGTTTATATATCTGTGGAATGTGCAATGTCTAGGGTGGTAGAAAGGACTCTTGTCTGCTTCAGGCAAGTTTGAATTTTGCAAGCGACCACCTTGATTAGCATTGAATGGCCTTGTAGTGTCAAAGCCTGGCTGGTTGCTGCCTGGGGAAATCTTGTTAGATGGCCCTGATTGATTCTTGTCTGGAAATCCCCTGTTTTTTTAGTGATGCTCTTTATTTACTGTCCTGATTTTAGAGTTTTTTGATACTGGTAACCAGATTTTGTTCATCTTCATGGTTTCCTCCTTTCTGTTGAAATTGTCCACATGCTTCTTGTGGATTTCAATGGCTTCTCTGTGTAGTCTGACATGGTGGTTGTTGGAGTGGCCCAGCATTTCTGTGTTCTCAAATAATATGCTGTGTCCAGGTTGGTTCATCAGGTGCTCTCCTAGGGCTGACTTCTCAGGTTGAATTAGTCTGCAGTGCCTTTCATGTTTCTTGATTTGTGTTTGGGCACTGGCAAAAACCAGTCAGGCTTTGCAGCTGCAAGGCCATTAAATATAATATATATCAAGGTAATATAATATATATCAATATATTTTGATATATCAATATATATCAAAATATAAATATATCAAGGTGGCCAACTGCAACATTTGCACCTGCCTCAAGCAGACAAGAGTTCTTATTTATTTATTTAAAACTTTTATATCCCGATCTTCTCAACCTCCATAGAGGGACTCAGACCGGCTTTCTCCCGCCCTGGACATTCCAAAGATACATAAACCTCACTTGCCTAGTTTCCAAAAAACCTCACAACCTCTGAGGATGCCTGCCATAGATGTGGGCGAAACGTCAGTAGAGAATGCTTCTGGAACATGGGCATACAGCCCTGAAAACTCACAACAACCCAAAAATAGGATGGATGTAATTTTGTTGACTATTAATGCTACAGTATGAGAAAAAAACCACAATTTTAAAAAATCATACTTGAACAAAAAAATTAGGAGCTATAATTGCGGAGAAATAAAACAATGATTTGGATCTAATTTACTGTACATAGGCAATAAAATCTTAATTCACAATGTGCAGAGTACTACAACATGGTGCTACAGTGCAGGAATAGAAATCCTCTTAATACCTAGCATACTTTTAATGTAGAATGAAGAACTTTTATCTCTCAGACAGCCACCGCACACAAGATGACTACCAGATGCTTGGAATGCATGTCCCATGAGGTCAAGCTTTAAAATGGCAATAATTAGAGGTCATGGGAGCTACGGTCCAAAGCAGCTTGGGGAAGATTTCTGTCTAGAAAAACTAGTACTCCCTTTATCAGTTTTGGTTATCAGATACATGAAGTTCCCCCTCTCCCAAACCATGAAAAGACTAAATTCTCTTACTTTACTTGCTACCGTAAAGGTCCTGGAGGAATCTTCAAAAGGCTTGGTTGAATTGTCTGAAGAGCCATCATGTGCAGCTGGTGGTTTAGGTTTTGCAAATGTCTTTTCTATTTTAGTGTAAGCAATAAAACATAAGATCGAATTAAAACATTTCCTAGGACGTAGGCTCCAATAGGTTACCATGCATCCCCATTCATTTTCCAGGCAAATTACTCTTGAGTTCACAACAAATAATTATCAGTGACATTCATATTAACCTGCCTAACTCAATAACAGTCTGTTGGTAATAGAAATGGCAGACCAACATGGTGTTTAAAATGAATAGATTTTTTAATACTGTTTTCGGCTAGGCAGTCCTTAACCTTAGGAAATAATCATTGCAAAATAAAACACCTTCACTAAGAACATTGTATCCTCATGGGAAAGAATATATAAAATGTACATATCAATTCCGGATTTTAGGATACAGTATGTCAGGAATCAAAATTGAAATGAAAAATAAGGATCATAAAGTTTACACAGTGCAAACAGTGCAAACAGTATGGGAACTTCCCTTCTTACTTGTGTGAATGAGAGAGAGTAAAATCACTCAGTCTGAAGTAACACATGCAAGTGAAAGACTGGATCATAGTTTGCCATATTGGACATGAAAGTATCAATTCTATTTCTGTTCTCTTCCTGCTTAATGACCAGCTTTTGAGAGAGAGAAAACAGGACAGTGATTTGCTAGTCAAAAAGTAGGAAAGATGCCAAGGCACAATAAATTTCAGGAAGATGAGGGAAAATCAGAGGATGAAGAGCACCCATACCAAGCAAAGTGATGGAAAATACAGAGAAGATGGCCTCTGGAGAAAGTAAAACTGTAAGATTAAAGGAATTTTAAAATAATTGACTATTTCAAGCAACTACAATAAGAATTCCAAGCTAATCTTGCTAAGGGGATATGGCATTTAAAAATAAATGGAAAAACTCAATGCATATATGAATGATACAAGTAAAACAGTATTGTTAGAACTAAAGTGTTGGAACTGCTCCTAAAACATGAAGAAAGACAAATGAGTTTGCAGAACAAAATTAGGATTACGACATAAACTTGAAGATCAGGAAAACAAGTATGTGTTGTCGAAGGCTTTCACAGCCAGAATCACTGGGTTGCTGTGAGTTTTCTGGACTGTATGGCCATGTTCCTGAAGCATTCTCTCCTGACGTTTCGCCCACATCTATGGTAGGCATCCCCACAGGTTGTGAGGTCTGTTGGAAATTAGGCAAGTGGGGTTTATATATCTGGAATGTCCAGGGTGGGAGAAAGAATTCTTGTCTGTTTGAGGCAGGTGTGAATGTTGCAATTGGCCATCTTGATTACCATTGAATGGCAAACACGAATCAAGGAACATGAAAGGCACTGCAGACTACTTCAACCTGAGAAGTCAGCCATAGCAGAGCACTGATGAACCAACCTGGTCACAGCATATTATCTGAGAACACAGAAATGCTGGACCACTCTGACAACTACCATGTCAGACTTCACAGATAAGCCACTGAAATCCACAAGCATGTGGATAATTTCAACAGAAAGGCGGAAACCAGGAAAATGAACTCTGGCTATCAGTATTTAAAAAATTCTAAAATTAGGATAGTAAATAATGAACAACACTCAAAATACAGAGGAATTCCAGACAGGAAACAATCAGGGTCAGCTAACACTTTCCATCAAAGGAGTCCCCCAGGCAGGAAGAAGCCAGGCTTTAAAGCTGCAAGGTCATTCAGTGCTAACCAAGCTGGCCAATTGCAACATTCTCACTTGCCTCAAGCAGACAAGAGTTTTTCCCCCACCCTGGACATTTCACAGATATATACACCCCACTTGCCTAGTTTCCAACAGACCTCTGGGGATGCCTACCATAGATGTGAGCGAAACGTCAAGAGATAATGCTTCTGGAACATGGCCATACAGCCCAGAAAACTGACAGCAACCCAAAACTAATATTGTTTCAATATTCCTAATTACATGCTAATCAGGGTGGACAATTGCAACATTCACCCTTGCCTCCAATAGACAAGAGTTCTTTCTCCCACCCTGGACATTCCACAGATATATAAACCTCACTTGCCTGGTTTCCAACAGATATCACAACCTCTGAGAATGCCTGCCATAGCTGTGGGAGAAATGTCAGAAGAGAATACTACTGGAACATGGCCATACAGCCCAGAAAACTCACGGCAACTAAGACACTAACGATCTAACAAAATGGCACCTTATAAATTAGAGAGAAATAATGTATTTTTACCTTCTGATGAAGGATCACATTTGCCATTTATCTTGATGTTTTTTTCTGTTTGATGAACTGATGAAAATGTCTGACTTTTTTGCAGTATAGCTGAGGAGTGCTAAAAGAAAATCAAAACAGCCTAGTAAGAAGGTTATTAAAATACTTACAATCTTTTACCCTAAAATATTGATTTACCACAATTCTGCCACCTTTCAAAACTAGTCCATGAAACCATTTGAAATCTAAAACATTGCTAAAATTAATAATTATGACAATCCACTCATGTTTAGTTTACAAGATGATATGTTTGTAGAATCAAGACACATGAAAAATAATATTTATATCCCATTACATCTTTAGTAAAAAAACAGACTGAGAGTAAATAGTCATAAAATCCCTAATGTATGGGTTAAAATGAAGGATAGATGGTGAATAAGGATCTCAGTCTAGATCTCTCTACTCTTACTCTAAATCAGGGGTCCCTAAACCCTAAACTAGGGGTCCTCAAACTAAGGCCCCGGGGCCCTCCAAGGTCATTTACCCGGCCCTCACTCAGGGTCAACCTAAGTCTGAAATGACTTGAAAGCACACAACAACAACAACAACAACAATCCTATCTCATCAGCCAAAAGCAGGTCCACACTTCCCATTGAAATACTAAAAAGTTTATATTTGTTAAAATTGTTCTTCATTTTAATTATTCTATTGTTTTAAAGTGTTTTTTTGCACTACAAATAATATATGTGCAGTGTGCATAGGAATTCATTTATGTTTTTTTTTTCCGGCCCTCCAACAGTTTGAGGGACTGTGACCTGGCCCTCTGTCTAAAATATTTGAGGACCCCTGCCCTAAACACTACATTTTGTATTGGCACACAATGTGAATCACTCACTCCGTGCACTGTCATACATCAAAGACAACTTACAATAGATTCTGCTCTCTTTGTAGAACTCCCATCTGTTTTCTTCTTGCTTGCAGAAGCTTCTTTTCTTTTCCAAGCCTCCAAACGACATCTTTCCATGATTTTGATCTCTTCCCGGAGCTGCAGATTTTCCTTGGTTAAGGCCTCGATCTGGTCTCTGAGGCGCATGTGGGTTGTTGACCATTTTGCTTCTCTTCTTTTTAGGTCTCCCTGCAGGTTTGCCATTTGCTGTTTCAACGCCTTAATAAATTCAAATACAAAGTCAATCACTTTCTGCTACATTTCATGAAAGCACAAAAGGAAAAGACATAGAGGGGGAAAAAAACTCATGTCAGGGTTAAAACTCTATTTTCTATCAAGAAGTGCAGAGCGTACTCCTCACCTCCCAACAAGTATCAGTATGCTCATTTTACAGTACTCTGTACTTCTTGCCTTAACTGGGGGAAAACTGATCCCAGATTGTACAAAGCAGAAATATAAAGAGGCTATTAAGAGCTGCTAATCAAAGACCTTTACGAGGAGCTAAGTCTACTACATCATGTTAATGACTTAGAACGTCAAAGCTTCTTTTTTGATTGGGCTCTGTTCAAAAGCCTCCCGCTGCTTGGCAGCTGTCAAGCCCTAGGAAGGGCCCCTGCTGGTGTCTCTTACTGGTAAATGATTTAACTATACAGAACTAGCTGTTCTGGACTCCCAGGGCAAGGAAAGGGTGGGTGAACTCCATTGAGAGTGTACCTTCATTTTTCCTCACTCCAATTAACCAAACGGAGGCCACCTGCTTTTCCATGGTCTGAACTGCCTACCCATTCTTCCCACCAGTTAGCAATAGCAGCAGGGACTCCAATTGCCAAATGGTAGAAAGACATGGCACTGTGTGTACAGAGCTAGATGTAGGACCTCAGCTTGTTTATAAATATTAATTCATATGTTTAAGAGGGATGATGCACTAAAGAACACATTCAGAAATCAATTCACCATACAACTCTTCTTGCAAGATGGTGAACTAATATCTTCAGTACTCTAATATTAAATAGCTGCTGTTTTTTTCTGGAAAAAATGTGTGAAGTTGAAGCTGAAACCGAAATGAACATGAGACTGGCCCTAAAGCACCAGTGTGATGACAATCCCTCTCACTTTACCTTGACAAACTTGAGCTGCTCAAAAAGTGACTCCAGTAGTTCTCTCAAAAATAAGGTTTTGGGGGCATATGAGGAGCTTTATTTACAGCATTTATATTCTGCTCTTCTTACCCCAAGAGATGCACTATGAGATGCAGAGCCAATCTTAAAAAATGGGGCTACAAAGTGGAATCCACGACATGCGAGTGTGGAGAAGAGCAAACTACTGGCCACCTGCTGCAATGCAACCTGAGCCCTGCCACATGCACAATGGAGGACCTTCTTGCAGCAACATCAGAGGCACTCCAAGTGGCCAGATACTGGTCAAAGGACATTTAATCAACTACCAAGCTTACAAACTTTGTGTTTTGTTTGTTTGTTTGGTTGGTTGGTTTGTTAAAAATGTACTACAAATGTCTGGTTGCTCTTGACACGATAAATAAATACCCCAAAGGGGACTCAGGATGGATAATAATAATAATACTTTATTTATACCCCGCCTCCATCTCCCCAAGGGACTCAGAGCAGCTTACATGAGGCCAAGCCCAACAACACACCAATAAACAAGAAAGCAATAAACAAAAAATACCAATACAGTTAAATAAATCACATATAAACATTAATATGCAAGAATTTAAAACCTATGGCCTGGCCAGATCTAATAGTTAAAAATTAAAAAATAAACGCTAGGCATGAACAATGTAGGATATATCTACTAGGAGGGTTTTAAAGAAGTGAGGGGAGCGCAATCCAAGCAGATAGTTGAAGTGCGCTTGAGGACATTTTGCTGGGAATTATTTCAATGCCATTGAATAGACAGGACAGATAATTTTTTCAACTTCAGCATCCTGGAGGTTGTGCTCAATTCCAGCGACATCAGAGTGCTGTCACTCCATCCTCTATGATGAAGAGCCTTGAACACAGACTTTCCTCCCTTCTTTGATCACCGGCATTTTCTGGTAGTTCCTTTTTTTATGGTGCTATAAAATACCTCCCTGCTTAAGCAGTGCCAAATTTCTCTACTCACAGCTGTTTTTGTACTGCTTAGGTGGACAGTGAACTGGGCTGAAAGTCAAGTTAGGGTTAGGGCCCATGCTACGAACTGCCAACCTTTTGATTAGTGCAGTGGTTCTTAACCTGGGGTCCCCAAATGTTTTTGGCCTTCAACTCCCAGAAACCCTAACAGCTGGTAAACTGGCTGGGATTTCTGGGAGTTGTAGGCCAAAAACATCTGGGGACCCCAGGTTGAGAACCACTGGATTAGTGTGATCTATTGCTGCCCATGATTAACCAGCTGTGCTAAAGCCCGGCCCACAACTCAATACTGTTACAGTCTACTGAGAGACAAGTAAGCAAGACCACAGACCAGGCATGGGCAAACTTTGGCCCTCCAGGTGTTTTGGACTTCAACTCCCACAATAGGAATTATAGGAGTTGAAGTCCAAAACACCTGGAGGGCCAAAGTTTGCCCATGCCTGCCAGAGACCAAAACTGGATACAGCAGCTGCCCAAAAGATCTCAGACAACAAACCCAGGAGCTTCAAATTTGAATATGACAGCATAACTCCATATTGAGGGGATTATTTTGTTCATTGAACAGCATTAGCTAGCTATAATCTACCTTGGATACAATAACTTGCTTATTTTGTTCCTGTGGAGAATTTTTCCCAGTAAAGAAAGCCAAAGAAACTCTTTCTTTGTATCCATACCTGAATTTCATCACGTTCCTTTTTATCGGGAATGGCTCTAGCTGCCTGTGCATATTTCTCAAAGACTTTGCGTTCTTTCTGCAGTTTTCGTACTTCTTCTTTCTTAAAATCTTCTATTTGAGCTAGTTCTTTCACTTTCCGTTGTTCAAAATCTGCAATTTCTTTTCTGAAACAGTCCAGTATAAGGAAATCAACAAGATACGAAAGCAGACTTAAAAAACTACCCCTCCCCTACCTCTGACTCTGCTGCTAGATTTGATTTGGCTCTTAATGGGTTGTGGCCAGCAATCCTGAATGTTTTATAATACAGCTGATGTAGTAACATTTCACATAAAAATAAATATAGCCACTTGAAACCACAACATAATTCTTTTAACTGTAAATCACCTAGCAAAATATGTGAATTATCATTTTGTGCTTCTATGAGACTATTCCTTCCTCATCTTTTATGCTTTATAAACAAATCTCTCTAGATCAGTGGTTCTCAACCTGTGGGTCCCCAGATGTTTTTGGCCTTCAACTCCCAGAAATCCTAACACCTGGTAAACTGACGGGGATTTCTGGAAATTGTAGGCCAAAACACCTGGGGACCCACAGGTTGAGAACCACTGCTCTAGATTCAGGTCGTATAAAAGAATGAAGCTCACGTACCAATAACATTACTTCTACATAGAAGGGATGTTTAACCTGTTCTTGATGGGCTGTCATATGTGGCAAGTGTAAATTGTGCAGGCCTACTTTAGATACATTCTAATTACTGAGGGAGAAGAAGTTTGAAATAATATTCCGAAATATTTACCTGAGATTTTCCATAGCATTTTCACGCTCCTCTCGAAGCTTTGTGAGTGAGGCATTTTCTACTCTAAATCTTTCAATTTCCGTTTCCAGTTCAACAAGTTTCTCTTTCAAGATCTGAGAACGAGCAGAATCTGCTAATGGGAAAAACAGAATTATAAAATGTATGCTCAGACATATCATATGTTATTATATGTATCATGCGATCATTCTCTCAATCTCCACCTACTTTGAAGGTTTTGTAACCAAAGCAGAAAAGAGATACTGATGAATCAGTGTTGAGCTGAAATAAATAAATTGGAATAAATAAATAATAGAAACATAGGCAAAGGTTTCCCGTGACATTAAGTCTAATCGTGTCCGACTCTGGGGGTTGATGCTCATCTCCATTTCTAAGCACAAGAGCCGGCATTGTCCACAGACACCTCCAAGGTCATGGGACTGGCATGACTGCATGGAGTGTCATTATCTTCCTTGGAGACTAGGACGCGGAACAATGGCTTCAAACTACAAGAGAGGAGATTCCATCTGAACATTAGGAAGAACTTCCTGAGTGTGAGAGCCGTTCAGCAGTGGAACTCTCCGCCCCAGAGTGTGGTGGAGGCTCCTTCTTTGGAAGCTTTTAAGCAGAGGCTGGATGGCCATTTGTCAGGGGTGATTTGAATGCAATATTCCTGCTTCTTGGCAGGGGGTTGGACTGGATGGCCCATGAGGTCTCTTCCAACTCTTTGATTCTATCTTCCCGCAGAAGCAGTACCTATTGATCTATTCACATTTCCATGTTTTTCAACTGCTAGGTTGGCAGAAGCTGGGCCTAACAGCAGAAGCTCACTTCGTTTCCAGATTCGAACCACCAACCTTTTGGTCAGCAAGTTCAGCAGCTCAGCGATTTAACCCACTGCGCCACCAAGGGGCCTTAGTATGTAAAAATGTATGGACAGAAGTCATAAGAATACTTTTCATTTAAAGCCTTTATTCTACAGCTATAAAGGAAATAAAGCTGTGTGTTTTTTTTTTAATTTTTTAAAAAAACTTTTTTAAATTTATTGTAAGGTAATCTCAGATTCTCATTTTTGAGGAAAGTGGGAAATTTTTTAATCCCATATTCCCAGGACACATTAACATGCCTTTTAATCAATGCATATGGATAATCCAGTTTGTGATTTCTGTTTGTTGGTTTAGCACAATTCCTTGTGATCTAACGAATGAATATATTCATAGCTGAAGTCATATATGAAGAAAGACCTGGGGTCCTTTCTGTGCCTTTCACTTCAGGTTCTAACAGCATCCCTTTTCAACTCTTCTACGGCCCCATCTACACTGATGCAGTTTCAAACTGGTACTGAAGAAAGTGGTTTTGCTGTGCAAACAATATCCTGGAATTACATCAAAGCTCTAATGCACATTAAGGACTTTCTTTTGTATGTTTTCCTGAGTGTTTGCCACTACAGTTTGAAGCTAGCAATGATCTGCATTAAATGGTGGCGCCCCCGGTGGCGCAGTGGGTTAAACCCCAGTGCCGGCAGGCAGGACTGAAGACAGACAGGTCGCAGGTTCGAATCCGGGGACAGCGTGGATGAGCTCCCTCTGTTAGCTCCAGCTCCTCATGCGGGGACATGAGAGAAGCTTCCACAAGATGGTAAAACATCAAAACATCCGGGCATCCCATGGGCAACGTCCTTGCAGACTGCCAATTCTCTCACACCAGAAGAGACTTGCAGTTTCTCAAGTCACTCCTGACATGACAAAAACAAAAACAAAACAAAAAAACCCCTTGAGTGGACTCAACAGCTAAACATTTGAGAGAATTGTGTTTTATCCGCTGCTATCTGATCCTTCTTGACTATCTATGGCTGGAGGGACTGGATTTACACTGTCGTATAATGCAATTTGAATTTATTTATTTATTTATTATTTACTATATTTACATACTGCCCCTCTCAGCCCGGAGGCGACTCAGAACTGCATTATTTGAGTCTACACTGACCATTTAATGAATCTGCATTAAATGGTCAGTGTAGACTCAAATAATGCAATTCAATGCAGTTAAACTGCATTATATGGCAGTGTACATCCAGCCGCTGATTTTCTGAATGTAAAGTATATGTCCTATCACTGATTAGATAGCATTCAACAAAATTATAATAGGATTGACCCCAGGCATAATGCATGAGGGGCAAAACTACATATCATTATGATATTCTCTTCAGAGAACACAACAAAGAGAATCTTTCAAGACTCATGCAGCCGTGCATTATTGCACCATGCTCAGTTCTTCCTTACCCCCCGATTCTTCCTGAGATGTGTTGGGTTTGGGATCGTGTTTCTGCTGTGCGTCCACCTTCTGCTTGGGTTTCAGAGCAGGAAAGAGCTTCAACATGAGATCTGTTGTGGGAGGCGCAGCCATCTCACCATCATCAGTCACACTTGGCTTAGGTCCCTCCTCCCCTTTCTTCACCATGGCAATCTTCCTCTTTATCACTTTATCTGGGAACACCAACTCATTTTTGGCAGAGCCATTGGAAGGCAGAGGCACTTTGTTAACCAGGCCACTGTTTTCTAATTCATTACATTGATTCCCATAATCTTCAAAGTCTGACCATGATGTTTCATCACCAAACTCAATGCCATTGCTTTTTCCACAGCAAATACTTTCAGACATGGGGTCTCTGCTTATCTCATTAGCTGGGTGGCTACAAGGATTTTCCCCCTGTAAATCAGGGCTAGCTTCTTTGTTTGGGTCTTTAGCTTTTCCTTCACACTCAGAAAGTTCACCACTATATTTCAAATCTAGCTTTTTAGCTCTCTCACTCACAGGCTTTATGGTAGTCTCAAATTCCTCCTCAGATTCAGATTCACTGCTTCTGTCAGATTCAGATTCATCTTCATCATCCCAACTTGTATTTCTAAAACCTTGAAATTCCTCAGTGGGAAAAGCCTGAGGTTTTTTGCTATCAGATTTATTTTGATGACTCTTTGGCGATTCTTGGGACTGGCAGCCTACAACTGTGGCTCTAGTTCTTTCATTGCTATCTTGCTGGGAAACATACCGTTCTCCATTTCTGCCATTCACAGCTGTAATATCCAGCACATGCATTTGCTCAGGTCTTGATTTGACAGGAGTGGAAGACAGTCTGTGCCCTGCGGAAATGTGCTGGCCTTGATCCAAAATCTGTACGATAAGCGAAGAGTTACTAGCAAAAGAGATTTCATCCGCAGCCTGCTCCAGAAACAAAAATTCATCCAATTCGTTTTTTTCCTTTTCCTTCTCAGTATCCCAGGTTTTCAACTTCCTTTGGAAAGAAAGTTCAAAAGAGAAATCAGGTCCTTGTTCAAAGGAATCTGTGAGAGATCTGGCTTGTTTCAAAGGATGCTCAGGTTTTTCACCGGGCAAAATATCGATTTCATTTGATGCCAGCGGTGCCATGATGTTTTCTTTATTATTCTCATCATTTATTTGTGATCTGATAGACTTTCTCAGTTCTCCGGGTTTCCTTTCATTGGGGTTTTCTCTTGCAGATAAAGAGATACCTTTCCTGAACCCTGTTGTTTTTCGAGCAGGAAAAGCCTTCTTCGTTTTAGCATTCTGATTGCCATTTTTAGGCACAAAGTTGTCAGAAACGTGGTCTTTATTTGAAAGTGCCGTTTTCCGATGAAGTTGTGGCTTGTTTGCTTTCACTGAACTGTTGACTTCAGAAATATCTGGATGAATAGTCACTTTGCTTTCCTTTTCTTTAGCTACTCTGGATTTGGCATTAGTAAACCTACTTAAACCTTCCCCTCGCTTTAGGAAAGGACGTTTTGCAACTGGTTTCTGGAAAGTTGTTTTTCCAGTATCCTAAAAAACAACAACACTATATTAGACATTTTATACATGCACACACACATATATATCTATACACATACATATGTATATATGCTTGATTTTCGTTATATTGATAATATCATATTCCATCAAAACATTATTTAAGAATTCCATATTTACTAATATGGTTTTGACTCTGCAAGAATGAGAGGAAAATTAAGTAGAGCTGTGTCTTTACATTATACATTTGGCCAGTTTTAATAGCTATGCAACTAGTAGCTATAATTATTAATCTTTACCTTTCCCTTTTGGCGGAGTCTCTGCTCTTCCAGTTGTATCTGTTCTTCCAGAAATTCTTCAAATGTCTGTTTTCTCTCTTCAATAGTGGCAAGAAGAGGCCTGTTAAAAGACACACAAGTCTAACTGTCAAATTGGTTTCAAATTCCTAGGACTCATTGGCTTGTTTTGTCCAACTTATATCATCACATTTTATCTACTTATGGTATAGATTCACAGCAGTTGTAAATCTATCTAGTTCACTATCCTGTTTTCCACAATGGTCAATCAGATGGCAATGGCAAGCACACAACACAACAAAACGCCAGGCATTAGCACAGCTGGTTAATCACCAGCAGCAATAGATCTTACCAATCGAAAGGTTACCAGTTCAAAGCCCGAGTCGGAGTGAGCACCTGACCTTCAGCTCAGCTTACTGTCCACCTAAGCAGTTCAAAAACAGCTGTGAGCTGTGAGTAGAGAAATTAGGCAGGGAGGTATTTTGCGGCACCATAAAGGAAATACCAGAAAAATGCCGACGATTAGAGGATATCTGTGATCAAGGCTCTTTATCATAGAGGATGGGGTGACAGCACACCACCATCACCATCACCACCACCACCCCCCATGGCCAGAATCAAGCACAACCTCCAGGACACCGAAGTTGAGGAAAATGTTTATATCTGTTGTCTGTGCTGTCTGTTTAATGGCATTGAATGTTTGCCATGTATGTGTTCTGTGATCTGCCCTGAGTCCCCTTCAGGGTGAGAAGGGCAGAATTTAAATACTGCAAATAAATAAATAAATAAATAAATAAATAAGATGGCAGCAATAGTCTTTTCTCAGCAATGCTTCTTCAAAGGCATGCTTTCCCCTGAACAGCACCAAATTTCTTCCACTAACTAATCGAATCTTCTTTCATGGGATTTCAGAACAAACAATTCAAAATAAATTCTCAGTCATGAGAAAAAAGCAGGGCCCAAATAAATAAACACATACATATATAAAAATAATAACAACAACATTCTAGATTAAAACACCAAGTTTAAACGTTATATAAATGTATTAAACACAATATTAAGTTTAAATATGATAACAGTGTAATCATATTTAAACAACTGAAACCATGTACATGTACATTTTAAAAAAAACTAGAGCCCAAAAACATAATAAAAAGCCAAATTTTCATATTAATGCTAAAACAAAATTAACACTGGTGCCAATCACATCTTCAAAGGGAAGCCATTCCACAATGGAGTGCAACAGCTGAGAAGGTCTTTTTCCAGGTATCAGTACAATGAGAGAGGAAGAAATTTTTTATCTAACATTACTGATTGTCAGTTGCTAAACATCAGTAATTATACACACACAGAAACGGAATACAAATTTAGCCCCTTTAGCCTAGACACCTACATTCTACTTCCAACTAGAATCGACTGCTAAATGGTAAACCAATAACTGTGTCAATGCCATCAATTCAGTGGGCCAACTTTAGTTGCGACTAACAACTAAAGTTAGGTCATGATGAGAAATGACAAAAACTGAGGAGCCCAATTATTTTTTAAAAATTAAATCTCACTGTATACCAAAAGATTCAATGTGGTATAAAATCAATATTAATAGATTAAAACAGTTTGAAATAATAATGAGAATTATTTAAATAAACCAAACACAGTAAAAGAGGTTTAAAAGTTTTTAAAACTCTGCACAGCATTTGAAGTAAATCAGTGAGTCCCACAGGATTTAATTAATAGCCACTGTGTCTCTTGGAGCTTAAATGAAACCAGCATTGGCATCAATGAGGGCTCCAAAGGGAGAAAATAATTGTGGTGCCATGTCTGAGAAGGCCCTCCTTATTTTCAATGTCCTTGCTGTGTGTCCTTGTTTCCATGTATGAATATACTGAATAATATATATTAACCAGTATTTACATATTTTAAATTATTCTCATACAGATGCCTTAGGCTGTAATTCTGCACCATACAGGACTGAAATATGTTCAGTCTAGATGAGCCATGCACTCTCTCAGTATAAGGCATTTCCTTATATTATAAGAATATAGATAGGTGCTTTACACTGAGGGAGATCATTACTCTTTCTAGTCCAGGTTTATCCATTCTTTACTGGCATTGTTCTAGGCATGATCCTTTCTCAGCTCAAGCTGGTGATTCTTAGCAATCTCCCATCCAAAATATGAATCAGGACTGAAGTATGTTCAGAGTTGTATCGTGGTTCACTTGCAAAACAAAAACCCTTACCTTTCCTCTGCATTAAGACTGCCTGAACACTTGTCTGTATACACTTTGCCTTCACAACTAACATCACCATCTCCACATGCAAAGCAATTTTGCTCAGGAGACCAATTAATTCTTCCTGCAAAATAAACAGAAAATGGAAGCTTGGCCAAAGTGACATGAAGTTTTAAATAGACAAGAGATATGTTGTCGAAGGCTTACCGTTTCAGTCACAAAACTTCTACATTTGTAAACAACAGGACTGTTCAGTAGGTAGGTTCACATCAACACTCATCTTAAGACCCTATTTGTAAACAACAGGACTGTTCAGTAGCTAGGTTCACATCTACACTCACCTTAAGTCCCTATTAACATCTGGATACAAAGGCAGTTTTATAATATTTCTTTTTATTTATCAAACCAAATTGTTTATGCATAAACATTACAAAAGGAAGGTTGTTATCTCACACAAACTTTATAGATATTTCTTCACATCCCTCGGAGAAGGGTTCTTACATCACATAGTGTTGGAAATGACATCTTTCATCAAGCCTTCTTTAGCAATCTGTTTGTCTATGATCCTGTTGCTTGCTGCTTCCTGTATGTATGTTCTGAGATGCAGCTTCGTTTACTCTATGGTTCCTGGGAAGTTGTAGGAGAGGCTGCAGACCACATGATCACTATAGACCAATTCAGACCTCAAATCAAACACTTGCTTGCTGTTTTCGTTGTAAGAGATGTCCTGGCCAGATGGCACAGAGAATTATCTCAAACACATTGGAAACTGACTGATAAGTTGTGTACCTGTGTATGCTGAACACATGAAAGTTGTGAGTAAACCAAATATGTTATCTTTAACATCTACTTCATTTTTGTCTCGAGTGCATGAGATAAAACAAATTGCTTTATGGGAGAGTATATATTTCGGGCACTAAAAATAATTCTAAAGCTCTGCTGTTTTATGCACTGGCAAATTCCATTTTCTTAAAGGGTTCAGAGATAACAGGTTATTCAGTCTAACAACTGAAACAACTGCATAATTATATCTGGTTCTATATCACAAGAGAAGATTCTACTCTAAAGGGTTTTTGGCTCTTCTCTGAAAGGTCATGCTTTTGAAAAAAGTTATGATCTCCAAAAGGTTATGAATGCCATTTTCCAAAACACAGGCCCCTGCTACACTGCCATAAAAATCCAGATAATCTGCTTTCAACTGGATTATATGACAGTATAGATTTATATAATCCAGTTCAAAGCAGATAATATGGATCATCTGCATTGATAATCTGGATTTTATGGCAGTGTAGAAGGGGCCATAGATACAGTCTATGCATATTCCTATGGATTTACATAATCTAAGCACCTGGATTCTCTTTCACCTGTCAAGGAAATTGCTCACCTCAGGCAGTTGAATATACAACCACTGTTGAGCACAATCTAAGCTTTACCTTGTCTGAACGCCTTACCTCAATTATTCTAATTACCAGTTATATAAGAACACATTTTGTATAGCCTAATCAGCTATCCAAAGAGGAATAGCTGTCTCTGTTTCCAGCATAATAAGGTACAGTGCACACCATAAGTAGAAACTGCATGGATCTCTTGGAAGCAATCTCAAGGCTGCTGTATTTCTATCTGCTTGATGTACCATTTATTTTATAACTAAGGTCCTCTTATCTTATTGGGTCAGTCAGTGTAGACTGCTTTTTCATCAGCCAAATAGTTTATCAAACATTCACTATCTTACCCATCAAATTAAGTCTATAGGCTGAACAAAGGGGGCAAGAAAGAGTGAGTTTTCATTTGTCTCTTTGCCTGGATTTCCTTTTTTATCTTTGTTGTTATTTTGTACCTAATGATCTGGTCCCTCTTATCCCCAGTGGCGCAATGGGTTAACCCTTGTGCTGGCAAGACTGTTGACTGAAAGGTCAGCAGTTCAAACCCGAGGAGTGGGGTGAGCTCTCATCTGTCAGCTCCAGCTTCTCATGAAGAGGCATGAGAGAAGCCTCCCATAGAATGGTAAAACATCTGGGCATCCACTGGGCAATATCCTTGCAGACAACCAATTCTCTCACACCAGAAGCGACTTACAGTTTCTCAAGTCACTCCTGACATGGAAAAAAAATCCCTCCTAACACCCCATAGAGAAGGGTCCTTGAAAAACATAGACACCTCATCCTAGTAGGCATGTCCTTGGGTTTTATTGTGCTTTCAGAAAAGTTCACCATCATATGTAATGATGATGTTTATTGCACCTGGCTAACTTTGTGGTTTTTTTCCCTCAACACTTGTTTTCACCTGTTGTCTTAGGTTTATAGTTCATTGGGCTATTATGCACAGTTTTCAGTGGAACACATTTCCTTTAATTAGAACTGACTCTTTTAAACCTGTCACAATAAAATCACAGTGTAAATTTACATTTAGCTTCAATACATTTTAAATTAATTATTAACTCCAGGACTAGACATTGGTAAATTGAAAAAACAAACAAAAGCATCACATTTCAAAATCACAAGAAAATTTCATAATTTCTTTGGCATATATTGCCATTATCATGCATCCTTAAAGCCAACATTTTCCAGGTAAAAGAGCTAGTCATCTTTTTCCCCCTTTGCCAATCGATAAATAATGAAATTATTTTTAAAATAAATTTTAATCATGTTTATTACATTTTATTTCAACAAAATGATGCAAATATGACATCAAAAGATACACAGACATGCAAGCAACAAATAAATAATTAAAAACACAAGAATAAATAGATATAAGGGGGGAGTAAATATTTTATCAACAATTTATAGTATTACTAAAGTTATTTAAGTAGAAACTAAAATTCTCCCTAAGAAATAGTGTAGCATATGACCAAACTGATATTACCTAACATCCAAAACCAAAAAATGCCCTTTTCAAATAACCCGGGCACTGCCAGGTACCCAAGCTAGTAATAATAATAATGGGTGAACTCTCACTGGAAGAGGAAAACAGCCAACTTTTGTTGTTTCTGTATTCCTGCATTTAAAAGTATCCTTACAACATCTCTATAAGATAGGCTAGTATTCAATAACATAGATGTTCTTTGTTAAATTAAAGGCATATCGTACCTGTTAGGTCACTTGCATCTTCACTTTCTATTTCATCCTGTGCTTTGAAAGACATGCCTTTCTCAGACATACTTCCTTTCAATACTTCTCCATTTTTGAGTTTCTCAAGAGAATTCCTTCGTTCAGCGGGAGAAGAAATACAAGAAACACTGTCCAGGTGAGCACTGTCATCATGGCAACGTGATGGAAGATATGGCCCAGGGAATAAATGAGGTGGTTGAACGTATCTTTGATTCATCCCATCTTCTGTTACAGTAAAACACAAAACCATAACACAAATTGTCAGCATTCTACTTATGGGGGAAGACACAGCCGAAGGCATATACTTTCCCATCTGTATTTTATAGTATTATTAAAACTGTAATCAAGAAAAAACATGAAAAAGAATAATTGACACTATTGTGGTTTTTTTTGTTTTTGTCGTGTCAGGAGTTGTGACTGATTAATAAAGCTTAGAAAAAGTAGTTTTAAATTAGCCTCCCTTTTTCCAACTTCTGCTCTAAGGACTGGCTATGTATAAGTACAACATTCCCATACATGTTGATTTTCAATTTTAGAGGGGTTGACAAAGTAAAAGGCATGTTGGAAGACTGAAATACAGAAAGCAGATTCCGACAAGTAATTTTAGGCATATGTGTTGTCAAAGGCTTTCATGGCTGGAATCTGGGTTGCTATGAGTTTTCTGGGCTGTATGGCCATGTTCCAGAAGCATTCTCTCCATGTTTCTCCTACACCTGTGGCAGGCATCCTCAGATCCTTGGAACTCTGAGGATGCCTGCCATAGATGTGGGTGAAACGTCAGGAGAGAATGCTTCTAGAATATGGCCATACAGCCCAGAAAACTCACAGCGAACCCAATTTTAGGACTGGCTTACACATTCATGATGAAATAATTATTCAAAAGAGCAAATTTGCACAATATAGCTCTCTGCAATTAACATTTTAAAAGGTGCACCTCACTTACCAGAGTGTGTTTGCTGCCCAGAGACCCTGGAAAGTAGTTTCTGTTGCTCCTCCATTAGTTTTTGAATTTGATCCATTTGTTGCCTTCTCAGTAGTTCTTGCTTGTGCTGCTGCACTCCTTTGAGCTTTAAGAGCATTAGAAGCCAAGGATATTCTTAGAAACGTACATTTAACATAATCAGCATAATAAAATAAGAAAAAAACTTTACAGTAAACTCAGAATATATTTCAAGACAAATATATTCACTGAAACTGAAGTTTAACAAATAAAATACTTTAATTGTGAAAACACAGGATTAGCACATAGCTCAAATTAAAACAGACAAATTGTTATTTTGGGCACTTTCATCCAACCAGCACACTGGAGCATTGCAGTGCCCCCAATACCTGGGAGTCACTCTGGACCGTGCTCTGACCTACAAGAAGCACTGCCTGAATATCAAGAAAAATTGGGTGCTAGAAACAATATCATACGAAAGCTGACTGGCACAACCTGGGGATC